GTAACACCTTTATTCTTAAAACTTAATTTTGTATTATGCAAATATACCAATTTTATTGTTATTTTATTCATATTGTATTCAGCCATCACTTAAATATTTGATATTAATTTGGTATTATAAATAATCAATACTATTCATTAAAAATTACTGAACAAATATATGTTATGCTTAACATACATTATATATTATCAAACAAAAACACATTCTTCTTTTAAACTGTATCAGTCTTGTCTTTACAAAAATCTTTTTAAAATTTGAACTCAAAATAATAATCTTTTTCATGATCTCTAATACACATATTCTTTATTTTTCCCTAGATCATAATACCTACTTACGTGTTTGAATCTATCGAAGCTGAACCAGCAACACTTGGAGTGGAGATTCCACAATATGAATAAAATAAACATAATTGTCCAGTTTTCATTAATACCATCATGGGAGAATATTATTTTTAAATTTATTAAAGATATTTTCAATAAAATTCTCTTGATTTATAACTCGTACCCACTTTTCTTGCTCTTCCGGACACTTTAGGCTGCCTAGTATAATAACTATCCTTAGTAACTATCCTTTCCACCAGGAACACAACAAAGATGAGGCATAGCACCAATAACACACTCCACTTAAGCTTTATTGATGAATTGTTAGAGTCTTAAAAAACACACACAAAAATCACGATAAGTAAAAAATGTATGGGCACTTTTAGGTTAAATCACTTGCACAACGTGTAATTTTTAAAATTTCTATTTTTTTATGCGAAACCGAGAGTGACCATATATCTGGTAGTAGTTTATGTACTTCAACACCAAAATAATTAGTTTTTTGCACTACAATAATAAATAATACCAAAAATCAAAGAGTTAAAACCAAAAATCAACCGACAAAATATGAAACGGAATCTAACCCAATATCTAAGTATGTACAGCTGATGAAGTAAACAAAAGTCCGCCCGTAGGCTGATCTTTTAATAGAAGGCATTGGATGAACAGTTATACTGAAAGAATGTCAAGGTTTTATCTGTCACTCTTGTCAATAATTTATCGGTAAGGAAGATTCCTAGAAAATCGCTTGTAGTCAAGTTTTCAACCATTTCCAGTTCTCCCATAAGAAGTGTCATCCACCTGCTGTGAACATACTAAAGCGATCTGCTCGAGGCTCGAGCGGTTAGATCGAGCGGCGAGATCGATTCAAATAATTTTGTTTTCGTCGCTCTGTCGCGCTGTAAAAAATAATGGATTCCCAAAAATTAATAGATTTAGTATTTGTAAGAGATATTTTATGGGATCAGAAAGATAGTAATCGCCATAACAGGTACATTTTAGATAAGTTATGTGATAAAGTGGCAACAAATTTTCGTAAACTCCGATTTTTGAAAATTTCATGTTCACTACACCTTCTAGTTTGTTGGTTTCGAATCAACCAAATGTTTGCAACACTACTGCCCAGAATTTTAGCCTACTGTTAACATTTTAAATTATCAATAAGCAAATAAAAATAATAAATTTGCACAAGTACTTTGCTATTTCTCGCCGCTCTACTATGTTTCAGCACCTCTAGGCTTGCTCGACGCGGTATCGCGCTGCTTGCCCGCCGCTATCCTCGTCGCTCCACTATGTTCTTGACTTTAGGTGTATTAAATTTGAATAAAAAAACACTCCACTAAAATATATTTTCTTTTTATATTTAAAAGAACATATATTTTATTAAGTGGTTGTTTCAGTAGCGATTCCAAGAAAAGTGAACTCAAATGAACCTGTCACAAAGAATAAAAAAGTACTTAAACTCGATATTGTTTGAACAACTTAATTTGGGAATGGATTACTTTTTAATAAGAATAAAATTAGAATGCTCGACAAACAAAATATAAAATGCTACTTGAACTTTGACCCACGTCATTCAAAGTCCCATTTTGTTCGACATGTGGATTGCCATTTTAGTTATAACAGCGAGTTTTTGGTAAACTACATACAGTACTTAGAAGCTTCTCAATTTTACCCCTTTCTCCTTTCTCAAAATATTTTGAATTTATATCAAATCTACATATATAAAATGCTAATGTTTATCTGTGTTGTCTCTACTGAAGTAACTACTTGCTCTAGAAAGTTGCTTTTTTACTAAAATCGTCGCCGGATTTTTTGTTTTTCATTTAATTTTAAAAAAAATATTAAGTTAATTAATTAATATTAAAGTATTTTTTCCTGACGTCGATGTCGTGGCGGATGTGCCAGGCTTCAACTAGTTTTAATATAAAATATTATCTTTTTAAATTTCTTATTTCAATATAAAGGTTTATCTTTTTTCTTTTTTTATTGAAACCATACATTTTTTTATTTTTGATCTAATGAATTCATTTAAAATAAAAGGGGATAAAGAGGATTAATTTTTATATCTTGACAGTTTTGGATGTTAAGCCTAAATAAAACTATTTTTAAAAATGACAATTTAACATTTCAAATATGTAATATTATTATTAATTCTGTTATAATAAATAATCCTTTATTCTAAGTATGGAGGCTTTATTAAATAAAAACAGATACGGTTTTTTTACTGCATATAAAAATATTAATATAATAGCCCAGTATATATTATTATTAATGAAATATTGTCTAGATAAGATTAGATTGTGTTATAATATAGTGGGCAAACAGTTTTAGTTAGAATTGATATATTTTGAAAGCATTGATATAAGTTGACGACATAAAGTTGACGCTTCTGTTTATTTTACCTTAGTAAATGTTTTTTTTATTTATAGGATAGTATTAGAAATTTAGTACGTAATTTTCTCGAAATAATCGTTTAATTGAACTGTGGACTAGTTGATAATTTCCAATTACAACATATTGTTTCCTCGTTACTATGAATTAAATAAATAGTAGTCAGAAAAAATTAAATTATGTTTGTTGTAATACCATACCTTCCAATAATGTTGAATCTTTTTAAAACTAGTCATACCTTTCAATCTCTATATCAAAAATTAGGTAAAACAATCTCCAAAACAAAAATTTACTATACATGGTGATTCTCTAACTTGAAATGAATTTAGTAAATCACACAAATTGTATTTTTTTGGGGGGGACACCTCGATTAGTATTTTAAACCACGCCCTTTTTAAGTGCTCAAACAGTGCGTTTGAGTTCTAATATAGGAAAATTTAAACAACTTATTCCAAATTTGAGATATGACGTCATCAACACTATTTTTTAAATAGCAATTCTATTTTTTATAAATATAGGATATTATAAATAAATAAGAGAAGTCCTAGCTAAAGAAGATATTGATACGATTTATATAGAAACTCTCGCCAACAAGAGAAGTCAAAGCAAGAGTAACGATATAAAAAACAACCCCAGAGTTCCCAACTGGCAAAGGAGTACGACAGGGAGACGCGATACCCCCAAAACTGTTTACAGCAACATATTAGAAGAAATCTTCCGTCAACTGGACTGGACCAACAAAGGATTAAAATAGATGGAGAATATCTTGACCATCTAAGACTTGTTGATGACATAATTCTAATTGCCAAGTGTCCTGAAGAACTACAAGCCCAAATTAATGAACTAAATATAGCCAGCAATAAAGTGGGTCTCGAAAATGATTTTAGCAAAAACTAAAGTAATTCGGGATCTCTACTACCAGAAATGAACAGAAGAATTAAGTTAGCGTGGAGTACTTATGGAAGAAGCTCAATCAAATTCAAATCTAGGGTCCCCTGGTCTGGTCTTGCAGTTACTAAGTAGTCTTGCAAGACCGGGTCTAGTCTTGGTCTTGCAGGGTCTAGTCTTGGTCTTAGTCTAATAGACTTTTACTAGCGTACCAAGCTAAATAAAGCTCTAAAAGCAGTCCTGCTTTGCTACAAAAAATATACATTTGTATTTCAGAATTTTGCCGATTTTTGTTACAATCTAAACAAGGATTTAAATTTAACTAATCAAGTACGTAAGTAGGTACATCCTACATGTGTTGGAAATCCACGAATCTATATACAAATAGGTATTTGCCAACGATTAGTGCGAGATTTCTCGGAAGCCAAAGTTCAAAGAACTATTTGTAACGATTTGAATGTGTCACGATATTGCTGCAGACATAACATACACACTTTACATATATTCGTACTATAACCAGAAACCAGAATTACATACAATAATTGTAAAATGTATGGTTGACCAGAAATAACGTTTGTAAATGGAAAAAAAACTTATTACTTTGTCGTATAAAAAATCGTATATTTTATCTAATTATAACGTGAAACAGATCTAAAACATATTTATTTCAATGTTAATATGTGAATTATGAATATGAAATGTGAGTATAAAGTTTGTCCAACGATTCAGGAAAGATTTTGATTTATAATAATGACAAAAAATGATTTTTTTTCTTAAATTTAAATTATTATTTTATTTTTTATTTATTATTGTTATCGATAGCAGTCACGTCAAACTACCTATTAAAATACCGTATGATCTAAAAAACGGCGTCCATTTGACTTGGAAATGACGACCAATGACAGTCCCAATCCCCCCATATAATTTTACATATAAAATGACAGCGATCTTCATTCCATAGCCATCGTTGACGCCCCTTTTTTTTCGATCATATTGTATAAGTAAAAAAGGGATTTCTTATTGATTTTTATTTGGACTGCTAAAGTAATTTGTAATTAAATAAGAGCACTTAGTTTCTGTTAAAATATCAAAAGTAATTTTATTTGTATCGAAATTTAGAATAGGAAGAAGTCTTACTAAAAAAATATACGAACTGAAAAATTACTCCGTCGGAAATAGCTGGCAAATGAAGACTGATGACATTTACCGTATAAAGTTAAATGTATGGTAAATGTCATCAATTGTCATTTCTAAAGGAACTTGATGCTTTGATCTAGGATTAGAACTTATATGTCTCACAAACTATTTTTATTGTTGGAGAGATGTCCCGTACAATCGAAAAAAAACACACAAAGTGTGAGAACGACATAAAATAATTAGATTTTTTTATTGTTACAGCTGGTTCCTTGCAGTATGAAACATCAAGCAATTCCTCATCCGAAAGCAGATCCAGCATGACTCAAAGAGATGACGTTCATAAATTTGAGCAGGGCCGCATTAAGGTCTTGCAGGAGGAGCGGCTTCGGATTCAAAAGAAAACCTTCACAAAATGGATGAATTCTTACTTATCAAAGGTAAACAAACATAATTTTGTTATTAAAGAGCTTAGAAAAAGAAATTCATTTTTATATACATATACCTTGATAATTATAACTGATTGTGCATTATATGTCAAAACTATCAATAACTACTAAAGAAATTTTCGATTTTTTATATATTATAGTATTAACATTTAATGAGGATTTCATATAGTAATAACATAACAATCTGTTTGTTACTATAAAAAAAATTGTGTGTATACTATGTGCGCATATTTGAAGTGAAATTTCTTACTAACAGCTATTAAATTGAAGGATTTGAAGAACATGTTTGAAAAAGTAATAAATTAAAAATTAATAAAAATGGCCGTCTGAGGACTCCATTCGGGTAACTATCTCCACGTGCAGAGTTTGGTTTCAATTGACTCATAATTAAGAAAAATTCTGATGATTTCGTCCATTTACATGCATCGATTCGAAACGTCGCGTCGTCGAGGGCGTCATCCTGTAGCCCGTCCCCAATTATGCCGAAATCGACCCACATTTTTGTTCAATATCAAATCCTTAGTCCCACCCTGATTAAAATGTAAACGAAACGTCGTATCCAACTTTGCAGGGTGGAACCGTGGGCACCGTCACTCACATAGCCTACTCACCAAATTTGATCGCGACCTGACGACATCAACTTTTGACGTTTCTTACGTCAAAACTGTCACAGTGACACGTGTCGTGCACGGTTGGCCTTGGTCCAATTTATCGACATACTAAATTTCATTTAAATTGGACGCTTTTTTCACCAGTGATGATGGGGTTTCATAGTGCACGAAACGTCGTCAAAGTATCATGAAAAGAGCTTCATCTACATTCCGAGATTCAGCCCCCTAGTTCGCATAGGGCCCGAGTTACGACGCTTCAAAGACCCATTTCAACTTCCTCATTGGCTTACCACTTTTTCGACCGTTACCACTTTTCGTCTCCTGTGCCGTCTTGCGGGTCATCTCTCTAGCTCGTCACAGTATTGAATTTTTACTCCCAGCGCGCGTAAAGAAGTTTCACTTTAAATTTCAATCATAGTAATATCCGCCAAAAAGCTAGTCATACATGGGCAACACATTTTTTGTTATTAAGTTTTTGATAAAAAAGTTTATGTGGACCCATTCAGCATACCCAACAACAAATGCGTCATTTTGACATATATGACAACTGTCATGGTAGGGAATTAAAAAATGGCTTTTAAATATGTAAAAGTGAGATTAGACCACCAGATATCCAAAATTATCAAACAGAATTCGACTTTGTGTCTACAGTCTGACAAAGATACAGTCCACACCATATGGTATATTTTTTTTAAATTCATTTTGGGAAAATTAGACTTTGGCATTAGTTATTGCTTTAGAACACATTCTTTTTTAATAATAAGGGGTCGACCTCTGCCGGAAATACTGCGTTTTTGTATAAATGACAAAACAAAGCACATCAAATAATAATTGTTCCGAATGCAGTAATTTTTCTTTGCTATCTGGAAAGGATTTGTAAAAAAATGAAAGGAATTACTAGGACTTGTTTGGTTTGGATTCAGAAACGTTTTGACTATTATTGTATTCGATTACAGTAAGTCATCTTTAGTTTTTTTACCATAAGCTATATGTGTAATCAACTAATATAGACTACTATTTTATTGTTTTTAGATTTTTATGTTGAATCATTTATATATTAACTTCTTTTTTATTTGCAGGCCGGCTTAGAAGTCGTCGACCTTTTCATAGACCTCGGAGATGGAAAGAAACTCCTGAAACTATTAGAAATCATATCCGGGGAAAAGCTAGGGAAACCGAACAGTGGAAAAATGCGGGTTCACAAAGTGGAAAACGTCAACAAGAGTTTGGCGTTTCTGCACACCAAAGTCCGATTGGAAAGTATCGGAGCTGAAGACATAGTAGACGGCAATCAAAGACTTACCTTAGGTCTTATTTGGACAATTATTCTTAGGTTTCAAATACAAAATATTGAAGTTGCATTGGTAGGTATTTTATGTAACCAGACATTCTTTTTTACTAGTTTAAAGCCCCATCTACACATAACGTTTTACCTTTCGTTTTGCCTATCAGTTAAAACGGAAGACAGTCTAGCAAAGTTGTCAGTAATGTTTAACCGCCTAGACATACTATATAATCTCTCACTCACTCTCAATGTAGGTTGAGAGTGAGTGAGCTTAATTCTTTTTACATTGATGGTGGAAGCCCCTCGCCATTCACGTTTATAAATTTGTAACGATATGTTGTCCGGGAGCATAATTCCCGATATGTTTAACATTAAGTTTGACGAACTTATTCGCATCTTGTTGTTGCATCAGGAGACAAACCAGTGGTATGATAGATTTCATTGTTTTTTTTATTGCATATTTTATAAATTAAATATTTTTATACTTTTATAATACATGCGTTGATTTGTCCAGTTTTAAGTAATTGTGATTGTATTTGTTTTCTCTAGGCCTTTACATATAGCTACCGCCAGTAGGTGTTTGTATGGAATAAATAAATAAAATAAAATAAAATAAATATATAGAATTAAAGACTAGCGTACACATTGGAAATTTTACCTGCGGTTTTACCAGTTATTATAACATTGTATTTAGTAGAGTTAAAGATTGGAAAATATGGAGTTTTACTACAAAATTGTATTTATAGTTCAAGTTTCATTATTTGTAAACATGCAAAACTAATTGTGAAAATAGTATCGTTTGAATCATTAAATATCAATAAAAAATTGTAAAATTACATTATTTTTGAAACTTTACAAAAATATTCAATACCATCAAAAATGACATTTAATGTCACTTTCTTATTTGTTGGAAAACTTAAACTTAAACTAACTTGGCGGGTTCTCACTTGTCAGTTTCGCTGACGCAGTCTGACTGATTCAGTGATACTGAACAAATAATGAACGTCAGAACACATTTTCATGTTAAATGATCAGTAAATTCGTACTTTCAGTTAAAGTGAAAACCAGTTCTACTTTTTTCATTTTTGACTGATCATTATCGAATAATGAATAGAAACTGAAGCGTGAGAACTACATTTTCGTGATTTGTTCAGTTTACAAGTTAAAGTTAATTAATTATTTTAATATATATCTCCAAAAAAATCCTTTAGCAAGAAAATCTACAAAATAAAATAGTTATTTTTTGTAAACACTTCTGCGTTAAACCTAAACGGACACTGCTTGTCAGAAGTTATGTTTACAGTTATACAAATTGGCTTAACAAAGAAAAAAATGCTTAACGTTTCGGAAAGTCTATCGTCGGAAGCAAAAAAAATTCAAAGAATAAAGAAAAAAAAACTATTTAAAATATTTAAATTCAAACTATTATGAGAACACGCTTTTTTTTAAAGCAGATACGTCTACAAGAAACCGTTGACGTTCTGTTAAAATAGAACGTCAACGGTTTCTTGTAGACGTATCTGCTTTAAAAAAAAACGTTTTCTTCTTTTCTGATTCACCAGAATATTGTGTAATTCATTGGCTAATTGTAAACAAACTTTGCGAACACCTGGTTTCAATTTTGTTTTAACCATTTTCATGTCTGCGAAATCACCACGTTAAAATGTTTGGACCAACTGAATACTGAATGCAGAAAAACATGAAACGTGTGAATACAATCGTTGATTTTTATTTTTCATTGATAATGAATCAGTCAGAGCGTCAGCGAAACTGACAAGTGAGAACCCGCCTTAGATAAAGGAAACAAGTTTAGATTGTAATGCTCGGCTTCCCGCCAAAACTCATAATTGTTTTGGAACATATATGTTGTAGGGTGCTGCTATAGCGGTTGCTAGGAACAACCGCAAACAAGAACAGAAATAAGTTTCTCTTGTCAAAGTCAAAATCTTCAAAAATTATAAAGTCCATATAAAGTCTTTGATAATTATTTAAACCGTCCTCATTGAAAAAAAGCGTCCATTTTCAAAGTAATTATTGCTATCTTGTGAGTTTAATTGAAAATTTATTTACTCAAACCCGTGATAATTTTGAAAAAGTGCCATTAAAAACTTAAAAAGCTGTGTGAACTATCAAAAACCATCGTGGATCGTGGCATAATATTGGTTTCCAATGTTTCATAGATGTCCTTATAAAAATAAAGTTTCTAATATGCAACACACTGTATTTTATTTAAAAAATTAAAGGAGAATAATAATAAATTTGAATAAACAATATTTGGCGACATAATTCCGGAAAAAGCCGAACCGCTGCGAAATTATCAAAAGCTTTGGAGAGCGACCGTTGTAAGAATAGCGCCAAATAGTATTTACATTGTCTTTATCGGCACTTTATCGACCCATTCGGGTCCGAAAAATCCTGATGGTTTCGTCTATTTAGATGCATGGGTTGGAAACGTCGAGGGCGTCATCCTGTAGCCCGTCCTCAATTATGCCCAAATCGACCCACATTTTTCTTCCACAATATCAAATCGTTAGTCCCACCTTGATAAAGATGTAAAGGAAACATCGTATCCAACTTTGCAAGGCACGACCATGCATTTCTGTGTGCGTCCAGCCTAAGAGCCGTTGCACACACGCCTGAACCGGATAAACGGCGCCGTCTAACCGGTGATGAAGTGCATAGCCTCTTATGGGAGCTTTCACACGTGCCGGCGCCGGCCAAGAACCGGATTCACACCAGGTTGGCACCGGACACCATCACTGGCAGCACGGTCGCCGGCCGGTGACCGTGCTTTTAGTTGTACATTGATTTAAATTGACGCTTTCACACTTGTCCATCCTAGTCGCTCGGTTTCCTCCATCTAAGAGAGATTTTGCGTGTAGCATTATTGAAAATTTGTAAAATTTATACATTGTAAGTTAACTATAGCGACTGCAAGTAGTATTTCGGAAGTAGATACTGCGTTATTAATACCACTCTTTGGAAGCCAGACCAGTCCACTGGTATAAAATCTTGTATTTCTAAGAAAACAAAAGCGAAGCTTGTAAAGCATGGAGAGAAATTTGCATTAAACTGAAAGATGATTTTCATTGCTTTTCTTTTCTGATGACGACAGCGATTCCAAACCACAAAACAATAATATGTTCACGTTCTATACCGTCTCGTTGGCGTCGCGATCAAAAATGCAACTGTACTGGCTCAAACCGGGAGTAAAATCGGACTAGTGTGAAAGGTCGTAGTGAAACCGGGTAGACGGCGCCGTCTATCCGGTTCCGGCGTGTGTGCAACGGCTCTAAACGTTATATGTAGACGGGGATTTACCATTAGAATATGCCCTTAATTATTTCTTACAAATTTTTATTTTTAAATTTTTTTCTCGAATTTCAGGATGAGAAAAATGAGAGTTCTGAAAAGAAATCAGCCAAAGACGCCCTACTGTTATGGGCCCAACGTAAGACGCGCGGTTACGCCAACGTCGAAATCAAAGATTTCCACGCTTCCTGGAGGAGCGGGCTCGGATTCAACGCCCTCATCCACTCTCACAGACCGGATTTGTTTGACTACAACGGTCTATTAGGCAACAAGAACATCGACAATCTCAATCACGCCTTCAACGTTGCTAATAACGAACTGGGTATTCCCAGCTTACTGGATGCCGAAGATGTGGACACCACAAGACCTGACGAAAAGAGTATCATGACTTACGTCGCTTCCTATTATCATACGTTTGCCAGGATGAAGAACGAAGAAAAATCAGGAAGAAGAATTGCAAAGGTATTGCTTAGTTTATATTTGCTTCTTTTTTCATTAATTACAGTTGGAGGTTGGCACCTTTGGTGTTACAAGAGCAAAATATCATACTAATTCATCACAATACACATTTTTACTGTTGGACGCGCGTTTTGCTAACCATGTTAGCATCATCACCAGATGATTAAGAGACGATTCTACAAAGCAAGTATAAATTCCGAATATTTAATACTTATTGAACGGAAATTTCAATAGATATCCCAAGAATTGCTTATACCTGGTATAGGTTTGGTTCATTCTCCCACGGTGCTGCCACCATCGGAGAATATCGTAAACAACTGCTATATACAAATACGCAGGTTTAAATAGCGAGTATACGAAAAATTTATTCTAAAAGTGTTAGGAAGTATAATTTGTGAAAATTCTAAAAATAAAAATAAAAAAGTAAATATTTTGATATCTTCAGAAGGTTTAACTTGTATTATAATTTATTATTCCAGCTAAAAAAACTCTTTAGATGAGTTAAACTACGGTAGCGAGCATAGATTTAATCGCCGGTTTTGCTAGTGGGGTCATAATAACGACTTTCGGCTATAACGAATTTTTTTAAAGGTACATAATTATAATTTTAGAAGACGTTCATAAAACATTTAATCACTAAGTAGTCGATTAAAAAAAGTATACCTACCATTAATATTGCAAATTATATTTTATCCTCTCATAGTATTTGTCTAATTAATTTTTTGATTATTCAATGGGCATTTTGTTTACTCACTTGTTTCATCTTGAATTGTGAAAACTTATTTTTTACTACACGAAACAGCGTCACATCAAAGGTTACATCACACAAACCTCGTACTTGAGTGTTTTATAGTCTCAATAACTGCACAAAAAACTAAAATACTTAAATATTATGACAAAACCACGATTTCAATATTATTTTAATGCGATCAACATGACGGCGCGGCCGGTAGCGTGAAATACGTACTGATAATTTCTGATTTCTGCCGTTGAAGCGATGCGGTCGGAATTCATTGAAATCAACTGAAATATACCTAGTCTATAAGTTTGGAAGTCTATACATATACTGGCTTTGTAGAACCGGGTCTAAATTTTTTTTAATCATCTTTGTTTGAGTTTTAATCATCTGCTGATGATGCTAACATGGTTTGCGAAACGCGCGTCCAGTGTAAAGGTAAAAGTGTTTTGGTGTATTGTGGTGATTAGTGTTTTTTTTGCTGTTGTAACACCAAAGGTTCCAACCCCCAACTGTAATCAATAATCCTAGATAATATATACTTTCAATAATAGTGCTTAACTTTTATTACGTTATCGTTTATTTAATATTTAGATTGTTGGACAAATGGTTCAAGCTGACAAAATGAAAGGTCAATACGATACACTCACCACGGACTTACTGGACTGGATCAATGCCAAAATCAAACAACTGGAAAACAGAGATTTTCCAAACACCCTGGAAGGCATCCAGAGTCTTTTGCTGGCTTTTGGTCAGTACAGAACACAAGAAAAACCTCCCAAATACAAGGAACGAAGTGAAATTGAAGCTTTATACTTCAACATCAACACCCAACTGAAAGAACTGAGACAACCTTTATTTAATCCTGCCGATGGTAAGTTGGTTCAGGACATAGAAAGGGCATGGGATGTTTTAGAGAAAGCCGAACACAACAGAGAAGTAGCGTTGAGAAACGAACTACTCCGTCAGCAGCGTTTAGAACAACTAAACTACAAATTTGAAAAGAAGAGTATCTTGAGAGAAGGATACTTGAAAGAAATGACGCAGGTATTGTCGGATCCGAAATACGGATCAAACTTATCCCAAGTAGACGCAACGGTGAAGAAGCACGAAGCTATAAGCGCGGATATTTACGCTAGAGAAGGGCGCGTTCACGATCTGACTCAAATGTGTAATGAGCTCGTTAGAGAAAACTACAGAAATGCTGAAAAAGTCAAAGCAAGGGAAGCAGTCATTATGAAACAGTGGCAAGATTTGATAGCTTTACTACAGAAACATAAAGTGAATTTAGACAGAATGGTAGCTGTTTTATCGATTTTAAGAGAAATTGAAACGACGTTAGCTAGTATAGAGCAGCTTAAATTTGACCTTTCGTCGACTGATATTGGTATTCATTTAATGGGGGTGGAAGAACTTTTACAGAGACATGCGTTGCAAGAACTGCAAGTATCTAGTTTGGGTGAAAATGAAAGGAAACTGACTAGGACGGGTGAACAAATAGCAGTTCAGAATCCAAGAGAAGCGGACATTTTGAGAGAAAAGCTGTCAGAACTAGCCAACGCTTATAAGGAATTAAAAGTAAGTTTTCTATTACATTTATTTTAAGCTAGCGTTATTAAGCAATTATCTTAGATTATCATCAATTATTTACCATATCTTTATATTTTTCTTAAGTCCAACTATTAGCACCGACGTTATTTAGTTACTTGAGAATTTTTTTTTATTAAACTACAAAAACTACAAGACATTATTTAGTAACACCACAGCGATTACATATTAATTTCCGATCACTGCCGGTCGATATTTTGCGATTTCGTAATTTCTTCTTGAGGAGGTGCCTCTTCTCAGCAAAGATTGGCGATAACCACATCGAATTCTTTTCGCCTTTCTGCTGTTCTGAGTGTTTGGACATTCATTCCTGTCCAATCCCTTATGTTTCTCATCCAAGACATCTGTCTTCTGCCTGGACCTCACCTCCCTTCAATTTTACCTCTGATGATAATGTGTAATAGATTGTATTTGTCGTTCCTATATGACTAAAATATGCTGTTTCTCTCTCTACCGATTTATCAGTAGTTCTGGCAACACTGTTCCAGGCAACCCACTCACCCTGTCGACGAAAAGCAGAACTATGTTACAATAATCTTTATCATGTAGCGCAGAGCTAAACTAAACCTCAGACAGGTTGACGGTAACGCCAGCTACATCTCAGACAGGTTTTATGCCATGAAATCGCCCATAAAGTTGCGCATCTTCTTATTTCTTCAATCAACATTCCTAGTTTGTTCTGAGAGTTACGTTTTCTCCTATACATATTTATACTATATGAGAATTAACGACGTCATGGACTGCCATCTCTCGATCTTCATCATCAGCCTCTTATGTAGGATAAAAAAAAACGACGTTTAGTTGGCTTAGATACGACGGTCGATGACATTTCCGATATAATTTTACATATGAAATGACAGCAATCATCATTTCATAGCCATCGCTGACGCGGTTTTTTTTTCGATCGTATTGTATTTCTTCCGTTAGAAAATGGTTATTTCGTATATTATCGAGAGATGTCACTAGTTGTTTTGTTATATTTTTTGTAACAATATTGATTATCTCTCGAAAACCATAATGTAAAAACAAGTTTCAAACAAAGGTATAATAGGAAACTAATAAAATACAAACGCCTTTATTCAACGGACAATATTTATTGCCCGACAATAACATAACAATCATTTATTTAGTTGACACCTACTAGGAACGTTTAATAAATTATAGAATGTAGTTTTAAAAGAAATTTACTAATGAACAATGAATTATTTATTAGATATTTTTATTTTATAGTCGTACCACAGATTAGGTATCCTATAAGTATACAGATAAAAATCTTGTCCCTAATTCGTGGTACGAAAATTGTTTTTTATGACGATGTGCAAACGAGTCTAATTTCCTGTGCGCAAAAATAAACTCGCGTAAAATAACAATAAACAGCGTAATAGAGAGATATCGCTAAACAGAATAGCGTGCATGGACGTTAATAAGGCCAGGTGTTATTTCCTTTACGTAAGGTGGTATTAACTCTCTTCATTTATAGTTATCGGATCGGAAAGAATTCTGATCGCGTCGCGTCCGTTATTTAAACTTAACCTAGCTTTGAATTTAAAACTTTGAAATTGTTTTGTTTACTAGGTATTTTAAAACAAAAGGGCTAAAGTACTTATTTCCAGTGCTTTATTGTTCAACGTCTGCCAATGGGTTTAGGACAACAAGCAACAAATTCTCTTAGAAGGGCTAAGTCGTCATCTGCTGTAAACCTAAGACTCTTTATAGGTTCTTTAGTATTGGAAGAGGTGGAATCCATATTTTGGGCCATATTTATTTAATTAAAACTAATCCCAGCTACTTAAATATCAAATTACCTAATAAAACTAAAGCAATAATTCAAAACAATTCAAACATAACCTAAAATAAAAGATCTCGCCGGCCGGCTTTGGTTGTCAAATACCCGCACATGCCCATTTAAGCAATTTTTAAACGTTATCAGAGGTTATTTAGAACGAGCTTTTGGTGTAATTGATCCGCAAATTACGTCAGGCGGTAACGTTACTAGCGGGTGTTGCGTTAAAAATTGACTCGCGCATATCGTAACCATGATAAGGTACGCGTAAATACTGGATGACGCTATTCGGTTTTCCGATATCTCTCTAATAACTGTGCCAGTCAGGCGCTGTGCACAATTTTAGAGGCCATAAGTGGGCGTGCTATGTGCGCAAACTAGTCACCTAACTAGTGCCCGATTCCGAAAATTGGAACCACGAAAAACAATAAAGAAAAAACAAAGATTATAATCTGTATAATCTGTGGTCGAACTGTGGTATATTATATGTTTTCGTAAGAAGTAAATTTGATTTATACCGACTTTGCACCTAATGAAATTTGAAACAATTCAAACGTTTTTTTATACAGGTTGGTCCGAACTGTATTCCGGAAACTCTCGGCAGCGTATTCTGCAGATAAAAATAAGTCAAAAAGGTCGTATAAATGTATGTCGTAAAATGCTTAGTTTCGGAGATACAGGGTGTAGAAGTTTCATTTTATTTCGATTTTTTCCAAATAATTTCTGAAGTAACGTTAATATTTATATGAAAATTGGTGTCTGGGAGTTTTTTGACATGAGAAATTTGATTCTGACTTCCTATATATCGTAGATATTTTATCTATCGTAGATATTTTTTAACAGTAACAGTTATTACTTAATTTTCTGCCGTTCTATTGCAGGCAACGATTAAAATAAGTATTACCAAAAATTAGTTAAATAAATAAATTTACAGATATCATTAAATTGAGAATTCGTTATTTGAATTAACAATTTCATTTTTAACAGGAAGTCAGCGCCGCGAGAAAGGCAATCCTCGAAGAAGCCAGAAACTTCTACCAACTGCTCCAAGACCAAGAGGACGCCGAGGCTTGGCTAGTAGAAAAACAAAGAATTTGCCAAGCCGGTTTCACGGCTAAAGACCTACGAGGAGTATTCTCCCTTCAACAGAAACACAAAGTGTTAGTGGACGAAATCCAAGCTCGCAGGTATAAATTCGACCAGCTAGCCCAAACTAGCAAGCAGATGATCGCGAAGAAACATCCAAGATCTTCCGAAATCGAACAGCATATGGACAGGATCCAAAAAGCCTGGGAAATCGTGGAGAAGTTAGCTTTGGAACGAACACGTCAACTGCAGGACGCTGCTGAAGCCTATCAGTTCTACGCTGATGCAAACGAAGCTGAGTCTTGGTTTCTTGAAAAAGAATCGATTTTGGCTTCTAAGGATGTGGGAACAGACGAACCTAGTACCAGTTCTTTGCTCCAAAGACACAAAGATCTTGAAGGGGAGTTAAATTCCTATGAGGGCGATATTCGAAGCTTAAATGTCCAGGCTAATAAACTAATAGAAGCGGGTATTTCCAATTTAGATTTGAATTCGGAAGTAGATGTGGCAGATGACGTCGATAATGTTCAGTACGAATACAGGTAAGTGTCCAATATCAATATAAGAAGCCAGGGTTATTAATATACAAAGCGACATTTTTTTTTAAATTTGTCAGGTTTAAATTTACTATGTTTCTATGTTATTTTTTATATTATTACCAACTGAAAATTTTGATTATGAAAAATAAGGGGTATTTTTAATATTTTTGGGGGTTTCTCTCAAAGATATTTGATAGCATAGGGCTAGCCAAAATCGCAATATATTTAACTGTTACATTGAATGTTGAAAATTTGGTAAAGTCTGTTCGACGAGTTAGGAAAGATTTCGACAGACGACATCCAAAAAATGACAATTAGAATAACTGATGACTACTGCCACTGTCATGTATTTTTTCGTTGAACAGACTTTATTTCCATCAGCAAAATAAAACACTATAATTCACCACAATACACCAAAACACTGGATTAGTACAGTACGTCTGCTGGATCTTTGTCTATGAAAGGAATGCGGACAAAAAACATTTAAATAAACAACAATATATTTTATACGTCGACTTGACGAGTTCGTCACCGCAAATAGCTCCGCCCACTCATTTTATTGGCTACTTGTAAATTTGTCGAATTTTTATTGATGGGACGCGTCGTCTAATTTTTTACGAAAAACATTGAGAGAATATCGTTTCCCCTCTCACGGATACCCCGTAGCTACAGAACGGACAGACATACTGTACTAGTACTTTTAACACTGGATAGTACTAGTTTTAATCATCTGCTGATGATGCTAATATGGTTTACGATAAATGTATGTATGGGTTATGTAAAGTGTTTTGGTGTATTGTAGTGAATTAGTGTTTTGTTTTGCTGTTGTAACATCAAATATTTCAAACCCAAACTGTTGACCTGCGTCTGTCAAGTTTTCAACTACAATTAACCTAGTTAATGACTAATGACATTGTTTTCTTTACTTGGCAAATGCTTGTGCATATTGTCACTTTGGTTCCCCTTGTATAAGCAAATAGGTTTATATAAAAACGAAAAAATTTTTTATATTTTTTGCACCTTATTTACATCCTATATAATATACCGATCTGGTCATCGAAACTGCGCGGTCTGGATTTTAACGTGTAAGACAGTGATGTAGACAACTTAATGGAAAATCAAATGTATTAAAAAGAGGTAAAAATTAGGTTGATACATTTCTTCTATGCGATATTGCCGGATTTTGCATGAAAATTCCAAACCGCACAAGTAGGCGTTATGAAAAATATTGCAACTAGGATTGGAACTTAATTTTTCACAATTAGTTACTCATTTTACTACAGCTGTAATAGATTATATTTAGCTTAGATATTGTTACGGATTCCGTAGGTCCACTATTTAAACTCACGATAAAATACCTAACGAATTTATTTGTCTCACTCTGTACACACAACTTATACTATTTACAACACAATTTATGCAACTACTCTTACTCTAACGGTATTTCGCGGTATTATCAAACTTCAGACTATCTTCAAACTGCTCCAACTGTCAAAGCGCGGGCCTTATATACCCCCTGGCGATGGTTTCTGGAATTTTCTAAAGAATTCTGTAATTCTCTTTTACTTTCTGGCGAATTCGCCAGGTTCCTCAATGCACGTTACGGTTATGTAGCAGTAATGCAGTTATGCAACCAGTAATACACCTTGATCTTGACATTGCCCCCTTCTCAAATTTGATCGTCCCGATCAAGGTTTCCTGTCTGGTATCTCTTCAATCGATCCAGATGAACTACTTTCATCTTACTTCTAGGGCTGCGTTGAATCCGGTACACAACATCATTTATCCTCTTGATGACTGTATAAGGACCTTCCCATGCTGGAGTTAACTTTGGGGACCTTCCTTTCTTGCGCTGTGGGTTATACAACCATACCCTATCGTCCTGTTGAAATCCCGTAGAATTAGCTCTGAGGTCGTAACGAGCTTTCATCCGATCACTGGCTAGCGCAATCTTACTTCTAACGGTCTGATGAATTTCCAATAACCTTTCCTTCAGTTCATCCCCGTAGTCCTCTACGTTCGTGGTGCTGTCGTCTGGTGATCCGAACACCAAGTCACAAGGCAACCGTAATTCTCGACCAAATAAAATCTTCGATGGTGAAAGTCCGGTGGTGTTGTGAACTGCACTTCTATATGCCATTAGGAATAGTGGTATATGCTGATCCCAATCTCTTTGATGTTCGTCCACCATTTTCGAGAGGTGTTCTTCAATGGTCTTATTGAATCTTTCGACCATCCCATCAGACTGCGGATGTAAAGCCGTTGTCCTAATCTTGTGAATACCAAGCAGATCACACATCTTCTGAAACAGTCTTGACTCGAAGTTCCTTCCTTGGTCAGTGTGAAGCTCTAAGGGAATTCCAAATCTACTGAAGACATTATTGACTAATATTTCAGCTACAGTCGATGCTTCTTGGTTTGGAATGGCAAAAACTTCTGGCCATTTACTGAAATAATCCATCGCCACCAAAACGTACTTGTTACCCTTGTGCGTTTCAGGGAATGGACCTGCAATGTCAACAGCGATTCTTTCGAATGGCAGTCCAACGTTATATTGTTTCATTTTTCCCCTAGATCGAGTGCTTGGTTCTTGACTGGCTGCACAAATTTTACATTATCGACACCATTTCTTGACATCTTCGCAATAATCCACCCAGTAAAAACGGCCTCTCAGCTTGCTTAAGGTCTTGTTTACTCCAAGATGGGCTTCAGTTTTACCACCGTGAATTTCTTCCAATACCTGGGTAACTTTCTTCCTTGGTACCAGTAACTGAGTTGTTACTGTCCTGCCATCCGCACTTTCCCACGTGCGCTTTAACAATCCATTCTCAATCACCAGTGAATTCCACTGAGCCCAGAAAGCTTTGAAAACCAGCCCTCTGTCCGCAATATCCTGCCACGGTGGTCTCTCGCCGTTACCTTCCTTGAGCCGTAGTATTGCTCCGATGTCTGGATCTTCCATTTGATCTTTCCTCAATTGTGTCGTCATCCACTGTTCATCGGTTCCAAGTTTAAAACTCCTTATCATAACAGTGCCTTCACGTTGTTCCGTTTTACAGCAGTGCTTACAATCGGTTTGACAGGGTCTTCTGGATAAACCGTCTGCGTTTTTCCAGCACGATGTTGGATGGTAAAGTGATACTGTTGGAGCTTCTCGAGCCATCGTGCTATTTGACCTTCAGGTTGTTTCATCTCCATAAGCCACTTGAGAGCCGCATGATCTGTCCGAATTAAAAATTCTTGGCCATACAGATATTTATGAAAATGATCAACTGCCTTCACAATTGCTAGCAGCTCCTTCCGGGTAACGCAGTAATTCCTTTCTGGTTTGGATAGAACTCGACTGTAATATTCTATCACTCGTTCTTCGCCATCTTGCACTTGTGATAGCACTGCACCTATGCCGATGTTGCTGGCGTCTGTGTCCAGGATATACCTCCCTTGTTGTTGCGGGTAGGCTAAAATAGGACTTGAACATAAAGCCGCCTTAAGTCTTCCAAAGGCTACATTACGATCGGTGTTCCATTCGTAGCCGACTTCATCACCTGTAAGTTTATGTAAAGGTGCAGCTATGTTGGCAAATCCCTTGACATCTTCTGTAATATGTGCATAAACCCAGAAAACTTCTAAGTCCATGCTTGTCGCGAGGTTTAGGCCAATCCTTGATCGCAGCGATTTTCTTCTGGTCGGTGTAAATTCCGTCTGCCGAGACTACATGACCCAAGAATTCCACTTGTCGCTGGAATAAGCTACACTTCTTCGGGTTCAAGTACAGGTGAGCATTCCTTATGCGGCCGAAGACTTCTAAATTTCGCAAATGCTCCTCAAAAGTTCTTCCAATAACCAATACATCGTCGAGGTAAACCAAGCACGTTTTCCAAGTTAATCCTCTTAACACCACCTCCATGAGACGTTCGAAAGTGGCCGGAGCATTGCATAATCCAAACGGCAAGACCTTGAATTGGTATAGTTCGTTTCCTGTAGAAAAAGCCGTCTTTTCTTTGTCTTCCTCGTCCAGACCAACTTGCCAGTATCCACTCTTTAAGTCGAGAGTGGAGAACCAGCACGAACCTGCCAGTGTGGTTAACGTGTCGTCTATACGTGGCAGTGGGTAACTATCCTTCTTAGTGACGTCATTGAGCTTCCTGTAGTCCACGCAGAATCGTGTACTACCATCTTTCTTCGTCACCAAAACAACAGGAGATGACCATGGACTTGATGACTCTTCGATTACTCCATCTTCTAACATCTTATCTACCATTGTCTCCATTTCTTGTTGTTTGGAAAGGGGCACCCTTCTAGGACGTTGTCGAATCGGCTGAGCATGACCAGTATTATTCCGGTGCTTCACAAAATCCGTTCTTCCACTGTTATTTTTCTCAAAAATACCGCCATGCTTTCGCAGGAACTGCTTAGCCTTCTGTTTCTCCTCATATGTTAGGTGATCCCATGGCTGTTCTAGATGTTTTAGTGTTTCTTTGGATGCCATTTGTGTAACAGCTGACGACACTTCATCACATCGGGTGACACTTCTTACAGGTTCGCAGATGGCTATCTTGTCACCTTTTTGAATCTTGACACAATTCGGGAAAACATTCGCAATTCTGATCGGTATATTCTTGTCGGTGTTCACCAATGACTTTCCTACTAAGTACCTATCTTGTTTCTTGTCGCCACTTTTTACCAGTCCAACACAGCACCCAGCGATTTTCTCCACTTTACCGAATACGATCTTCTCGGTATTACCAGGTATCACCACAGTTTCCGCTGATCTTACATCCATTCTGCCTGGTCCCTCGTCTGGAGATAACATGAACTCTTCATATCCAATATTTAAGATATTTCTCTGGTGATCGAACGAAAATCCATGTTGACGAATCATATCCATGCCCAAGATGAAGTCATCTTCAATATCTGCCACTAAGACGCTATGCTGAAACTTCAAATTTCCTAACTTCAGTTCGACGATAGCCTTTCCCCGTGCAACGGCCATTTCCCCCGTAACTGTACGTAAACACACTCTTCTTCCCAGAGACATCAGCTTCAATCCTTGCACTGAGTTAGCCCGCACCAACGATACCATAGCGCCAGTATCCACAGTCATTCGAATTCCCTTTCCATTGACTTTCCCGTCGATCACCAAGCTGTCAGCGGTTGTTCCTAGACTCCTAATGGAAAAAATCCTGGGGGCTCTGTTCTCCCCAGTCAATACTCGCCCCTTAGTATTGACTGATTTTAGTTTTCCTGGTGCCTACGTTCTCTGGATGCTGAACGGGATCGCATGAACGCGGCAATCCCGTTTGATGTGGCCATTCCTGCCACATCTATAGCACCTTATGTCCTGGGATCTTCTCTGGTTCTCTGTCTGGTTATTGTTGATTCCCTTGTTTATTAGTAGCTCACATAGTTTGTCGAATTTTCTACACATCTCCTCCAAACTTCTGTGGGTACTCTCGGGCTGTTCCTCTACCGTTACCGATCTTATCTTCGGTCTAGGGATGGCGCTAAAAGCAGCTTCGATTTCCAGCGCCCTGACTAGTGCTTCGCTACTTGTAGAAAATCGGGATATTTGCAGCGCCCTCTGTAACTCGTTGTCCTTTAATCCACTGATAAAGCACTGAGCAGCGAGTTCCTCCCTAAATCCTTCCGGTGCTTCAGGATACGCTAGGTGTACCAGCCGACGTAAGTCTGCTTCAAATTCCTGCAGACTCTCTCCGGACCTCTGCAGGCGTGTCTTGATCTGGGCCTGGTAAAGTTGGCGTCGATGTTGGTCGCCATATCTTCTGTCCAGTACAGCGACCAAAGTTTGGCATTCCTGCTGTTGGGCTGCAGGAATAGTTTGCAGGAGTCCCAGGGCAGGGCCACGCAGCGCGATGACAAGTGCCGCTGCTTTCTCCTGGTCAGTCCATCCATTGGCAGCAGCCGCTGCTTCAAACTGGCGGTGGTACATCGTCCAAGGGGTTTGTCCATCGTAGGTCGGGGCCTTGAGGTTCGCAGTTCCATGAACGCCAGGTGTCCTTACTTGTACCTTAGTCTTCTGTAGGTCCATCTCTAATTTTTCCATTTTCTGCTGAAGGCGTTTCTCCAGATCTTCTACGGCTTCTTGGAAGTGATTCTGCTGTTCCTGGCAACGTACTTCTGACATGCTTATTGCTTTTTTTCCATGTCCCCGAAGCTTTTCTGAAGTCGAATTTCCTGATTTTCTAATATTTTCTGAAGCCGGTCTTGTTCTTCTTGTCTGTCGTGCTGTCGTTGAACTTTGAAATCTTCGAAAATTAACTCAAGCCGGTCCTGTTCTTCTTGTTTATCATGCTGTGGTTGAACTTTCAAATCTTCGAGAATTTTCTCAAGCCGGTCCTGTTCTTCTTGTTTGTCTTGTTGTCGTTGAATTTTTAAATCTTCGAAAATTTTGTCTTGATTTCCTAGAATTTTCAGTAGGCGATCCTGTTCTTCTGCTTTTTCTCTTCTCATATTCTCCATAAAACCTTCTAATAACTTGCTTACTTCCTCCATTTTCTTCGCTTGCTCCCTTGTACCAACCAGTGATACTCTAATTCGGTCTAAAAATCTTCCAATCCACTTAATTTCTTCTTAAAATCCTCTTGAATCGCACTTCGGACACCAGTTGTTACGGATTCCGTGGGTCCACTATTTAAACTCACGATAAAATACTTAACGAATTTATTTGTCTCACTCTGTACACACAACTTATACTATTTACAACACAATTTATGCAACTACTCTTACTCTAACGGTATTTCGCGGTATTATCAAACTTCAGACTATCTTCAAACTGTTCCAACTGTCAAAGCGCGGGCCTTATATACCCCCTGGCGATGGTTTCTGGAATTTTCTAAAGAATTCTGTAATTCTCTTTTACTTTCTGGCGAATTCGCCAGGTTCCTCAATGCACGTTACGGTTATGTAGCAGTAATGCAGTTATGCAACCAGTAACACACTTTGATCTTGACAATATGTTATCTTCATTTCAGTAGTATACATGAAAGTTTTTAAATAGTTTATTTTTTTCTACGCATATTTTCCTACCAACGTACAAGCCGGCAATACTGTATGCCGCTTTTTATTTTGTCTCTCTGTCTGTCAACCGGTCATTTATATTTATCTCTGTCACATGTTGCATGCATGAAAATACAGACCACGCAGATGAAGTGACTAGACCTTGTATAAAAAGCGACGTATAGTGTTGCCGGTTCGTACGTGAAATAACATAATAAATGTTAATATGACAATAAAAATATATATAATATGTTAATGTAATAATAAAAAAAAATTTAATGTCTTACTTTTAGAATGATCGCTAAAGAAGTATTTGAAGACGAACCAGTCGACAAAGTAGTATATAGGAACGTGATCGAAGAGAAAAAAGCGCCTCAAGTTCGGGCTCTGTACCCGTACAACGCTCACGGTTTCACTATGGTGAAAGGCGAGGTCATGTTCTTACTCAACAAGAGCAACCCCGATTGGTGGTGCGTCCGTAAGGCTGACGGCAGTGACGGATTCACCCCGGCCAACTACGTCGATGAGATCGAACCCAGGATCATCCAGCACAACGTACGCAAAGCCGAAACCGTCAGAACTATTCAGAAAGTAAAGAAGACCAAGATGGTTAAGACCAAAGTCCCTATTCAGATACCGCGAGCACCTAAACCAGCTAAACGAAAGATAGATGATAATAACAGTGTGCCTAAGAGGATGAAGCAGTTGAACGACACTTATTCCAAGTTGTTACAAATGGCTGTAGCTAGACGAAACTTGCTAGAGGATGCTATTAGGCTGTTCCGATTTTATAAGGAATGTGACGACTTTGAGAGATGGATTAAGGACAAGGAGAGGATGTTGTCCGTTGACGATCCAAACGACAGTGTTTTACAAGCTAAGAGGAAATATGAGGTAAGTTATTTTATTTTGGTCTTAATAAATGGGATAATATTATTTATTTTGTTATTCATATTGCACAGTAATATTCTTGTGTTCTTCTTTAATTTGCATTTTAGTTATGGTGAGCGTTTTCACGATTAGACTGTCGTTTTAAGGGGTTACAATTATTTTAGAGTTTAGGGGATTTTTACACAATCCTGTCATTATATTTATTAGGATGTGATTTAAATACAGATTGGAATGTTTTTAATGACATTCTGTTATACCGTGCTGGCAACTGTTACTTTTAGGTCGAAACTTACGTGTTATGTGTAGAAGTAAATCGCATAGGGATCAAGTTGGAGTGAGAGAAATGCGACGGTATGCTGTTGCGACGTTGCCGGTACGCCTTTCCTTGTCGTAAAATCACGATCGCAAACCGCTTATTTTTAAACGACTTTTTTTTTCGATAATAGAGCTAGATAAAATCATTAGATATGTTTCTGAGCACCTGAAATAGAATTATAAGGATATCGTTAGGGTAATCAATTATTTTTAATAGATTCTGAGATATCGATTCATTTTGAATTCAGAGTTCTAATAGCGCGACCACTGTCGAATACCAACTCAATTCCGCTTATTTTTACCAAAAATGCAAGTGTTTCTAACTTGCACTTAAAAATGTTCAAGCTCTGGGGAAAATTACGACTCGTTAATAAATAAACAAATAAAGTATCACGAGACGTAATTAAATAGTGAAGCTGAAAGCATGATGTACACCTTTACCTAGAACTTTAGATACTAATGTGGTACTGATTGGGTCGACCGGTGGACTGCGACAAATCTGCTATATCCCCTTCCACGTCTCTTAGCAATGTGCGCAGTTTCTCGGTTTATTTCGTGCAGTTGGCAACGTGTTTATTGTTCTCTCTTTCAGTACATTATAAACGCATTGTACTCTTCTTACATACGGAAAACTCGACCCAAGAGTAACCTTTGCCAGCCCTTAGAATATTTTTAGTATTTTTTTTTAATTGAACCACCTATACATATTTTAGGGTTTTTGTTTTTTTTACATAATTTTTTTTAAGGTTTTAATAAAGTTTTTTAAAATATTTTAAATTTTATACCAAAAATGACATTTACAGGGCAGAATATAAATAAATATTGTTTTGCATTGATGGCTTTTTTATAAATTTTTACAATTTTTTTGGGAAAGGTTTGCTCCAATTTTTGTTTATGGTAATTGGTTAAGTATTACGGTAGGTTCATATACACGTGAATTGCGAATATTGTTATTGGTCGATTTCAAAAAATACGCAGGCGGCAAAATTGACAGAAAGTTGTTTTAATATTTTGCGATTTCGTAATTCGCATTTTGCAATTCGCGTGTCTATGAATCTAAATTTATACAGAGTACTCATAAAATGTGATAAAAACTACGTTCAAAAATTCTCTAAAAAGTGAAAATCCCCATTCTGTTCTAATGGACCCCCATTCACAACTAGACATGTAATTCACACATAGACACTTGGATCCAGTTTCCTCTAAATATCTTTAGGTGTGACCATCTTGTCGGAGGCCTGCCTCCGCTTCTGAGAGCATCATGTCACAGATCTTGTTTTTAGGTCACTTCCTGTTTCACCGGAAATGACTACAACTTTTGATTTTTCAATGGGTGCCATTCGGTTTAGTTTACCAACCCAAACCAAACCAACTACACCCTCAGTATATTTTTACTTCGATAGAAAATGACACACTGAATAGAATGACATATCATATGTCAACTTTTGACATATGATATGTCATTCCACTTTCATTCGACACTTTTGGCTTAAAAAAAATATTGTATTTTAAATTTCAATCTAGAGTGCCATGGCTGTGTTAAAAATAATATTTTTTAATCAAGGAGCCTTGGAGAAATAGTTTTGATCGTCTAGTGTTTTTCGTATCTTGTCGTGGCCAGTTAAAAGATTACCAAATCGTATTTTTCATAATTTCTCTATTTTTTCAAATGAAACGAGGGTGGCTCATTAGCATATTTGGAAAAAGCATTTTTTACAAATAATTTGGTACCACACACTTGGTATTTCGAGTCAAATTGTCGTTATGAACAACATGTTACAATATCAAATAAACCATATGCGAAAATGTCAAAAGTTGACATATGATATGTCGTTCTATTCAGAGTGTCATTTTCTATCGAATAAAGTAAAAAAATACCGAGGGTGTCATTTAAAAATCAAAAGTTGAAATCATTTCCGGTGGAACAGGAAGTGACCAAAAGGAATTGAATACATCAATCAATCATAATTTGTGTCATATACTAACATACCAAATTTACCGTTACACACTTAATAATGAACGGATTGTGTGAAAACGCCTGTATTTTAACGAAACTGTGGTTTATTATCTATTTATGATATTATATTTATAAGATCAAAATAAAAATATAATTATATAAAAATGTGTTTTCTCTCTTTTATTTAGAAATTCGTAACTGATCTTTCTGCAAGCAACAGACGTATGGAAGCCCTAGAAGCTGAAGTACGAGAATTCGAAAAACAAAGCCACTCCCAAATCGACCGAGTTCGCGCTCGTTACCGTCAAGTCGAGCTCGCTTGGCAGAAACTGAACAGACTAAAGGCCTCTAAAGAAAAGAGCCTGGAAGGTGCCAGCAGTGTTGAACTGTTTAACAAACTCTGCGACGAAGCCAGAGACTGGATGTTGGAAAAGATGTTGCAATTGGAAAGCTTCGTTTTGGGCCACGATTTGAAAACGGTCCAGGCCCTTCAAAGGCGTCACGATAATTTGGAAAGAGAATTAGCCCCGGTGGAAGAGAAAGTTACCAAAGTGAATCTATTAGCCAACGATGTTAAAGCTGCGTATCCATCAGAGAGACAGAATGTAGTTGTCAGACAAAAAGAAATCAACGACTTATGGGCGAAAGTGTTAGAAAAGGCAGTGGAAAGACGTGCACGTTTGGAGAATGCTGTAGGTCAACAGATCTTTACTAACGGCGCTAAAGATTTACTAAAATGGGTAGCTTCAGTAAAGGATCGGCTAAATACCGAAAACGTTGTCAAAGATGTACAAACTGCAAAATTGATGATTGAGCAACATGGTTATTTGCAACAGGAGATTAATGCTAAAGACGATGAGTAAGTAAAATATATTTCGTTAATATATAGGGTTTTTTTCAATTATTTTAACCTAGATAGTTAAAAATACGGAGAAGATTGTGTAGAAGGGAATACAGTAACTGGACTAAAATATTTCCAATGTTACAGTAGTTACTAATACTTTTTAAATACGGTAATCGCAAAACAATTTCCGATGCACGTGATCTGCTGGGAAACAATATATTTATTATATTATTTTATAAAGATTTTATTTCTAATTTAATAATTAATATTTTACTTATTACATATTGGTAAAAATTAGTCCATTATGAAGATTATTCTAAGCGTTATTATGGGTTATCTATTTATTTATTGATGTGCAACTTACAACACCACAAGTGGTAATAACAAGTAAAGGGGTGCCATTAATGCACCAACTAATAATGACAGAATTTATTAAAAACTAACGTAGAAATAACTTTGAAAGTGGTATAATGTGCTTACCAATCAAACATACTTGTCTGACTGCAATCAAGGGTTATGAAGCACCTTTATTGTCACGTTCTTGTTCAAAATCTGTTACAATCATTTATTCTATAAAGTAAAATAAAGAGCTGTTCGATATCTTAAATTACACAACAAATTTAAGCATTTTTAGCAAAATTTCATTTAGTCAGGTTTATAGGCTTTAGTGTCAATTTAGATATGATTGATGACGTGCATCCGAAAATGTTTTGCGATTACTGTACCCGTTATCATAATTTTATTATTTTACAATATAACCTTATTTATTCATTATCATATTTTAAATTATATTTAAATTTATGTTAAGAATACACATGTTTGTCTATTATTACAATATATTCAGTTTTATGTCAAATTGATACAGAGCAGGGCAATTTAATTTTTCAAAGAATTTTTTGACACTGGCCATCATAACTATTTGTGATTTATAAATTATTTCTATGCTTATAGAAATAGATTTTAAATAATAGGGTAATATGTTAACATACAAATATTTTGAAAAGGAAACTAATCTACAGAGTGTGCCAATATTGCAACAGATGGCAAAGTTTTTTTTATTGATTATTCCAAAATACCCTCGGAGTTTTTTTTCTATAAGCTTTAGCAGCAAACTAAACAAGTTTCATGTCTTAAAAATTGTTTTTTTTTATTTTTTACAATTAATTACAGAATATTAAAGAAAAAATATTATATTTGGAATTATTGTCGAATTTTCTTACTGTTTTAATTGCTTCTAGCGGAACCAATACTATTTTTAATATTGAGATTTAAAGATGACTAATTTATAATTACTTTTCAGATTTAGACAACTAATAGATTTGGGTAGAAAACTACTTAAAACTAACCCTGACCTTGTTGAAGTTAAAAACTACATAGAACGCCTAGAAGCTGAGCAAGCTGCTATTGCCAGAGGATGGAAAGAGAAAGAACATTGGATGCAACAATGTCTCCAGTTGCAATTGTTCATTAAGGAAGCAGATAATATTGATGCTATTACATCCGGTCATATGGCGTTTTTGGAATTCTCCGACCTCGGGGTAAGTTTTTGGTTAAAATGCTTATTTTTAAAAATATCTGATTTTTTCTTTATCTGTTTAGAACTCGTTGGACGAAGTAGAGGCTTTACTTAAACAACATAGAGTATTTACTAATACATTATTAGCTCAAGACACTAGAATTGACGAGTTTGTCAAAATGGCTGAGGTTCTTATTGGCAAGGATCACTATGCCGTCCAAACGTATGAAGGTAATATTATTTTCTTAAAATTTATTATTATTTTTAACTAATTTTAGAATTATCGACCGGAGAGATCAAGTTCTTCAAAAACGACAGGCTGTTAAAGATTTATGCCAAGAACGAGCTAAGGCGCTTGAGGCATCTAAAAATTATCAGGAATTCTGCGCAGAAGCTGACGACCTCAAAGTATGGCTCGCCGAAAAACTTAAAACTGCATCCGATGAAAGTTATCGTGATCTTAATAACATCGAAAAGAAAATACAAAAACACGAGGCTTTCGAGAGAGAACTCAGGGCCAATGAAGGTCAACTGAGGACTGTTAGTAAACTCGGCGCAGCTTTAATTGCCCAAGGAAGTTACCAATCAGACGAAGTGCAAGCAATATTGCAGGAGTTGAATGAAACGTGGCAGAACCTTCAAGTAATTTCTTTAGAAAAAACACGCAGGCTAAATCAAGCCTTAGAACAAGAGAACCATAATAAAGAGGTAGAAAATGTGAAGAATAAGTTAACAGAGATCGACGGTACTATAACAAATGTTAATGTGGGTACAGACCTGAGATCATGCAGAGATCAACTTAAAAGACAAGAACTACTGGAAGCTGAATTGTCTCAAGTGGGTTCACGCGTAGAAGGTCTCATAGGTCAAAGCAGAGACATGAAAGAAGATGGACATTTCAATTCTGACAGCATATATAAGATGAGTACCATAAGTCAGCAGAAATTACAAGAATTAAACAGTCCCGTTCAAAGAAGAAAAGCTGCTTTATTAGAAGCTCTAGAATATTATGAGTTTGGTTTCCAAATCGATAACGAGATGCAGTGGATTAAAGAACATATGCCCCTGGCAACATCAGACGAAGTTGCAAATAATTTGCATCAAGCCCAAAACTTACACAAGAAAAATAAGAAATTGCAAGCTGAAATTGTTGGTCATCAACCTGTTATTGATAAAGTTTTAGACATAGGACACAAACTCATTAAACAAAGACATCCAGAGACTAGCAGTGTATGTATAATCATATAATCTAATGATAAAAAGTTAATAAATTTTGTATTTTTTAGATTAAACAACTGTGCGATAAACTATCCCTCAACTGGGCTGAACTTAGAAGTTCTGCCGAAAAGAGAGGGCAAAAATTGGAACTTTCCCTTAAAGCACAACAATATTTCTTTGAAGCCAACGAAGTAGAATCTTGGCTGAACGAAAAAGCCAATATTTTAGCTAGTAATGACTTTGGTAGAGATAGAGATTCGGCCACAAAGCTACTAACTAGACATAAGGTAGATTTTCTATTATTCTTCCTCTTACTTTTTTGAATTAATTTCTTTTTTTTTTCATAATTTTTAGGCTCTTGAATTAGAACTTGAGACATATAACAACATTATTCTTGAAATGGGCCATGGGGCACAAGCTATGATTAAATCTGGTCATCCTGATGCCAAGTTGATAAGCGAAAGGCAGTCTGGTTTAGAACATTTGGTGAGATCTTTGCAAAGAAAAGCCGTAATTCGGCGACAAAGACTCATGGAATCCCTATTTAGACATGAGTATTTTATGGAATCTGATGAATTAGAAATATGGATTGCTGAAAACTTACAGCAAGCTTCGTCAGAAGATTATGGTCAAGATTATGAACATCTTCTGGTAAGTTACTGCCCAGGGAACAAATAAAAATTCCGTGAAAGTTGGATATTTACTATAGTTTTTCTCTTGTACTTGATTTGTCAAGAATTGTCAAGAGTTTTTCTTTAAAAAATATGGAGTTTTGATTTACAAAAGTTGATCTTTTTAAATCAAAATAATTTGGTACTAGTATCAGCAAGACTTAATAAAAATGAATTAATTTTTTTGAAAGTGGCATAGTGATGTCTAAACTGAAATATTATTTCTACGCCTACTCTGATCTCATTTTCATTTATTAATATTCCTTATTTTCCTTTGCCGGTTGCATGATATTAATTTTTTTATTTTTTTAGCTGTTGAAGAATAAGTTTGACGACCTTAAACACAAAATAGAGGCTGGCGCAGAAAGGTACAAGCAGTGCGAGGCATTAGCTCTAAAACTGTTAGCTAGTGAAAATTCCTACGGTGTCGATATTCAAAATAAACAAGGCGTTCTAGAGTAAGTATAATGGTTGAACATTCCTCTGTGGCTGTAAACACCTTACACGTAGTTATTGTTTAAAGTTTAGAGACACAATTACTATTTTTAGAAAATCAAACATTTTTATAGAGGAACATTTCTAGTATCTTGAACTATGCATGATTATATTTCTATTATTTTATAACGAATTTTAATAAATTCAAATTCAACTGTAAAAAGACTAACATCACTTTTACAGTTCAGTGAAAAAATAAGCTACTTTATATTTACATATGTAAACATAATTAACCAGGCACATTTAACTGTACGTCACCACATATTAATTATATTATTAATAATCATTATTTTGAACTCATTTACATTGTAAAGATCGTTTATAAATATGTATTTCTATCGCACAGTTGTATAATATTCATTCTTATTTGGTGTTGGTACTAACTTGTTCTAGAACTGACCATGTCCCTTCAGAAGCATGTCAAGATGTGCAGAAAAGACATGAGCAAATCAGGTAACCAATATTATCATTGTAGTCGATCAAGAATTACTTTTAAAACTTTTGTATTTAGAAACGAATATGCAAACTGCGGTATGTATTAACACCTTTTATTTTTAGGGAATCATGGGATAACCTACACGAACAAGTCAAACGACGAGAAGAACGCCTTAATGCGGCTGGAGAAATCCACAGATTCCACAGAGATGTCGCAGAAGCATTGCAACGTATACAAGCCAAAAACGCAGCATTAGGTACTGATCTAGGAAGAGATCTAAATTCAGCCATTGCTCTTCTGAGAAAGCACGAAACCTTTGAAAATGAACTTGTCGCACTTGAGGCTCAGTTACAAATTTTAGTAGAAGATGCCTCAAAACTGTTGAATGTTTACCCTAAGAACAAGAACAATATTCAGCAGCAACAAGAGTTAGTCGTGACTGCGTGGAACAAATTGAAAGATCGAACTGACCAAAGAAAAGACCAACTTCAAGCCAGCGTGGACTTGCAGAAATTCCTTTCTCAAGTTAGAGACCTTACAAACTGGGCAACCAACTTGAGACTAGCGATAGGAGCAGAAGAACCTGTTCGAAATGCTATGAGCGCCCAGATTTTGAAAGCAGAACATGAAGCACTCAAAGGAGAAATTGACGCGCGCGAAGGCGACTTTCAAATGGCAACTGAAAACTTGGCAGCAATGGAACAAACTGGGCACTATGCTGCACAAGAGGCGGTGGAGAAATACAAAATATTAATTCAAGAACGCGACAAGTTATACACTGCCTGGCAATTAAAGAAAATTCGCCTAGAACAATTATGTGACTTGTACGTATTCTTGCGAGAAGCTAAGCTTATTGAAGATGCCACCAATTCACATGAGGTTACTTTGTCTAAGGCAGACTTCGGAGACACTGTTGATGATGTAACTCATCAACTCAAGAAGCACGAAGAGTTTGAGAAATTGGTTGCAATTCAAGACAGAAACTTGGAAGCCCTTGTTCAGTCAGGAAACAAACTACTTAACCAAAACCACTTTGAAAGCGACCAAGTGTCAAGGAAATTAAATGAAATTAGAAAGAAACGCGAACGTATTAGTCAGCTATGCATTCAAAGAAAACAAAGAATTATGGATGAACTACTTTATGTAGAATTTATCAGAGACGTTGTTGAAGCCATGAGTTGGATATCCGAGAAGCAAAAGAAGTTAGATCTAGAAGGCAAAACAAACGATAACGTACCATTAGATGTAAAAATTAAGGCACTTCAAAGATATCAAGCCTTTTACGCTGAGGTGTCTGCCAACGTCGCAAGGATCGAAGAAATACAATCAAATGGTGAGAAATTGATTGCCAAAAGACATCAGGCTAGTCCCGACATACAGAAGAGACTCGATGAACTCTACCGAGTTTGGTCCGCTTTCCTTAAAGAAGTCAATTTGAGAAAGAAAGGGTTGGAGGAAGCACAAGATATTCTGGAATTCACCAGTCTACTCGAAAAGATGGAAGCCTGGATTCGTGAAAGGGAAGTCATGATATTAGCGGGAGACACGGGCAGAGATTACGAACACTGTCATATGCTTCAGCGAAAACTGGATGACGTAGATAGCGATATGAGAATCGACGATGCTAGAATTAAAACTATTGATTCCTTATGCGAGAAGCTAGCTCGTCAAGGACAAATCGATGTGGTTAGAAGAAGAGATGCCTTTATCACAAAATGGCAGTCTCTTCAAGGCGCTTTAACGAATTACAGAAATAAACTGGCGGCGGCTTTAGAAATCCACATATTTGACCGTGACGTTATGGACACCATAGACAGGCTTAACGAAAAATCCAAATCTATGAGTATTGAGGATGTCGGAAAAAATCTAGCAGCAGTAGAGGCTCTCCAAAGAAAACACGAGGCTTTAGAGTCTGAAATATCGGCAATCGATGCTAAAATTCGCAAAGATCATCATAGAGCAGCTGGAAAACTTATATCTAAGTACCCTCATAGTGAAGAACATATAAGAAGCAAGCTTAGTATTTTGGAATCATTATTAATATCACTCACGACCCTCAAATCTAAACGTAAGGAACTTCTTCAAAAAGCCTACGTACAAGAGAAATTCAGATCCGACTTTAAGGAACTTGAACTTTGGGTTAACGAAACGATTAAAAGAATGGGAGCTTATGATAAACCTAATAGTGTAGCTGATGCTAAAGCCTTGTTGGAACTTCACCGTGAACTATTGGCTGAGATAAATGGCCGACACGATGCTTTGCAAAATCTTATTGCCAAAGGCCAGAAATGCCCAGAGACAGACTACCCAGAAATTCCTAATTATGTTGCGAGATTACAACAATTAGGGGAAAGTATTGTCATCGCTTGGGAGGAAGCAAATCAAGAACTTACGCACGAATATAACATTCAGGATTTCAAGGAACAAGCGAATCAACTCAACAGTTGGTTTGCTGTTAAAGAAGCATTCTTAAATAACGACGATCTAGGAGATACCCCGAGAGCGGTAGAAACATTATTAAGAAAACATGAAGATTTTGAAATAATGTTGCAAAAACAATTGGTGAGGATAGAAGAATTATCAAAAATGGCTCATAAAATTACTGATCTAAAACCAAGCTCAGAGGTTTCAAAGAGGCTTCATTCTATATTAAGTAGAAAAGATCGTTTGCTAGAAAAGAGCGCAGAGCGTAAAGATTTATTGTTAAAATCCCGAAGTTTACAAAAGTTCTTGCATACTATTAATGATGTGGAAATTTGGCTAAGTCAGAAACTTTCAATTGCAAGGGATGAAAATTATCGAGATCCAAGCAATTTACAGAATAAAATTCAAAAACACGCTACCTTTGAGGCTGAAGTGGTTGCTAGTGGAGAAAGAATTCAAAGTGTCGTTGAAGAAGGCAAGGAGTTGATAGGCAGCGACCACTATGCCGCAAAAGAGATTGGAATCAGACTGGACGAGTTAGAAAACGACTGGAAACATTTACTGGAGTTATCTCATCTTAAACGCGATAGGCTAAGCGAAGCATATCAAGCCCTTCTATTTATCCGATCAGTTGAAGAATTCGAAATTTGGTTATCTGAAATGGAGACTTACCTTAACTCGGCCGAAACCGGTAAAGACTTGGCTTCTGCCAGCAGTTTGTTAAAGCGTCACATTACTCTAGAGAAAGATATTCAACAACATATAGAAAACTGTGAACAGATACATGAAGGTTCTGAGCAGTTTGTTAAAAGTGGTCATTTCATGGCTCCACAGATTAAAGAAAAAGCTGAGGCAGTTATAACGAGATATCATCAGCTAAAAGAACCTCTTCAAATTCGCAGAGATCTTCTGGAATCCTCGGCAATGCTGTTCCAGTTCAAAAGAGACGCAGATGACGAACTTCAGTGGATTGCAGAACGGGAAGTTATTTGTTCTTCGACAGAATTAGGCAATAATCTGTCATCTGTGCAGAGCTTGCACAAGAAACATCAGACCGTGGAAGCTGAGCTAGCCTCTAGGGAACCTATTGTAACAAACTTAGTTTCCAGAGCAACCAATCTGACCAGAGCTAATCATCCTTTGGCACATATTATAAAAGATACAGCAAATCTGGTACAGAACCGATTAACACAAGTACGTGATTTAGCTAGTATCAGACGGTTGCGTCTTCAAGATGCTTTGGAAGCCCATACAGTAAGTACTTTAAATTATTTTGATAAAATATACTTTACGGGGATCTGTTTATAAGCTCATATTAAATAAACTTTTAGTCACGTGATTAAGCTTGACCGGCACAGCGTTGCCTGCTTTTACATATTTTCTTTTAATCAAAATATTTTAAGAAAGAAAAATAAATTAATTATAAATAAATATATAAACAGTTATTATTTACATCAACAAAACTCACCTTCTTAACAGCGACTTAAGAGACATAAAGAGCTATTACTACCGCTTTCTCGTTCAAAATATTCTAATAAAGTTGCGATCAGTTTTTTTACGGCTATTAAGCTATTTTGTACACTTCGCACTAAAAGATATTCTAAAAAGAACAATGTTCGACTGCAAGGTCTGCTAGTAAAAAAAAATAAATTTAAAGTATCACAATGCAAGTCATTTAAACCAAAAACTCGTAATACAAAACTAAAGTGTCAAAACGAATGACAATATCAGGAAATAGATAAATAAATGTGGCAACTTGACATGTTTTAGAGCAGAGCTACCACCTGAATCAACATTGTTGGCAACAATGAATTTAAAAATCGCGCCCTCGATTACGTAACTAAAAGTTTAATTGGTATCAAATATATATGTTATATATGTTGATAAATTCATTTACAGCGCTTTCAAATGGAGCGAAGCGTCCGCGACGGACCGTCCGTCGTGTTTTTTCAAGATAGCCGTCGGGCGAACTCCGTCGGGCGGAGCATACGCGCTCATGTGAAATTGTTCATATAAGCTCATGATATTTGCTCGAAGTCGCGGACGCTCCGCTCCATCTGAAAGGGCTGTTAGAATTAGATTGAGAAACAAAAAAATATATAGAAAAAATATAAGGATCAAAATCAATTTTAAGATTTTATTATGACCAAGTACTGAGTGATTGGTTATATTTTACTTTTGGTTTTATTTCATTATTTTGTAAATCTGTCAAAAAACTTAAAAGTTGCAGGTTTTTTGGTGAATTTATTTTATATTAGAATAAAAAAATGAGCATTGCAAAACTGTCAAGTGATACAAAGTTTGCTTTTGGGAAAAAAACACCGTGTATATTATCTTTTATTCTTGTAGGACATTTATACAGGGTGTCACCGGCTATTTCCATAAATACGGCTAAAAAAGTTTTAATTATGATAGCGATATCTGAATTGCCACATTCTAATTTTCGAAATAACAAAAATCCATCATAACTGTAAATTATAATCAATTTACCTAACTTAACTATACAGGGTGTCCCAGAAATAACTGCAAGTATTTTAAAGGGAGGTAGAACTCAAATTTTCTCTTTATCGTTTTTCAAATAAGTCCAAAATAACGGAGTTATTTTACTTGGAAAATTTCCAAAAAAAATGATTTTTTGCTCAAATTTTGGGAACCACTGGATCTTTTCTGGATTTTCTTTCTTGTAAATTTAATCTACTACCATTGCCATATTATCAAGACATTATGTTTTTTAACTAAAAACTAAAAAAAATTCAAAAAATTCCGAATTTTCAAAAAAAAAATTTCGCGTAAAAACCTCATATGCGTGTTTCTGGGGTTGAACTATACTACCAGTTAAAATACTTGCACTTATTTCTGGGACATGTTGTGAGTTAAATATAGATTTTTTTCCTATTTCAAAAATATATAATTTGTTAGTGTTTTCTTGAGTGGTTTAGAAATATAACGGTTTATAAATAAAATTAATTGTATATTAAAAGTTTAAAACATTTTGTTCATATAATTAATAAAATATTGCGAATTTCATGGCTAACAAAGTTTATTGTCGTAACATATGAGAATGACTAGGCTGGGATTAATTTTTATTTTTTTGTCTTCTTCATTTACGTTAATTTTTGTAGTTCTATCAAGAAGTATCAGAAGCACTGGCTTGGATAAATGAAAAGAGACCTTTCTTAGCTACTAGAGAAGTAGGAAAGGACGAAAATTCTGTTGAGTCCTTACAGCGTAAATTAGAAGCTTTGACTTCGGAAATAAAAACTTTCAAAGCAACAGTTGACAGATTGAAGGATACCGCTGACAAGTTGATTGAAAGGGCGCACTTTGACTCTGAAATAATAGCAGAGAAAAAGGTGAGTTATATAAGCTATACCGAGTGCGTCTCAAAAGTGGCTCACCCCTATAACTTTTTTATTTTTTCAGATAATAAAACGAGATTTGGTATGCGAGTATATGACATACATTAGGATTGATTGACGTATTCAATTGTTTTCTGTCGCTTTCTGTTTCACCGGAAATTATGACAACTTTTGATTTTTAAATGGCACCCCGGTATTTTTTTTACTTTATCCGATAGAAAATGACACTTTGAATAGAATGACATATAATATGTCAACTTTTGACATTCTCGCTAAAAAAAAATTATATTTTAAATTTTAATCTAGAGCGCCATGGCTATGTTAAAAACACTAATTTTTAATCAAGGAACCTTGGAAAAGTAGATTTGATTATCTAATGTTTTTAGTGTTTTGTCCTGACCGGTTAAAAGATATCCAAATCGTATTTTTAATAATATCTCAATTTTTTCAAACGGAGCGAGGGTGTCTCATTAGCATATTTGGAAAAAGCATTTTTTTACGAATAATTTGATACCACACACTTGGTTTTTCGAGTCAAATTGTCATTATGAACCGCTGAAAAGTTGACATGTGATGTGTGATATGTCATTCTATTCAGAATGTCATTTTCTATCGAATGAAGTAAACAAATACCGAGGGTGCCATTTAAAAATCAAAAGTTGTAACAATTTCCGGCGAAACAGGAAGTGACCGAAAACAATTGAATACGTCAATCAATCCTAATTTATGTCATATACTAACATACTAAATCTGTTTTTTTTATCTGAAAAAGTAAAAGAGTTATAGACGCACCCGGTATTGTAGTAATATAATATTAAGTAAATTATATATTTTTAGACCACTTTGGAAAGAGAATTTGAGGATCTTAGTAAACTCGTATCAGAAAGAGAAGTGCGTTTGAGCGAAGCCCTACAATTTTACGGATTCCTTCACGAATGTAACGAAGTTCAAGATTGGATGCGTGACCAAACTAATAAAACTGACCTCGAAGAATACGGTAACGACTTGGAGCACGTCGAACTTTTGATACAAGCCTTCGAAACGTTCTATGCCAGCCTAATAAATAGCGAACCGCGTGTAACCCAGTGCATCGAAAACGGCAACGTAATTATTGACGCTAAGAGCAGTTACAGTTCCGACGTGCAACAAAAAGTAATCGAATTGCAAAATACTTGGGCGGATCTTGTAGAACTAGCGAACGCCAGAAAAGAAGCTTTGGCCGGAGCCAAACAAGTCCATTTGTTCGACAGGACGGCCGAAGAAGTTATATCGTGGATTCAAGAAAAAGAAGCAGATTTGCTTTTCGGCGCTTACATCCAGGATTCCGAAACTATACAACAGCTACTCAGAAAACATCAAGCTTTGGAGACAGAAATGAAGGCTATCAGAGATAGGGTAGACTTTGTCGAGCAAGAAGGAGACAGATTGATTTTCGAATTTCCTGATACCAAGGAACACATTGACGATAAGAAATTGGACACGTTGACAGTTTGGAAGGACTTGCAGCTTAAAGTTGAAAAAGAACGGGACTATCTTCTACAAAGTGAACAGTTGCAGACGTACTTTGATGAATACCAAGATTTATTGTAAGTATGCTTGTATAAAAAATAGGTAGCAATCTTTGGTATCATAATAGAAAATGTATACAATTTTTTCAAATTACTCTATAACATTTGTTGCGGACATTTATAACCCTGTACAGGGTGGGCCAAATTGGACGCTTTTAAAGGGAAACACCCTTTTCTATAGGAGATAGACGAAAACTAATATCGGTGTCTGGAGCTCAGTTTTTATCGAAAACATCACAACAATATCTGTTACGGGGTGTTTTTCAAAAATGTACATTTTTAACAAATCGCTGTAACTTTTTTGTTATAGAAAATTTTGTATTTTTATGAAAACATGTCCAAAACACCTTTTTACCTAGAATTTAATGGTTTAAGTAAAATTTTTGTAAAATTAATAATTTAAGAATTATCAACAGAAAATTTGATTTATTTGGGACACCCTATATATTTTTAATTCATTGAAAAGAATTTAAAATTACCCTTCCAAAAATATATCATACTTGATATTTTGCGCGATTCCTCTTCGAGATATAGAGTTTTTAGAAATTCACCCACTTTGAATAAGTAGGCTTTGAACGGCGCCGGCTGTAATGCAAAAAAATTCTAGCTGTGAGCAGCAATTGAAACGAAAATAATATTTGCAATAGGAGATTCAGAATTTTATAACAATTTAAACTATATCTAATAAAATAAATAGCAAACAAAGACATGAGATTTTGCTACAGGTGTTCGACATGTCGACCGTTTTCTGTTATGGACAGACGGGACTGTTTTTGGACATTTCTCGCGGAATTCATTAACTCAGTGGAGGTGAGAGATACCCTCGCATAACCGTTAAGTACTTCTAATTTTTGTCTAGATTATACAAGCAATTTAAAAATAAGAACCTTTATTCTTCAGTAAAGATAAAAATTCATAGGCTATAAGTCCGGCGGCCTCGGCGGGCAACAGCTAGGATCTTGATTAGCTATTCAATTATTCTCGAAATTGACTGCAAAAATTTGCTGATAACTTCAGCGTTCTGCGGTGGTGCCTCGTCTTCCTTGAAAAATATGTTTTCGAGTTCCATTAGGGGCAGATCATCAATAAGGGTTCCAAAGCCTACTAATTAAAAATAGCGAACTTTTAAAACATCTGTATTTTGAGGGGGACTATAACAAAAAATCAAGTGTGCTATATTTTTGGAAATGTAATTTTAAGTCCTTTTCAGTTAATTAAAAATATACAGGGTGTCTCAAATAAAAAATCATTTTTTCTGTTGATAACTTTTAATTATTAATTTTAAGAAAATTATACTTAAATCGTTAAATTCTATGTGAAAAGGTGCTTTGGAAATGTTTTCATAAAGATATAAAATTTTCTATAGCAAAAAAGTTACAGCGATTTGTTAAAAATTCACATTTTTGACGTAACTCCAGACACCGATATTAGTTTTTGTCTATCTGCTATTATAGTAAAGAGTGTTTCCCTTTAAAAGCGTCCAATTTGACCCACCCTGTACATATTATTTCTATTTTTATAAGAAAATGTTTGTTATCACATTTGCAATCTCTAATTGATTGCGTCTAACAAAGTGGTTGTTCTGGTTTAAGCGTTAAATAAATTCGTTCATCAGGCAAATTTAAGTCTAAGTAAGAAGTCGCTGATAAATGTCTTAACTTTAATTTTTATCGCAATTGTTAATATATGTTTAAATATTAAACATTTAACATTTAGATCATTGAAACTTTTTTTACATTATTGCAGAGCCTGGATTAATGAGATGTTAGCTAAAATCACCACTCCAGACTTACCTCAAGATTATAAAGAAGCCGAAAATCTTATAGAAAGACATAAGGAATACAAGAGCGAGATTGAGAGTCGCTATCAAGTATTCACGAATTTCTATTCCACTGGTCAAGCTTTTATAGATAAGGAACACCCTCTAGCGCAGGACATAGAAGACAAAATTCTAATTCTCCAACAAAGAATGGAACTACTTAGCAATATCTGGAACCAAAGAAATGTTATTTATGCTATGAATTTAGACGTTCAAACGTTCAAGCGCGACGCGAGTACGTTGGAAAATTGGTTAATACTTCGCGAAAGTATTTTAAGAGAAGGAAAAGTTGGAGATAGTATTTTGCAGGTGCTATATTACTTTTTCTTTCTTAGTTCTTTTTTTTATGTGTCGATTTTTAGGTGGAGGATTTAATAAGAAAACATCAGGACTTTGAAGAAACTGTCAAAGCGCAAGAAGACAAGTTCGAAGCGTTGAAGAGGATGACTCTTCTGGAAGAAGCTTTCGCGCAACAGTTGAAACAGGAAGAGCTGGCGAGAAGGGCGGAGAAAGAGAGAGTAGAACAGGAAAGGTTAGAACAACGGAAACGTTTGGAGAGAGATAGAATAACGAAACTTAGGAAGCAAGAGTCTGGCGAAGTCGAACCTTCTTATGCTAACGTTCCAGGTATTTATTTCTTATTAATAGATTTCATAATTCTCACATGACAGAACAACAATTCTTAAGACATATTCACTTTTATGCAGAGTTTTTCAAGCACCTGGTTCATTAAAAGTTTTGTAGGATCTAATTTAGATACAAATTTGAATGATTTATGTTTAGGTTATTCTAGGTCTGCTATATATTTTCTGTTATACTACTATATTATTTTCTAACCAATCAAAGTCTTTAAATTCTACCAATAAAATTAATATTGGACAACGGATGCATGAATATCAAGCTTAAGAAAAATGAGTGTATCCATTTAAAAAAGAATATTTTTTTATAGTATTGTTAAAGTAATATTGTATAATATAACTGTATATTTCATAAATTATTATAAATATTTAAATAGTGTAAGATACTTTCTAATAGACAAGCAATACAAATTAATCAAAGCACTGAACTAATGCTAAAAAATATTTGACTGTCCCTCTGTCAATGTCATTTTGCTTTTCAAAAAACATATAACAACAAAATAGTTATGATGTGGCAACACCTGATAACAATTATTTTCGATTTAGACATATCACGTTGATATCTACATGATTAATATTCAAGTATTTATTTTGTGTAATTCAATTTCCAGGGGAACAGTTAAATGGTACAGCCCATTTGGGTCCCGCTCCAATAGGCCAAACATCACCTTTACCTTCCTCAAATCACTATGGACCTCCACTAACACCCTTGCCATCGGCACATTTAGGTCCAGCACCAACACCACCACCTGGAGGTAATTATCATTAATAATTATATATTCTTAATAAAAGTGTTTTGAAATGTAATTAGCAATTTGAAAGGCAATTTCAAGTCTATGACAAAATTTAAATTAGTTTTTCAATTTCTCAAGATGGAGCATTAAATTTGGGGGTTTACACATGGTTCACTTATTAGGTGTCAGTGTATCTATATTTTACGATTTTTATATGTGGGTTGATCAATTTTAATTTAATATAATTTCAGGCAAACCGGTCGCTACAGTGAGAAAAACAAATTCGTACGCCCACATGCTTGACAGGGACCGATTCAGGCCGTTGGTAAAGAGAGCAGAAAGTTTGAAGGAGAAGGAAGCTCAAGGTGGTAAACCAGTGAAAAGAACGCCATCTTTCACCACGAAACGAAGAGGCTCTTTGAAATCGAGACACGCAGGTAAGTTATATCAAATCAAGTGTTTTATATCCAAATTGTTGACTAATAAAATGTGTTATTTACAGTATATTTAAATAGTATCTGTCTAAAAAATTTCTATACCTCTGCGTGGCGCATTCATCTCTCTAAAAAAGTCCTATGGATATTTCGCCACTTACATTGTAAGGAAATCTACAAAATAAAATAGTTATTTTTTGGAAACACTGCTGCGTTAATCCAACGGAGACCAACTTGGCAGCAGTGATTTACTAATAAACAAATTTGCCTAACGGATAAAAAATACTCAACGTTTCGGGAAGGATATCTCTTCGTCGAAAGCAAAAAAAGAATAAAAAAAAATCTATTTAAAATATCTAAATACAACTATTCAAGAATACTTAAGTTTTTTTCAACAGATAAAAATCGTTGACGTTCTGTTAAAATAACATATCAAAAAAGTAAAAGTTCAAAACTAACAATTACTATCTGATAACAATTACTTGATGAGGTAAAACCAAAAAGCCTCAAACTTTCTATATATGATTATTTGTTCTTAATTTTTACCTATGTTATGTTTATTTATGTTATGTTCATTAAAATCAAAGAAGCAATAGCCATACATTACTAACCTCTACAGATGTCTGAGCAATACATTTATTTATATTAGAATTAAAAAAAAACTCATTTATTTTTTGTTTAGAGGAGGCTATCACTTCTTTCATAATAATTAAATAATTTTTGCGTTGTTAAAATAGAGGTGGGGATTCTAGTTCCTTGGGACGAACTAGTTCCTTCTTCTACTTCCTTAGAACGTGTGTTCCTTCCCGAATAGTTCCTAGAACTAGGTCTTTAGTTCACAATAGCTCCCGACTAATATTGACATATCTGGTTCATGCTAATGGGTTTCGTTATCAGTCAGAACTATTCACAGTATGATCTGTATAATTTTTATAATGTACAAAATATAACGAGACGTGTTATTGCGTATGTTAAAACATATAGGTAAGTTTTATTGCAGATAAAAAAAAATTAAAAAAGAAACTCAAATCAGAGTTTAAAAAACTATATCACACATCAATAGGAGATAATATATAAAATTTTACGAAAAATCGCTTTTTTCCTCACTTCAAGCTTTTTGGTTTATCTAAAAACTCAGAATATCTACTTTGTTTTATAAGATATTTCTTAATTTTAGGGACCTAAAGTGAAACATTCCCATAAAATATTCAAAGAACAAACTAAAATTCTTAAAAGTAAACCTTAAAAGTATCCACGGCAATTTTCTCTGGTAATTACGCCGGCTAGCGGCTGTGGGCTGTGGCAAAAGACAAAGCCGAATCCATCGTCGCCGCCTTGTATTATATCTCGGATCTGCCGACTGAATAGATTGCCGTGACTAGTCTTAATTAGTTCCTCTAGTCCCTCTCAGTCCTTTCGGTCTGAGATATACGCCTAGCACTCTCAACTCCCGCCTATAGTCTATCCAACGACAAGATCCTTGACAGTCATAGATGTGTCTGTCATTTTATTTTCAAATTACCTAGTTTATTTTATTTTACAAAGAAATAAGTTGGTACAATTGGAACGCATAGCAGAAAATTAATATATTTAAAATTTGAGTGACAAGTGATTACTTCAAAATATTGTAAATAAAACTGTATAATGAGAAAATCTAATCGAGTTATTTTATTAAAAACAATAATTACAGTATGTGTTAATACAAAACAAGCAAGGGTGTATTTAAAAAAACACCACATACCAAAAAAGATATAAAAAAGATTTCCGGCTTTTAAGCCGTGTTCCAAGCTCAAGCAACTTCCTGCATTTATTGTTACATTTATCAATATAATTATTCAATATGATTATTATTTACCTATCGTGTGCTGCTATTTTACAGACACTCCAGTTTTTGGTAACATTTACAAGATAGTATACAAACTATATTTGTGGCTAATACATTTCTCTGGCCATAATCTCTGGCAAACTGTCTCTGGCGGTCTCTAGGCACCGAATATTAACTGTAAACTATGGTCTGGGTCAACACCTAATTTTCCCGCTAGTTTTCCTCCACTTAATTTTAAAAAACACGAAGCACACGTAATAACACAGTCCAAAATGCAAAATATTTATAATTTCTATTTGACACAAAATTATAACCTATAAATTGGCAGGAGTTTTGACAACTCTCAAAAATCTTAAGACAAGTTCACACGCATCATCGTTCGTTTGTCGTTCATCTTTCCGTCAAACCAATAATATTGAAATATGATCGTCATCTGTCATTATTGAAATAAACCAATAAAACTGGTTAAAAGCAACAAGAGATGATGCATGACGGATTTATATATAAACCCATCCATAGTTAACTTAAAAAATATTAGAAACTTTTTTTAGTTAAATAAATGGATTGGTATGGACGTCATCTGCATTTTTTCTGTCATCGTCTGTCGAAATCTTACCTGAGAAAAAAAAACAGAGTATAGCATCGGGCTACGATCGCGCTGGCCGATCCGTACGTAAACTAGTCTTTTATAGTTCCTTTGGGTCCGGCTGGCGCATGTTACGAGCATAACAGGGCGGCGGTCGAGATAATCGGAGTGGGAAAGGAACGCTGCTGCATCGGTCGATTGTCGATGGAGGTTTGAAACAGGTTGGGGAATAACGCATCAGTTGTTTTAGATACATTCTGTTTCAACCAGTTACGAGCATAATGGACGGAGGTCGAGATATTATGGCGCTGTATGTTTCAGTGCTTACTTATTAAGTTTCAATATTTAGGTATTTATTTATTCTGAAAAATTTTCAGAATAATATTTTAAGATTTTTTAAAAATGTATACAGGGTGTTTTGAAAAATCTGGTCATTGATTAATCACGATCCTGCTTAAAGCCCTTGACGTAAAAAGCTGATTTTTGGAAAACGGATTGACTTTAGTGTGTAGAGGTTCGATAAGAAGGGATTTTTCGAAACTCGAATTCTAAGGGGGTGAAACTACTCTCAAATATTAGAATATTTTTTATTTAAAAACCGGTGAGTTTTTCGGAAAAACTCTTAAAACACGTATATTTTATCATGTTGTTTTACATATATTAAGATTTTTTAAAAATATATACAGGGTGTTTCATAAAATATGACCATTGAGTAATCACTATTCTGCTTAAACTGCTGGACGTTTAAAGCTGATTTGTTGCAAACGGTTGACTGTGGGGTTGAGGTTCGATAAGGAGGGGTTTCTCGAATCTCTAATTCCAACAGGGTGAAAACGCCCCTCAAATATTACAATATTTGTTATTTAAAAAACGGTTAGTCTTTCGGGAAAACGCCTGGACACGCATAATTTATTTTGTTTATTTTACATATTTTGAAATTTTTTAAAACATCATACAGGGTGTTCCAAAAAGTTCAGTAATTGATTAACCACGATTCTGCTTAAACTGCTCGACGTTAGAAAGCTTATTTTTGGCAAATGTGAGAAAATTTTATCCAGTTTGTATGTTAATGGAAATTCTTGTTTTGCTTTATCATCACCATTAGAAATTATTAATTCGACCCGAACGAAGTCGCGGGTATACACTAGTTTAACTGTAAAATTAATTCGAACTCTAGTGTGTAGTTGGTTTACTTATGAAGAATATACTACACATTTTCTTATATTGCTATTTTTTGACCGCAAATGGTAAAATCATCACTAAGAGCTTCTCGCCCGTCGAGTGAGATGCACCCTGTACACTGCTACGCAATTCAGGGTCTACGCGGATCGAGGGGTAGGGTGTAGGAGGACGGAATGTATAGGTATAGACGAGTGGCGGAATTTTGGCTTTTTTTATATCGCAATTTGTAAACAGCGCTTATTTGTAAACAACCACCGTTTTTAGAGAGGTATTTTAGAAAATAATCGATATTTAGAAATATTTTGACACCCTGGAAATACTACCACCGAGCACGTCACTGTTGCAACTTGCAACTGCGTTAATACGCCTGGCGGTGACTGCCTCATACTCTTTCAGATATTTAGCAGTAAAATAAAGAAACCTGTTATTTTTAAGCTGTTATTTTAAGCTGTTTTTTATAAATAACCATAACAGTTTCAACTGTTATCTAAAAATAACAGTTTTGCCCATCACTACTACGAACGAGCTGGTCGATCCGTCGCCATCGCATATTATTATTTATATCGGTCACAGTCTCGATCCCGGAATAGATCCTGAGGAACTAGTTCTTTGACAAACCGGGAACTAGTTCCTTTCATTCCGGGGTCGGAATAATTCATTGGAACTAGTTCGCTCACGAACTACACACCTCTATGTTAAAATCTACTCTGCGCCCTGTGTTCCATGAATGCTGACAAATCTTAGATTTGCGAAAATTGCCCTTTCTTAAATAATCTTTATGATCTTTAATTCAAACATTTAAGGATCTGGATGTTCTTTTTATTAAAAAAACTAAAGTTGAAAAAAAATATCATGTTCTAAATAGGTATTCTTGAATAGTTGTATTTAAAGAGTTTTTTTTTATTCCGACGAGGAGAACAAATATATTTCCCGAAACGTTAAGCACTATTTTGTTCGTTAGGCAAATTTGTTTATTAGTAAATCACTGCTGACAAGTTGGTCTCCGTTGGATTAACGCAGCAGTGTAAACAAAAAATAACTATTTTATTTTGTAGATTTTCTTAGAGTGCAAATGCCGAAATACCCACGGGACTTTTTTGTAGAAATTATCTATCTATATTATCGTATCGTATACGTCATATCTTTCTTTCAGATGGTGTATTACCCCCGGCAGAAGCAGAAGCGTTCCTAGAAAGGAAACAAACCCTCTTGGCTGGTTCAAAGAGAGCTTCGAACCGAACGTGGAGGACATCCTACACTGTCCTCTGCGGTCAGTTATTGTGTTTTTTCAAGAACAAAATCGATTTCGCCGGGAGCAAAGCCAGTGGCGCACCTCTGAACATTCACAATGCCAGATGTTCAGTGGCCGAGGACTATCACAAGAGAAAGTACACCTTCAGGTTGAACACAACCGACGGGGCGGAGTTCTTGTTCTCGTGTAACTCCGAGGTCGAAATGATGGATTGGGTGAACAAAATCAACTTCAGAGCGAGGTTGCCGCCTAGTCAACAGTTGCTGCATTTCGAAATACAAAAGGTAAATTAATATAAGTGAACCAGTTTTTTAAAAATGCATGATATAGTTTATATCAAATAAACTTTTAGTCGCGTGATTAAGCTTGACTGGCACAGCGTTGTCCACTTTTACATATTTTCTTTTATCAAAATATTTTAGGAAACATAAATAAATTAATTATAAATATATAAACAGTTATTATTTACATCAACAAAACGATTCATGTTCGACTGCAAGGTCTGCTAGTAAACATTCTTAAGCTGAAAGAATTTACAACACTATTTATTTAAACTAAAAACTCGTTATACAAAACTAAAGTGTCAAAACGAATGACAATGTCAGGAAATAAATAAATAAATGTGGCAACTTGACTTTTTTTTACAGCAGAGCTACCACCTTAATCCCTAGAAATTTCAGTTAGTCAGCCCGGCGCCGAATATGTCCATGGTTGGCAACAATGAATTTAAAAATCGCGTCCTCGATTACGTAACTAAAAGTTTAATTGATATCAAATATATACAGGGTGTTTTAAAAACATGTGTCATCTCTCGGGGGGAGATATACACATATCAACATAGGTCCGATTCTGCTTTATTTCGTAGCTACAGGGTGTTAAAGTCTTAATAATCTTTCGAATTATTATAATTTTCTTCCAAGTACTTTTATTGATTCAAATAAAATTTTGGGGGTAAAAGTTACTACAAGTGCCACATATTTTAACGCTAAAAAAGTGTCGATATATTATCAGGGACGTTTAGGTTATTCAGTTATCACTGGAATATTTTTCAAAAAAAAAACGTGCGCTACTGACTTTTTATTATTTATTTTTTAATTAAAAAAAAATAAATTAAATTTATATGTAATATTGAGCAGTTTTGCTTTTGTATATTTAAACTTGACAACATTTATTTATTATTTTTTTGAAATTTGTTCCATATACCGGGTGCGTCTCAAAAGAGGCTCACCCGTATAACTTCTTTATTTTTTTAGATAATTCAACGAGATTTGGTATGTTAGTATATGACATAAATTGGGATTGATTGACATATTCACTTGTTTTCGGTCACTTCCGGTTTCACCGGAAATGACTACAACTTTTGGTTTTTAAATAGCACCCTCAGTATTTTTTTACTTTATTCCATAGAAAATGACATTCTGAATCGAATGACATATCATATGTCAATTTTTGACATAGTCACTCAAAAACAAATTCTATTTTAAAATTCAATCTAGAGTGCCATGACTGTTAAAAACACTAATTTTTAATCAAGGAGTCTTGGAAAAATAGGTTTGATCGTCTAATGTTTTTAGTGTCTTGTCCTGACCGGTTAAAAGATGCCCAAATCGTATTTTTAATCATATCTCAATTTTTTCAAATGGAACGAGGGTGGCTCATTAGCATATTTGGAAAAAGCATTTTTTTACGAATAATTTGATACCACACACTTGGTATTTTGAGTCAAATTGTTGTTATGAACCACATGTTGCAATTTCAAATAAACCATATGCCAAAATGTCAAAAGTTGACATATGATATGTCATTCGATTCAGAGCGTCATTTTCTATCGAATAAAGTAAAAAAATACCGAGGGTGCCATTTAAAAATCAAAAGTTGTAGTCATTTCCGGTGAAACCGGAAGTGACCGAAAACAATTGAATACGTCAATCAATCCCAATTTATGTCATATACTAACATACCAAATATCATTGTTATATCTGAAAAAATAAAAAAGTTATAAGGGTGAGGCAATTTTCAGACGCACCCGGTATAGGGAAATTAAAATAACTTTGGTTGCACATCAGAATACGACCATCAGCAAACTCCATAAGACGACGCATGGTGTCATTGATGACATGCATCCAAAGTTGTTTTAATTTCCCTATATACATTTTTCGACTTCTGTTCCTTTGTTATATACCGGGTGTTTCTCAAAAGTGGCTCACTCCTATAACTTTTTTATTTTTTCAGATAATAAAACGAAATTTGGTATGTTTCTATTACAAGACATAAATCGGGATTGATGGCCGTATTCAATTATTACTTTCGGTCACTTCCTATGACTACAACTTTTGATTTTTAAATTATACCCCCTGTATTTTTTTACTTTATATGATAGAAAATTACATTCTGAATAGAATGTCAACTTGATATCTTCCATTAAAAAATAGCTTAATACGTTTTAAATTTCAATCTAGGGTGCCATGGCTGTGCTAAAATCATTAATTTTTATTCAGGGAGTTTGGGAAAATTAGATTTGGTCGTCTAATGTCTAATTTTTAATCATAACTCAATTTTTAGCCGACCATACCAATAGGTATGGTAGGCTATTAAGATCGGCAAAAAAAAGTTTTTTTAATTTCACTCAAAATGAGTTATTTGGGTCATAAATGACCTAAATACAAAATATTTTCATGGTGTCTATATAGTGTCTATATAGTGTGAGTATATAACTCAATTTTTAGCCGACCATACCAATAGGTATGGTAGGCTATTAAGATCGGCAAAAAAAAGTTTTTTTAATTTCACTCAAAATGAGTTATTTGGGTCATAAATGACCTAAATACAAAATATTTTCATGGTGTCTATCTGTCTGTCTGTCCGTCTGTAACACGATAACTCAAAAACCGCTAAACCGATTTTAACCAAATTTGGCACAAAAATATTGTGGCACCCGAGAATCTGGCTATTAGTTTTTGGTGGAGGTGGGGGGTTGGTAAGGGTGTATGGGAAGGGGTTAAAATTTTTAAAAAATCGTAGCTCCAAAATTACAGTAGCTAGCGAAACGCGGTTTTCAATTTAAGATTAGGAATATTTGCAACAAAATTTGTAATAACATCAAAATCAGTCAGTCGCAGTTTTTGAGATAAAAAAAATTGGAAAAATTCCTTTACTTTAAAACTAAAAGAACTGCCTGACAACTTTTTATTAACATATTTTAATATGGGCGCCTTCCTTCAAATGGAAGGAAGGTGGCTCATTAGCATATGCGGAAAAAACATTTTTTACGAATAATTTGGTACCACATACTTTGTATTTCGAGTCAAATTGTCTTTACATTTATGTCCACGGCACTCTAGATTGAAATTTAAATTGCTATTTTTTTTATTTGAAAAAGTCAATAATTTGTTTGATATATGATGTAATTCATAGAGATGCGCCTGGTATGTTGATTATTAATACTTGAAGTGTCATGTATTTTTATATTAACAATATTATTCTTTCCATAGGAACATGACGAGATAAGTTCACAGTCGAGTCGAACATCTAGTCCAGACGTTGGTGATGGTGTGACGTTGAGACACGAAACCGTTTCAAGCAATGGAAGCGTAAGCTCGCAGTCAAGCCGGCATACTTTAGGTAAAATAAAAAACTTGTTCTCCCACTAACATCATGTCTTCCATTCCGACTATTAACAATAATTTTCTCAGCTAGTATCGTTAAATCATTGTAGAGATGTTATTCAAAAATAAATTTCATTATAGACTTTATTTAAATATGCCTCTATGTATATAATGAATTATATTTATGTTAATTTATTTACAGTTGAGTTGTGTCTCAGGTATTTTAAATGTATACCTTACATTTTTGTAAAATTTCAATTATTTTCAATTTGTATTGATATAAACGGGTTTATTTTTTGTAATAGTATATTTCTGTAATAAAAATTTTCGTTAAGGATCCTTCTTTATGAGAAAAAATTTAGTACTTTTTTTTGTTAAACCTTTTTAAACTTTTCCCTAATAATCAGCTATCAATCGGTTCTAGTTTTTACGGCGTGTTGACAGATTTATGAAAAAAATATATTAACTAAAATTGAAAATGCTGTCAAGTGTCATGTGAGTTAGGGTAGTTCTTTAAACAAGAGATTAAGAAAGGAGAATATCAAAAAATTGGGTTGAGCGCGATGGGAACCTAATATGGCTGACTTAAATTCCGGTTTATCAGTGCTATTCTAATTTTATTTAAAATGTGTAAAAATATAATGCAGGGTAGACTCAAACATGACTCAATAATTTATTGTTTTATTTAACGTTGGTAATAAATGTTAGTAGTTATTAAAATTGTTATAAAAATATATATTTCTAATAAAAATTGATAAGTTATAATAACTATTTACAAGCACCACAAGTATCCACATACCCTATTGAAAAGATAGGAATGAAGATAAAATAAGCTCAGTAAGACAGACAAATCCACAACATTTCAAATCAAATTAAAAATTTTCAATAGAACGTCAAACAATTGTCATGGTACAAAGAAAACAAGGTATGATCGATAGCGGCTCCAATTTCTTTAAGTTTGCGCATACCACCTGTGACGTCATAATGGCGTATGACGTCACAGGTGGTAAAAAAATATCCATATTGTTCAATTGCCACTAATAAAAAAAGACCTAAAATAGGGAACAGTTAGGACATAACCTCAAAAGTTATGTCAAATCATCGAGCTTGACATTTGAAAAATTATTTTCACATTTATTATCTGTCATCTGTTTGACAATTTGAAATTGGCACGCGGAGCTTGCCGACCAATGGTGCCGTTTATCACCAGTGACGTAGTGACCAACCTGCGCAATATCATACCTTGTATTCTCTTTGTATCATGAACAACTGTCAAGGGTAGGGACCTGTGATGTCGATTCTGTCTACCATGCATGATTACGTGGATAGTATTGGATAGAATTATACTTCTTCCTTAATCTTTTTATTCAAAGAGGTAGCTGACGAATTCTGACAATTGCTTGTCTTACAAGCATCAAAAAATATAGAATCTCTATAATAAAACTTTGTGCAAATATACATAATATCATGTGAATATTTTTCAATATGCCAATTAAAGACTCATTTTGAAGCAATATGATTGTTTATTGTCAAATTGAAAGCTTTGATCTTGATCATGAAACCTTATAGTCTATGGTATTTTTAAATGGCAATCTTCTGTAACTACTAATGAAATCGAAAATGTAATTCATTATACATTCTTATATTATAAAACATAATAAAAAAAACAATGGACTTCTCAATACCAACTCTACGTTTTTATTATGGTTTGTTTATACTCTTAATAATATTTCTGATTTTTGAACTCTAATTTTATAAATAATTTGGCAGAAAGTCCACCCCCTTTGCCAGTGTCCGAGCCGCCCACTAGTTATGCCTCGAAGAGGTATATGTTCGAAAACAGCGGACATCAAGTATACGGTTAGTTGCTGCATGACATTTTAAGTTTATATGCACTTTTATCCCTAACTTTACTTACTTTTTATGGAGGCACGCCAAGGTCACTGGTTGGTGTTGGTTGTAACTAGGAACTTTCTTTTGTAGAAATCTTTATAGTGGTTTCTAATATCTAAATAATACTTACTTTGCTTGATTCAATAGGAGTTTGGTTGAGTAGGTATTGAATAATTTATGAACATCACATGGATAAACCCAATATACCTATATGAAATAATATGGAATTCTTAGAGTTGCAGCATGTTATTTGAACACTTTGACTTAGTATTACTTACCTTTGTTTATTTGGAGAACTGTCAAAATGGTTGGTGTTGGTTGTAAATAGAACATTCCCTCTTTGCCCTTTTCACTTCATTTAATTTTAAGACATTTTATAGGTTTATATTTTTCATATATGTATAAAAACTATACTTATTATACACAGAAATTTACATGAACATTTTTTTCTTTTAACTTACTACATATTCAATTTATTTAGAGACTTATGTATGTATTAGAAACTTCTAAATCTTTAGAGACCAAATCTTCTGAAGAAGAAAAAAAACTCTTCTGCATTTCTATTATGAGCACAAAAAAATGAAGTATATGAAGATTCTAAACAAATATACTTTGGTGTTTTAAGTCTGCCAATCACCTTTTTAATAAGCTATTTACAGACTGAAATAAACTAGAAAAGATGATATTATGTGCATAAGTTATTTTAAAAAGAATATAAATATCCCCATAAAAAAATGTGTACGCCACTGAGGCACATGGGTAAACAAGTCTTCTAAGTCGAAACTGGCTAGTTACTTACTTTCCACCTAATTACTGTCTTTAAACTTTTCCCTATTGTTGTAAGAAGATAGCCTGTCCAGCCTGAAAATATATGACATGACGATAAGTAAAATTAATACTACCTAAAATTTTCCTAAATTTTTTAAAAAAATTGTGATTTTTTTTGTCAAAAAAATCATATATTTTTTCGCTGAACAGATAATCCCCAATATTGTAAACTTTTAGCTATTAGTTATCCTTTTGTTAAGACTGAAAAATCATAGGGTAAAATGGCTTTGTGAATAATCGAATTTAAATAAATAATAAACGATTTGCACTCTTTTTGAAAAGAAAATATAAAGTGAGTGTAATATACATACTTCCTTTTGGTATGATTACGGTTCTATTTGTAAGAATACATAGTTCTAGTGTGATTTTGTTACTTTAATCAAATTGTTACATTGTATGGAAGGTGAGGTAAGGAGAATCTTCTCTTACAGCGCTTTCAGATAGAGCGGACAGTCCGCGACGGAGCGTCCGGTCCGCCACTTCAAGCAAGTACCATGGGTTTATATGAACAATTTCATATGGACGCGCAATTGTCACAGAAAAGAGGAAAATAAGGGTTCGCTAAATGCCCACATTGGCGCTAATAAGCAGTAAGGGTTCGAACTGAAGTTAGCGGATATAAAGTGAAGTTAGTCAAAAAAGAGCTGCAACACGCGCCTGTAGAAATCGCAGATTTATCTATCCCTTTTTAATTATTGCCTGTTCTAAAAATTTTTGACGCTTCTTTCAAATGTAGAAATTTTGCTACAGCAGCGCCACCTTAATTATTCCTTCTTTGATGACCACTTTTCAATACACGAAGATAATCTTCTACCCTCCTATTACATTGGGATGTAAGCATTATTTTTAGCATTAAAAATGGAATGAAATGGTTTTAAAGCAACAAACTAAATATTTCAATATCATACAGCAGTAGAAACTATTTTTTTTTAAATGTCGAACTGTATTAATTTATAATGTACATCATCCTGGAAACTAGAAGAGATATAATGTTCATTAAATGAATTGGCTATAAATATAAATGGCGAAAACTTGAACCATCTGCGATTTACTGACGACATTGTCTTCATATCCGATTGCGTAAATAAAGCACAAGAAATGTTACAAAAATGGAATGCAACCTCTGAACAAATGGGACTGAAAATCAATATCTCAAAAACTCAAGTGATGACAAACCTAGTAATTGGCGGCTGAATATATATTAACCAATATCAAATAGAAGAAACGACTGCTTACATGTACTTGGGACATGAAATATGTATAAGCCGTGATAACCAAACTTGCGAGCTTAACAGACGAATAGGACTGACTTGGGCCGCCTATGGACGATTGAAATACATTTTCAAAGGGGCACTTCCGATATGTTTGAAGAGAAAAGTATTTAATCAATGCGTACTACCTGTTCTAACGTATGGTGCGGAGACGCTAACATTAACCAAGAAAACTGTAAGCAAAATCAGAACAACGCAAAGAGCAATGGAAAGATCAATGTTGGGTCTCTCTGAGAGACAAAGTACCGAATATCGAAGTACGAGACAGAACAAAAGTCATGGATGCCCTAGAGAAAATAACCACTTTGAAATGGAATTGGGCAGGGTACATTGCAAGGTTAAACGATGACAGATGGACGAAGAAATTGATAGAATGGAGACCAAGACACGATGCATTCAAGAGCAGAGGCCGTCTTCCAACCAGATGGCATGACGACTTAAAGCGTGTCTACAGTAACTGAATGTAAATAGCTCAAGATAGGGAGTTATGGTTAAGCAAACGAGGGAGGTCTACGTCCAGCACTGGACTTTAGTGGCTGGTTGATGATGATGATGAAATGCAGGTCAAGTTGCACAATTTTATGCTGATGAAAATGCCACCTTAAAAGTTTTAATAAACTTCCAAATACTTTTTTGAATAATACTGATTTTTCGAATAAACCGAATATTCACGATATCATTTTTATTTTTTGACGAGTCTATTTAAATAGATATAACAAAATAAGTTTCACTTTCTCATTGCTACTTTTTTCTGCAAGATGGTGTTTCTGACGTTTCATCTTTGAGCTGCCAACATTTTTTGTTACAGATTTTAAGAGCTATAAGTACTAAGGTCCCAAAGCCAATGATGTATTGCACTTATTTGAAGAACTCATATTACCCATTTCCTGATAAGATCTTACCAAAAATCTATTCTCTGTCTCTCTAACACATAAGTTATAATGGATTATGCCATTAATATCGAATAAGGGCGATATATACATTATTGGTTTTTGTAATAAAAGTTCGTAATAAAAAATCCAGGGCGTATTTAAAAAAAAGTTATTGATGACTGCTCAGAGACGAAATGTGTTTGAAAACCTGATAACACCATTTTGTAGAACAATAAAAGTAACAATGAGAATGTGAAATATTTATTTTGTTTTGGTACCGGGTGCGTCTCAAAAGTGGCTCACCCCTATAACTTTTTTATTTATTCAAAAAACGAGATTTGGTATATTAGTTTATGACATAACTTAGGATTAATTGCCGTATCCAATTTTTTCCAGTTAGGTTAGGTGTTTCACTGATTACCTGTTTCACTGGAAATGACTACAACTTTTGATTTTTAAATGGCACCCTCAAAATTTTTTTACTTTATTCGATAGAAAATAATACTTTGAATAGAATGACATATTATATGTCAACTTTTGACATTTTCGCTTAAAACAAAATTGAATTTTAAATTTCAATCTAAAGTGCCATGACTGTGTTAAAAACACTAATTTTTAATCAAGGAACCTTGGGAAAAATCGTCTGATGTTTTTATTGTCTTCAAATCATATTTTTTATATCAATTTTTTCAAATGGAACGAAGGTGGCTCGTTTTTTACGAATAATTTGGTACCACATACTTGGTATTTCGAATAAAATTGTTATAAATATTATAATTTAAAATGAACCGAACATTGGAATGTCAAAAATTGATATATGATCTGTCATTCCATTCAGAGTGGCACTTCCGCTGAAACAAGAAGTGACCGAAAACAACTGAATACGTCAATCAATCCTAATTTATGTCACATACTAACATACCAAATCTCTGTTTTTTTATCTGGAAAAATAAAAAATGTTATAGGGGTGAGCCACTTTTGAGACGCACCCGGTATATAAATACAAATACAAGGTTAATACGTGGGTAATACCTAGTGTTTACATAAGTTTTTTGAGGCAAGGATTAGATCAGAAATATCGGAATGTTTTATTGTTAAGAATATTTAAGTACCTCTATAGCACTAAAGTTTAAATTGAAGCACAAATAAAAAAATATATAATAGGGGTGAGCCACTTTTGAGACGTACCCGGTATATCTATTCAAATAGTAAATAGTAATAATAGTAATAATAAAAATGATATCTTACTTTTTCTAAAAATCTTTGGAGGTGTACGGAATTTTTAAATTTTTAAAGTGGCACGTTGAGGCATGATACTCTGTCCTGTAAATAAGTAATAATTAAAAAAGTTTACAAAAAATTAAACATTGTGTATGTTATAACAAAACGAAGCACATCCGACAAGAACAAATTCTAATGTTGTGTTACTGTTTCCTGAATAATCTTAGAAAAAATAAAAATACCATTTTTTAAACTACGTATCTTGTTGCAACGGCCTTAGAAAAGTAAAACAGCGACCACATTTTTTATTTCTTCTAGAATAGAGAATCGGGTCATTTGAAGTAGATTTTAAAATATATCTTAAACCGTTAATATAAATTTTTGCTTTCTATAGGCCATTATTAATTGATTTTTTACGAATTCTTAAGAATAATGAATGTTCTGGTATATTCCGGATGTACAGGGTATCAGGGGCGGATACAGGAATTTATTTTAGAGGGGGCCCAAATAAAAAGTAATGTAGAATATGCTTTTTAGGGTGCCATCTTTAACCCAAAAGCTTAATATTTAACCCAATTTATAGATCCCCGGGCGCCCCTCTATATCCGCCACTGCAGGGTATCAAAAAATAGTGTATCTCACTTCGGTGGGTGATTCTAGAGAACCCAAACCAAACAAAAACTTCCTATGAACTAGTGATGGGAAAAACCGATTAATTTCAATCGAGTACTCGAGTTTCAAGCGATTGCAATAACCGAGTGATCGCTCGAGCGAAATATCACTCGTAAATACGGTTTTTCACCCGTCGCGTCGCTTGTTGTAAGTACTCGTTAACGCCAAGCGCCAAGCAGTAAGTTGCGTGCGCAGGGCACATATTCTTTCGGTGATGAATGGCAAGTAGCAAGCGGCGAGCGATTCGCTTGATTTAGTTTATTTCAAAGCATTGTCGATGTAGGTCGTAAAATGGTGTCCCTCAGATACGCAACGGATAAATATATATACGGCGTCGTATAAATTTGTTACCTGCAATGTATGTAGAAAATTCGCTCGGCTTTTTATCGAGTATGTCACATTAAAATCTGATTTCATTTTAGGATCTCTTGCGTTCGTCGCTTGTAACTCGTCACTTGCATCGCTCGTTCATAATCGAGCGATGTCGGTTATTTCAATAATCGAGTACTCGAACGAATTTTCGCTCGAGGTATCCCATCACTACTATGAACATATACCCTAAAATGCTTTCCAAAGAAGTTACAGCGCTCGAAGGCGTTAATAAAAATAATACATTTTGTTTATTTGGTAAAGAACATTGGTAAACAGTTTTTTTTATATTTGGCACTCACATCTTAATACCGGAGCGCATGACGATAGCCCTGAAAAGGTACTTTCCATTAAGGTAGAGAGTAGTACTGGTGGTACCTTTTTTATCCTTATAGATACAGTAATTTCAACAAATGACATAAAAAGCTAGGACTTCTTTACGTAAAAAAGGTATATTTCGTTTAGTTCGATACGGTGAACAGGTTTCAAGATATTTGCGTTTAAAGTTAGGATGGCATCGATTTTAGTATTATCGAAATGATGAAATGTAAAGAAATTATAAATAAATTAATCTCATGATTTTGCGAATACTAAAATCGACGCATCGTATTTCTTGTGTAAAAAGTCAAGCTTTTTATATAATTTGTTGAAATTTATCTATTAAGGATAAAAAAGTACCACCGGTAGTACTCTCTATCCTAAGGGAAAGTACCCTTTCAGAGGGCTGTTACGGAATTTACACTATCGCCATTTGCTTCGGCATTAAAATATGTATAAAAGTACCAAATTTACAGAAAAACGGTTTACCAATGTTCTCAAAAATAAACAAAATATATTATTTTTATTTACCCTTTCGAGGGCTGTAACTTCTTCGTGAAGCATTTTAGGGCATATGTTCATAAGAACTTTTTGTTTTATTTTTATGTGTAGAATCATTCACCGAAGTTAGATACACTATTTTTTGAAACCCTGTATTATAATACATTTCATTTCACATTTTTTTTTTCATCATATGAAATTTCATACCATGAAAAAAAAAATCGGCGTCAGAGTTGATTTGGAAAAGACGATCGCTGTCACTTTATACAGGTATGTGAAATTATAATACCTAAGGTGAATTTCATCGATCGTCATTTCCACGTCAACTTGACACTCCTCTCGATTATGCGGTATATTATTTACTCTTAATTTACTTTGAATTGATATTTTTGTTTCGTATTACTGATTATTTATATTGAGTATTTGTATTTTGATCTTACTGTTTTTAATATAGGTGGTGGAAAATAAGGTTTACTGATGGCGATATACCGCGTGCGTCTCAAAAGTGGTTCATCCCTATAATTTTATATTTTTTCAGATAAAAAAAACGAGATTTGGTATGCTAGTATATGAGATAAATTAGTATTGATTGACGTATTCAGTTGTTTTCACTCACTTTTTGTTTCACCGGAAATTACTACAACTTTTGATTTTTAAATGGCACCCTCATAGTACGAGAGCTTGCAACGTCGGAAAAACAAGTATTTTAAGACGTCTGGCTCTTTGATATATCTTTTACTATGCTCTTTAGAACAGCATGCGGCCCGTTTGGCTGCCGGTAAACGTCGCGTTTCCTACTGCGCATTGAAAGAAGATCCTATATTTTTATTAGTCCTTTAGTATTGAATATAAACCGACCGAGTCTCCATAGCTTAGCGTGTAGAGGTTCCCCCTATCAACCGAGGAGTCATAGTTCGAATCCGGGTCAGGGCAACAACTTTTTTATTTTATTTTCGTTTATATTCTGATAGTAAAGTATTAAATATTTGTTTTTTTTTAATCACCAGAATGATCTAATGCTTTACTATCAGAATATAAACGAAAGTAAAATAAAAAAGTGTTTGCCCTGACCCGGATTCGAACTCTGAATCCTCGATTCGTAATGGGAATGCGCTATGGAGACATGTTCGATTTATATTCAATAGGTACTAGAATTTATAGGACTAAATTAAAAAAAAATATAGGATCATCGGCCGATGCGCAGTAGTGAACGCAACGGGTATCGGTAGCCATACGGGCGTCATGCTGTTCCAGAGAGCATAGTAAAAGATATATCAAAGAGCCAGCTTTCTTAAAATACTTTCTCGAAAACGTTGCTAGCTCTAGACTATCGGTATTTTTTTCCTTTATTGAATAGAAAATGACACTCTGAATAGAATAACATATACGTCAACTTTTGATACTTTCGCTTAAAAAAAACTTAATATTATAATTAAACTTAAAATTCTTACTTATAATTAAACTTAAATTTCAATCTAGAGTGCCATGGTTGTGTTAAAAATACTAATTTTTAATCAAGGAGCCTTGGAAAAATAGATGTCTATTGTTTTTCGTGTCTTTTCCTGGTGAGGTAAAAGATACCCAAATCAAATTTTTATTCATATCTCAATTAAATGAAACAAATGTGGCTCATTAGCATATTTGGAAAAAGCATTTTTGAAGAATAATTTGGTAGCACACACTTGGTATTTCGAGTCAAATTGTCGTTATCAACCGCATGCTACAATTTCAAATAAAGCATATGCGAGAATGTCAAAAGTTGACATATGATATGTCATTCTATTCAGAGGGTCATTTTCTATCGAATAAAGTAAAAAAATACCGAGGGTGTTATTTAAAAATCAAAAGTTGTAGTCATTTCCGGTAAAACAGGAAGTGACCAAAAACAATTGAATACGTCAATAAATCCTAATTTATGTCATATACTAACATACCAAATTTCGTTTTCTTATCTGAAAAAATAAAAAAGCTATAGGGGTGAGCCACTTTCGAGACGCACCCGGTAGATATATTTTAATTTGATTTTCTTAATATTCTTTATATACTTATTTTAATGCTTTATTTATAGATTCTTATGGAAATTCACCTAAACGAGATGTGCAAACGTCTCCACCCAGGCCCAATTCAATGAGTGGTCAAGATACAAAAATGTCACGTCTACGAGGATTGTTGGGAATGAAGAAAAAGAGTTCCCAAATGTAGATATTAAGTATAAGTTGTTAGAGGTACCAATAAGCAACAATTTTAATATTTAAAGTATTATACATAATTTTGCATCTGTTAAAATTTATCTGTTTATAAAATGTAGTTTTTTGTATATAGGAAAGATGTGTTGATAATACCAAATAAAATATTAAAGTTTGTCTATATTATATTTCTACATATTTTTTTTTAATAAAAGTAAACTGAACTTTTTCAGGTTTTTGCTTATTATATCCAATCCTACTTTTCCTGCGACTCAATACAAACACCTCCCATTAGTTTAATTTGAGAAATATTACTATTTATATTACATTTTATTTAAGTAGGACTTTAATTTTTGTAGCTTGAATTTTTAAAAGGCTTCGGAAATGTGTTCATTTTAATAAGGTCAAACATAAAACTGTAAAGTTTGTTTATTATTTGATTACTATTTTGTTAAATGTCTAAACTACTGAATCGTACCGTGAATATAATTGATTTTTTTATTAAAAGATGCCTTGAACAATAATACACATAGTACTGTACTTAAAAAAATAGTGACTGACAACAAAAACTAATCGTAATACTAGCTTTTTACTAAACAGTAGCTAAATAGGTACATATTAAACTTTGTAATTTTCAATAACTGCTGGTTTTTCGGGATAGTCATTATAAAACTCAAAGTATCCAACGGATTTGCCAAAGATCAGGGTTCCAATAAAGACACTAAGTCCCACAGCTAACTGAATATTGTATTTACGCTGTTGTGCTTCATTGTGAGTTTTCCAATTGCCTGAAGGGGATGGTAGGTCGTTGTATGTACTTCTGGGATGAGCTGGGGCATGCGAAGCATGTCGTACTCCGACTGAAACAACATTTAGTTACTTATATAATATTAACATCAAAAAATATAAATTAGAAATTGATAGCGATGATCTATTACAGGGCTTAATGGAATTGCGAATAAAAAACTTTACTTACAACTTCGTGGATTAGTAAATAAACGTAAAACTGCTCTGGAAGTCTGCATTTTAAAGGCAAAATATAAAATTAGGAATTATTCCAAAAGCACTTTCAAGCAAAGATGTTATGTAAAAGATGAAGTGTCAATGTCAATTGTCAAAATATACTTTGACCACACTTTGACTTTAATGATTTTAACGTGTCAAATTTTTTAGCTGGTTTTTCTGGTTATCTACCTTTACGTTTCTAGGGTAATCATGAAGGAAAAAGATATAGATCGTGCGTTTTAATTTAACCAGTAGATTTGCCTCATTTATTTTATTTTTATAACATATTATGGTATTACCCATATTATACAAAAAAAATATTTTCCTCGTGGTAGAATCAAGACCCTGATTAAAATTAGTTAAAAATTTTATTGATAGCTTACATTCTGACTTTTTTATAGAAAACTATAAACGATTAGCTTCATATTCAACCAATGATGGCGCCACTCAGTTAAAGTAAAAGAAGAAATCTATATTTGCTTAATTCTATAACTTTTCGTATGGTGGCGCCATAATTCTTTAGACGATAGTTGCAACTATTCTCACTAAATAAGAATAGCGCTGTTATCAATTAAACGCGCCAAATAAAAAATTTGAATAGACAAGACACTTTTTAAGCATGTAAATGTAATTTCTTTACTGTATACATGCTAAATAAAACTGCCGATATAGTTTTCACTTTTTTAATAAACTCTAGGTGATTATCATAATCAAATTATGATTAAAAGACAAAATAATCCTATACTTCATAAGAAAGCTGTATAAAAGCCAACAAGGACTAAAACACTTGCTCTAAAAAACGATATAATAAATATTAAGTTAAATGCACGGTCAAGTGATACAACATGAAACAATTTGATTTAATAAATTAGTTTCATAAATAGTATAAAGATTCATAGTATTTAAAATTATATTTTTTAAAATTTTAAATATTTAAACGTGTTACTTAAGTAATATAAAGCAGAATAAAGATATTTTGCATTTAAACAAACAGTACTTGATCAAAAGTAAATGATTTGTTTATAACACTTCATTAGATATTTTGATTTTTTTATTATATTGGTTTGTTTGTCACTCAGATTTTGATATCAAGTCTTCCTGTAATAATATAAGGTGTAATCTGTGATTTGATCCCAATTTTAGAACTAATTTTATATCTTAAATTTTAATGTCTTAATGTTAAATTAATATAATGTGTCAATTTATTTTTTTTATTAAATTAGTGTCATTATTAAGGCTTAATTTAATAAGATCTTATGTTATGAACCTGTCAATAATTGTAATACATATTATATTGACGATTCTTCTTCTCATTTCATTATACTAAAAAATAAGATTTATGAATCTGCTGACAGTAGTTGTAATTTATTGACAATTCTTCTCCTCATTTCGTAATATCTATAAAAAAATAAAAATATTATTCTCATATTTTCTATAATATTGCAGAGGCTTACAACTCATTTTGATCATCAAAATAAAAACCTAGAACATTAAACTAATATTCGGGCCCCAGCCTTCGCGAGTTCCCTTGTTTTACGACCTACATGTCAAATAGATCATTATTTATTCTTATAAGATCACGAAAAAAAAATTAGTTGTAGACTGCTGCATTTTGCGTCTAAAATGGTACCAGACATCACGTTGTAGCTTTTACTTCTATCACAAGATCTCCAAAATAGTTGAATATGCTTGATTTTATTCGAAAATAGCAAACAAGTGTGATTTTCTTTTTCACAACAAGGGGCCGTCCTCTGCCGGAAACACTGCGGACCTGTGAGGCCTATTGTGTTTGTCCCCTTTCTATATATGTACCCATTCTCCTATCCCTGTGCCCTGCACTAACTTATGCAGGTCCTTGATAGGATGGGAGCATAGTTCCTCCGGTTCTAGCCTAGCCTTCCCAAATAAAAATGTCGCTTGCGATCCAGAGCCTCGCAATGACATATTATGTGCTCCGCTGTTTCGGGATCTTTATCGCAGAGTCTGCAGCAAAGACTTCCTTGATACAGGTTGAGCTTGTTCAGGTAACACTTGACAGCCATGTGTCCTGTCAAGAGGCCTGTTGTAATCCGCAATTTATTCCTGCTAAGCATTAGCAGTTCTTTTGCGGTTTTAGAGCTAGGACCTTGGATAAAAGCCTTGCTGTGCCTGTGCCCCTGTCTGTTTCTCCAGTGGACATTGTGCTTTTCCCTGATCCAGAGTTTTAGTGCACTACGGGCCATACATTTGGGTATTCCCAGTACTGGCTCTGGACCAAGATAGGATGCTGATGATCCTTGCCTAGCTAGCTCATCGGCTTTTTCGTTGCCTTGGATACCGCTGTGACCCGGCACTCAGAATAATTTAATTCTGTATCTTCGAGCCAGAGCTCCCAGTTCACCTAGGCATTCCCAGACGAGTCTCGACGATACCTTTGGGCTCATAAGCGCCCCAAGTGCCGCCTGACTGTCTGAGCATATATTGATGAGCTTAGCTGAATAAGCTCTCCTATTGTTTTCTCTCGCACATTGTAGAATGGCGAAGATTTCTGTCTGGAATACGGTTGAGTGTTTACCCAAGGAAAAGGATAAACTTAACCTTGGTCTTTCCCCAAATACTCCAGCTCCTGTTCCTTCAGCGGTCTTTGACCCGTCTGTATACCAGGTTAGTCCATCTTGAAGGAATGTTATATCTGTCCACATTCCTCGATCCATTTTGTTCACCTCGAATGGTTTGTGGTAGTGATAAAGAGGGGTCATTTGGTCCGATATCATTTGGGGTAGAGGTCCCCCGATAGAATTTCCCATCTTTGAGTGTCCTGTTTCTGTCCTATTTCCCAGAGACAAGACACTTTGTTGTCGATAGAGTCCCATTCTTGCCTCAGCCTGGATCACTATGTGAAGAGGCGGAAGGTCCAGAAGCGCCTCCATTGATGCAGTGGGCGTTGATTTCATCGTCCCTGTTATGCTCAGACAAGCAAGTCTTTGCACCTTGCTGAGACTGAGCATTGTTGTTTGTTGCATTACCTTAGGCCACCATACCAAGGATGCATATGTTACTGAAGGCCTCACCACTCCAGTGTACAGCCAGTGCACCATCTGTGATCTGAGGCCCCAGATTTTTCCATGAAGTCGTCTGACTACCGCTAGTGTAGTCACCGCCCTCGTGACATTTTCCAAATATCGGTTCCAGGTCAGTTTGGTATCAAGCGTGATTCCTAGATACTTGACTTCCCCCGGAGAGGAATCTCATCACCGCAGAGTCTTAGAGGGCCTAGTCCCTCATGTATTCTGCGCTTGGTAAAGGTGATTATTACGGTCTTTGTAGGACTAATATTTAGTCCCTCCCGTGTCACCCATGATTCCACAATCTTCAAGGCCCTTTGCATTCGCTCCCTTACTGTTGTGTTAAACTTACCTCTGACTAACACAAACAAATCGTCTGCATATCCCAGAGTGTTGAAACCAGCCCTGTTGAGACTATTAAGCAGTCCGTCCATAACGAGATTCCACAGCAGTGGGGAGAGAACTCCCCCCTGCGGGCATCCTCCCGCCACCCGGACTGCAACAGTCTCATTTAAGAAAAATTTTGGTTAGAAATCAAAAGTTTATTGTTTTATAAGCTAAATATTATGCGTTCTCTATGGATACAAGAGACTACCGCAAGCTATTGCTAGGATATTTCATTAATTTTAATTGTGTTTTTTAGACATTGTGAATGATCGTAAACTAAAAAGTATAAAGTGTAATTGAAACCACTAATTGGGAGATTCTGAATGAAGCTTAATTGCTAGGTTCTGAATGAAGCTTTAGAACTTATATACTAGGACTTAGACTTCATGTTTTTTTAAATTTTCTCTAAAACTGTATAAAGATTTGGAAGAGTATAAACGGGATTGACCATTTTAGAACAAGCAAAATTTTTTTATGAAGAATGCATTTTTCACAAGATGTCCATAATAAAAAAGTTTTTCTTCTTGTAAAGGCAATCCGGAGACATACTGTATATTGTGAGCTTGTCGGCACTCTCCACCAGTGACGGCTCGTGTTCCTTTGCAAAGGTGAAGTAAAAAATTACATGCAGTAGATGTTTTAAAAGTTTTACAAGGATTATTTTTTTTTACCAAGTACTACAATACTGAAAGTGAAATGTTTTATGAAGAATGCATTTTTTGCACTTCAAATGCACTTCACCATGCTTTACCCTGCGAGCCGCCACTGCTCTCCATTGATATTTTGACGACCAAAATGAGTTAAATCTACAGATAGGCTATACCTTTCTTTAATTTTAGCAACCTCTTTTTCTTCCTGAGAATAATACTGGCCGAGTATTGCCCTACATTCTACCAGAGACAAATTCAAAAATTGAGCAACTTCGCTGCTCACTTCGGGAGTTGTGTGACTGTCCATTAAAAATAATTTTACTACATCTTCATGCGGACCTAATAGCACCCTGGCCAACAATGGATATTCATCCTCTTTTAAACGCCTTTGTTCTACAAATAATATAATTTTAATTGGATTCATGGAAAACCTTTCCATTGTTTAATTTCACTTAATAAAAAAAACTATGGAAGGAGTCAAATAGTATTTTTATATTCATGCATTAGAGATGGAAACGACGCCAAGAACATTAAGTCATGGACACATCGACGTCATTCACCTTCTTTGGACAGTTTGGTCTGGACATTTTATTTAATAAATTTGAATTTGATTTGAATTTTTGCGGATTTGTTGCACTATTCTGATATGTTAGTTCTTGTAATTTTTTTTGCGAAGTGTTTAAATCTGGACAGATATGTCTCAATACGCGCGGTAACGTCAGATTATTGTGAGTCTTTGAATGAGCCTTTATATTTTTAGATAAAAAAGCGAGATTTGGCATATTAGTATATGACATAAATAGGGATTAATTAACGTATTTAATTGTTTTCCGTAACTTCCCGTACCACCGGAAAAGACTATAACTTTTGACTTTTAAATGACACCTTCGGTATTTTTTTAGTTCATTTGATAGAAAATCGCATTCTCAATAGAATGACATATACTCGTAATATCAATTATTTATTTTTTCAATTGAAGAAAATAGCATTCTAAGTTTCAATTTAGAGTGCCATGACCATAAATGTAATGACAATTTGACTCGAAATACCAAGTGTGTGGTACCAAATTATTCGTCAAAAATGCTTTTTCCAAATATGCTAATGAATCACCCTCGTTCCATTTGAAAAAAATTGAGCTATGATTAAAAATACGATTTGGGCATCTTATAACCAGCCAGGACAAGACACGAAAAACATTAGACGATCAAATCTATTTTTCCAAGGCTCCTTGATTAAAAAGTAGTGTTTTTAACACGACCACACTCTAGATTGAAATTTAAAATTTGATTTTAACATGAATTTATTAACCGGGAATGTCAAAAGTTGACATATGTCATTCTATTCATATTGCATTTTCTATCAAATAAAGTAAAAAAATACCCAGAGTGACATTTAAAAATCAAAAGTTGTAGTTATTTCTTGTGAAACAGGAAGTGACCGAAAACAACTGAATACTTCAATTGATTCTGATTTATATTATATTACTAACTTACCTAATCTGTTTTATTTATCTATGCAGAGTGGTCCGAACTGTATTCCGGAAACTGCGGCAGCATATTCTGCAGATAAAAATAGGTAAAAAAGTTCGTATAAATATATGTCCTAAAATGGTTTGGTTTCGGAGATACAGGGTGTAGAAGTTTTATTTTTATTTCGATTTTTTCCAAATAATTTCTAAAGTAATGTAAATATTTGGATGAAAATTGGTATCTGGGAGTTTTATGACATGAGAAATTTGATTTTGGGATCAATATGACTCCTACTTGTAGAGGGCGCCACCTACATATTTTTAACTGGTTTAAAGAGTAATAACTTTTCGACCGTACCTGTATAAAACTACAGAGTAAAAAAATATATATTTACGACTATTTTTACGTAAAAAAGGTCTCTTGGCAAAAATCGCTACGAGTACTGGTTCTCGAGATATTTGGAATCATAATTATCTATACCTGTCATCATTGTGTTGACTAAATATTTATTAGACTGAAATCACAAATTTGAAATGTCTTTGTTTTACAAACTGTTTTATCATCATCTCTTCGCAGAAAAAATTATGATTAATTTAAAAAAATAAAAATTTTCCAAATTTATTATTTCAGTCAAATTAACTATCTACTCAACGTGGTTATTTTTTGTCAATAATGACATGTATTAACTATTTCTATTCTAAATATCTTGAGAACGCTTGCTCGCAGCTATTTTTACCAAGAGACATTTTTTACGTAAAAAGTTACGGAAATGTATATTTTTTCACACAATAGTTTTATACAGGTACGGACGAAAAGTTATTACACTTCAAAACAGTTAAAACACATGTAGGTGGCGCTCTCTACAAGTAGGAGCCATATTGACATCAAAATTAAATTTCTCATGTTAAAAAACTCCCAGACACCAATTTTCATCCAAATATTGACGTTACTTCAGATATCATTTGGTAAAAATCGAATTAAAAATGAAATTTCTCCACCCTGTATCTCCGAAACTAAGTATTTTAGGACATACATTTATAAAAACTTTTTTACTTATTTTCATGTGCAGAATATGGTGCCGAAGTTTCCGAAAAACAGTTCGGACCACCCTGTATATGTATATACTCGGTATATTACGACATGATTAGTAAAACTATTTTGAACTTGGATTTTTCTATTTATGACTTGTCAAAAATAATTATTACTATATGTTAATTTTATATATTTAACATAGTTGTTTCAATAGCGTATCTGTAATTTTTGTTATTAAATAATTACATTAATTAATTTATTTTTATATAAACATATTTTTCTACAAAATTGTTAATATTCATTAATAATATTCATTGGCTCAAGATAAAATAAAATCATGAAATTATAGTTTTTCCATAAAATGTTTTGAAATTATTGAACTTTATTTTTAAAAGGTTGAAATTAAAAAAAATTAACGCCACTGTGTTTTTTTAAAACGGTGTTTACACTAGATGCAATTAGAAGCAACGCAATTTTTAAAAATGGCATGCAATTCGGTTGCACGCGCAATTTACCGTTTACATAGGGTGCAATTAAATACATGCCATAATTTTGAGAATCTATTGTGCCAACCTAAATAAAATGACTATAGCTTTTTTCGTTTTCCTGTTATTACCGATTCTGAACCGTCCTAGAATTGTGATGCGTATGCGCAGAAGGAAATACGAAGACATTATTTCATTTGCGCATGCGCTGCAAAGTTCTAGGACGATTCAGAATCGGTAATAACAGGAAAACAAAAAAAGCTTATAATAACTGTTTCATTTATTTTTTATTTTATCTTCAAGGTATCGTTGTGTATGTCTTATTAAAGGTTTTTAGATTTTGTAGTTTGAGTTTGTATCTTAATTTATTCTTATTTGTAGCTATAACATGGATTGTTAAACAGAAATTATATTATTTTAATTATAAAATTTGATTAGTATATTATAATATTTTTGGTTGGTAGAAGCAAAAATTGCATGCTACGTGCAATCAAATTAGCGCGTGTTCTAATTCCATGCAATGCAATGAAAATTGCATCAGCTGATCGAAAAGTGTGAGGTGCGCATGCGTTCAGGCAACTAAAATTGCAATTGCACCGTATTGCATGTAGTGTAAGCAGGCCTTTAAATAGGACTTGATATTCATCTTGTTCTGAACACTGGATAACCGTGTATATTTTCCATCAAAGTAAAATCATTAAAGTCAACTAACTGTATTACCTCCACTATCTCTGACTATGAACAGGGCAAAATTATTTGGATCACTTTCGACTTTATATTTTTCAAGTAAAAGTTTGATCACTTCGTGGGTATTGACCAAGCTTGTAATCCAAACACTCATTTGACTTCCATGGGGAGGTGTAAAAAAGCTCGTCTCACGATCGTAGAAATGACCATTTATAGAACATCTTCGTTTAACCTAGAAAAATATTTTATATATAATTTGCAGATATAACTTTTATAAGTTACCTTGCTACGCGAAAGACGCTTGCCAGGTCTTCTCCTAATAGCTGTTGATCCACTTTTTTGCGGCCTACGTAAAACAACTCCATCATTTTGTTCTGACATGGTAATATCACCACTCGTAATACTCATTCTATCGAACTCCGGTGACTGGGAATCTCGCAATCTCTCTAAACAATCAGGGCCAGACATAGACCTGTTGAAAGTAGACTTTGTAAATTATCATGCGGATGTTCCCAATGAATATTGAGTTTATAAAAATTGAATTTACAAAAATGCCCTTTAAGTACCTAAAGTGTGACTTCTTAAAAAATACTTTCTACATGCTTAAGAGTCCAGTTAATATAAGTTTCATATAAAACTGGCTAGGTATTTTTACACAAATAAAGGAGGAAATTAAAGATAAAGGATTATACTATATTATAGTATTGTAGGACATTTTTAGACAACTTCTTTATCTTTAAGATTTTGATGGTCAAACATCAACAAAATATTCCTTATGTTTGCACTAAATTTTCTCGAAAATAAAGACATAATTTAAAATTCCATTACAATACGGAAATAGATTAACGTTTTCTGATTACAGTGATATATAATATATATGGTTTTATAACAAACTGCTCGCTATTTTATGGCAAATGCTGAAGCTCTGCAAACTTTAATCAAGCCTTAATCAAAGAAGGTGTGTTTGGAATTTTGGATGTGGCTTAACAAGACAGGATCGGGCTAAGCTTTAGGCAGATTTCTGAAATATAATATATATTTCCTTCGGTTACACACCTGACCCCTGAGAGAGACCCGAACAGTACAGCGTAATAGACTCTTAAGATGATTGCCAAATAATGTTCTCATGGTTTCAATAGTTGGTACAGACCATATTCTTACAGTGCCATACTCTATATAGAGCGTCGGCTACCTCTCGCATGTACTTGTGATGTGTATCATCAGTGTTTCACAAGTACACGGGACCTACAGTTTATTGCCGAATCCGAACGGCATATTTGAGAGGCTGTACAAGGCAAATATACTCAAGGTGGTTTGCCATTGCCTTCCTTGAGGTGGCGGCTCGTTGGTCGCTTTATTTAGATAAATAAATATTTTTATTTAAATAAAGAAAGCGACCTATATACATATTTTGTGAGCCAATAAGGACAAATTAAGCAATACATGACAGCAGAGCAAAAGGAAGGACAAACCTGTAAAATATAGGGCAAATAGTAACCTTATACTAGTATCAAGGTAAGAAACTACATTATAATCTGAAATTTGGAATACCTGTTTAAGTGATTACTATTTAATACCCATGTGTCGTCTTTACTAAATGAATTAGTCAAAAGAGGTATCTTATCTTCACTTATATTCATATTATTACTAATATTGTCTTTAATTATTGGAGCCTTCAATGTACTTGTGTCTTCTGTCATAGTTACAGTACTGGTATCATTTTTGGAATTTTCTGATGAACTAAAATTTATAACAATTATTAATTGTCTACTCTCATGTTTATAATATTTTCTCTTCATAATATCATATACATTCTAATAATGCTTACCTAGTTTTACTGCTAGTAGTATCACTCTCATTACTTATTTGTGATGGTAGAGGCATAGGCATTGTCTGATACAGTTTTTCACCTTCATCAACTTTTCTTTCCACTTGTAAAAGATCATCTAATTCATCCCATTCCACATTTTTAACATCAAGTTTGGAAGGCAAAGTGACACTTTTAGGCATATTAATTTTTGGTGAAGAAATACTATTATCTGACAGACTAGAATCTAGTGAATCAGAACCACTTTCTATACCTAAAAAATATTTAGTTATTAATCACCTCATTTGTATAGTCTATATCCAAAAAAGAATATGATTACAACAGTTGCCTGCTATTTAATCAAAGCATGTATTCTCCCACTGAACAGAGTATATATTTTGTTTGCAAGTACATAATAGAAATATTACCAGTATCTGATTTATTAATGTCTAATGTTGTAGTACTAGAACATGTTGAGACATCATTATAGCTAGTATCTCTAGATATGTTTTGTATATCATCATCAGTGTCATATTCTGGACTGGAAGAAACTCGATATGAATTTCTTTTCCTAACAGTTACAACTGTTCTTTGATCATCGTTTTCTTTTAAATGAATAACACCTTGAACACCCCAGTGAATTCTTAGTGAGCCTTCTAATATATACCGTCCATTTACTTCACGGCAACGTATTTCACCACTTTTGCCCTCAAAAAATTGATTGTACACCTTTAAAATAATATTTTGAATGAAATAAATTAGAAATTGGCACAATTTATATAAGAAAAATTACTTTAATTTTTGATTCCAATGTTGATCTTGGTAAAATGGGCTTATTTCCCAACTTAGGAGATTCCTTTTGCAAGCCAAAACTTTTATGAGATTCAACTCTTGTTCCATGTCCAAATAATTGAGGGCCAAAAAGAGCACCGTAACAAGGCACATGGCAGTACGGCACACCCTTGTGTTCTGCATGTTGGCCAGGGTTTAAACGTTTACCACATTCTTCACAACGTAAGCATTCAGGATGCCAATTGTATCCTAAAGAATGTTTTCTTTCCGCTGAACAAAAATAATTAATTCACGGTGAGTCTAATTATAGAAATGTTAGAGAACATAAAAGAAGTTGTGAATAAATAAAACAAATAAGAATCAATGTAGGTTTGAAATTGACAAAAACTTACCAAAATAGACTGGTTTCTGGCATTTATGGCACTTCCACATTTTGTAAATATAATCTAGAAAGTTAATTACTGCAATTTAGTATAAAACGAAAACAAAGGTATAAAATCAAATAAATAATAAATTATAAGAAAAATTTAGCAACAGAAACATGACTGATGACTGCGTTGACATTTCTCAGCTGTTTAGTTTGTTTTTCAAATTGACATTGACATTGTAAACTTTGGCGACATCTTCAGAAAATTAAAAAAAACTGGCTACAAATTATCGATAGTAGAAAACGCGGCCATCAGAGGCGCTAATAAAAAACAAATATTTTGAAGTTTTTAACTTTTATTTCTGTTTAAATCTGATTTAAATCTATAGTTATTAAAGTAATAAGGCCGATAAACAACAAATAACGGCCGGGCTGAAGTTTGTGATCCGAGGCGATAGCCGAGGATCATAAGCAGCCAAGGCCGTTATTTGTTATCGGCCGTGTTGCGTTCTAGATTTTTCGTCATACTGCAGATTTTTTAGAGCAATAAACACTACTATTTAATAACAAATTTTATTGAACAATAACACAAGTAAGGATAAAAATACATAATGTCTTATACTAAAATTCATTTTTCATGATAATGAACATGGAAATTAAAAGTGCACTTGTTGTTCTTAGAAATCTGTAATCCTTCCCAGGGATTTACAGATTTTATAGAAGATGATGCTACTGAAGAATGGCAAATATTTGTATCCACTAAAGACACATTATTTTTGGAGCTATCATGAAAAAGTTGATTTGTTATTTTCATTCTTTTGGAAACTGATTTTTCTATGTAAGTTTCTGCCACTGTTGAAGACTCCCATCCTCCTAGCTCCTTTAGCGATAGTAAATCACCACCATTTTCGGCGAGCATGGTTGCTGATGATCTACGAAATGAATGCCCTGTATAACGTTCTGGATTCTCCAAGTTCAAAAATTTTGCAATTTTCTGCGGTACGCTCCCGATGGTATGTATACCGACGATTTGCTTAACACACTTGCCTTTCTTGTAACCAATGAAAAATTTTGGATTGTCAAAGTTACGAGGACGCAGGTTGATGTATTTTTGTATAAACCATAGGCATCAAACGGAAGGCCCGTTTTTGGAATAAGAAATTTCCTATCTTTCTTATTTTTAGTATTTCTTAATGAGACAAGAATATTTTTCTCCGAATCTTCGAAATCATCAACTGTGAGTGACCAAAGCTCGCTGCGCCTACAAGCTCCAAGAATACCAAGCACCAATACAATTTTTTCGAGTAACCAGGTGTAATCATCGGCATCCAGTAGAAAATTATTTATGTCATTCTCCGACAGAACTTTGGCTTTTTTGGTGAATAACCTTCGTTTTGCGCCTCAGAAACATGAACAGTTTACCAAATCTATGAACAAATATAATTTAGATGAGTATGTTTAAATATCGAAGAATATAATGGCTTTTTACCTTGATATGTCGATGTTTTCATATACTCTCAACGCAAGCTTCAGCATGGATATCTTTGTCCACAGTGATGTAGGAGAATACATTTCAGACATTCTTTTAGCATAAGCCAGCAATACCGCTTCATTTACGCTGTTTATACTTCTATCCTGCCGCCACTTCAAAAAAATTGTCATATTCCTGCTGATATCTCTCTCTGGTTATAGTCGGAAGTAAATTTTGAGTAGCCGCAGCCGCTTCCTCCTGTATTTCCAACGGAATTTCTCGCGACATCTCGCTATGGTCTATTTTCCCAATTTTTGAAAAGTCCAACTGACAATAAATAGTCATTGTTGCAGGTGACAGACGTTACGATTACCTTAGAAACTTAACGGCCGCCGGCCGTTATGATAACGTCCGGCGGACGTTATATGCATCTTTTCCATTCTGATTTTGCTTATGTTATAATAATATAACAATATAGTATGACGAAAAATTATTAACAGATTAATATCCTTTAGCTATTTATCTCTGGCTATATTTCCATGCCTATTGAGTTGTGTTTTTATTTTGTATTATTACATAATAAATTACCTCTTTTCTTATTAATCATTTCAAAAGGTGTATAAATATTATAGGTAGGTACGTATTTAATATTATTAAAGGCAGATTGAAAGGTGATTATATTATATAAGTTTTATTACAATAAATAATTACGAAAATACCTGATATTTAGACAGCTGTCTTGATCAAAGCAGAGATCTTGCAGAGATCTTGGTATATTCTTTGGCAGAGATCAAATCATAGGATCAAATCAAGGATCAAATCAATCAAATCTGATCAAATCCTTACATGTTGAAGAGATGTCGAACTTAAAAGCTATAGACCAAGGTGAAAATGACGAAGACATCGAGATATATAAAAAGAATAAACGTAAATATCCGTATGTTATTTGAATGTTTAATTTTTTCTGAAAAGTTTTTTTTAGCATTTTGGATTACAACTGCGATTGCTGCTGAGATTGGACGAGAAGAATTGTTGGGTGCAACATTTAGAGATATTGTATTACATATAATTTCTTTGTTGTTTTTGAGCATATGTGAGTGTTCTATTTAAAATATTTAAAGTTTAAAAAAAGTTTAATTTTATTAGATATATTTAGTCAGATCAGTGTATCCGAATATTATATAACAACAGCGTTAAAAAATAGTTTTGATATTGATGAAGACGGAGATTTTTTTAAGATAATATCAGCTGAGAAGTTTTGGGAGGTAAGTATTTGTTAACGCCATACGATTAAACCTTTATTTAAGTTCTACAAAGTCTGAAATAAATAATAAATTGCCATGGATCACTCTCCTGATGTTCTAAAAGCCTCTGGCGCCATTTTTTTTGATTATATGGTATTTTTAAAATGTTTGCTATTATTGTCTATAATATATTTTATTTATGAAATATTTAGGTTTTTTACATATAATGTTATATACATTTTAGTTTTTAGAGGAACCATTAACTGACGCGCTTTACAAAACCCGCGATAGCAGTATAACAGGTTTGTACATTATGGTTTAAATTAAAATTAAATATGCACTAATTGTTGTACATACTTATAAAGATACGGAGTCTATGTATATGCTAAATGAAAATAGAGTTTTGGGGGTACCACGAATGAGACAAGTGAGTACAAGTTCGTTTTTATACTATACATATAGTACTATTAGAGTCCATATACCGTGTAGCTCATTAGTGCGAGAAAGTTCAATATCGCTTTGTTATGAAAAAAAATTTAATATAAATATTGCATGGTTTATAAAGATGCATATCTTAAAATTTTTTGTCGTATACAGGGTATCCCAAAAATAAGATTCAGCATAAAATTCTGCATATAGTTCACTCTTTTTTTTAAAGGAATATGCGGTGCGGCCGTGCGGCCATTTTATTTCTTATTTACTAAAGCTTTAGTTGAAAACTGAAGTGAATTTAACTTTATTAATACTTACTTTTATTAGTTTTTAATAGGTACTTAACTTTATTAATACGTAGCGTAGAGACCGGTATTACCATAGACTTAAAATAAAATATAGACTGAGCATCTCATTCATAAATAGCTGGAACGTGCGGTCAGACAATATCTTGTTATTGTTGTGTTATTGTTTTAGGTTATAACGAGTGCGACACGAGCGATAGATAGGTTGTCTCTGTCGTAACGGTCGTTCCCTGACGACTCTGCCGAGAAACACAACACTGTCTTTGGTTTCTCAAGTACACCTGAACTCTCCGTCTCATAGCCGGGTAATTTTTTTATTTTAATGAAGCTATAATTAAATTAAAAATATATCGTATTTAAACTTTCTTATATTTTATTAAGATTTAGGACAGGTTTTTTAAATAAAAGTTTAGAAAAAACGTCTTAGAGTCCAAAAGGATAAAAATAATAAAATACACGTTATAGAAGAAATTTTATAATCGAAATTACGTAATTTTTGAAATTAATATAATAAATTATTAATTTTAGTCAAACATTTACAACCCCTAATATTAATCAAAACAGGATCTATTCCACAGATATAATAGAATCGGCGACAGGGAGAGAAAAAAAAATATGATTGTTGTAATTTTTTCTCTGGTTAAGTGATGTCTTTATGTATAATGTAAATTAGAGAAAACATAAATCTGTTCCATTAAAGCAAGGAAGATGATAGGAAGTGGATAAAATGAAAACTACATTTATTTAACTCGGTACTGTCTTTATTATACCGGGTACGTCCCAAAAGTGGCTCATCCCCATAATTTTTTAATATTTTTAAATAAAAAAACAAGATTTAGCATGTTAGTATATGACATAAATTAGGATTGATTGACGCATTCAATTGTTTTTGGTCACTTCCTGTTTCACCGGAAATGACTATAACTTTTAATTTTTAAACGGCACCCTCGGTATATTTCTACTTTATTCGATAGAAAATGACACTCTGAATAGAATGACATATAATATGTCAACTTTTGACATTTTCGCATATGGTTTAATTGTAATTGTAACACGCGGTTCATAACGACAATTTGACTCGAAATACCAAGTGTGTGGTATCAATATATTCATAAAAAAATGCTTTTTCCAAATATTATAATGAGTCACCCTTGTTCCATTCGAAAAAATTGACATATGATTAAAAATACGATTTGTACATCTTTTAACCGGCCTAGACAAGACACGAAACCTATTAGACGATCAAAACTATTTTTCCAAGGCTCCTTGATTAAAACTTAGTGTTTTTAACAACACCATGGCACCCTGGATTGAAATTTAAAATAAGATATGTTTTTAAGCGACAATGTCAAGTTGACATATGATATGTCATTCTATTCAGAGTGTCATTTTTTATCGAATAAAGTAGCAATATACCGAGGGTGCCTTTAAAAATCAAAAGATGTAATCATTTCGGTGAAACAGGAAGAGACCAAAAACAATTGAATACGTCAATAAATCCTAATTTATGTCATATACCTACTAACATACAAATCTGTTTTTTTATCTGAAAAAAATAAAAGTTATAGGGGTGAGCCACTTTTGAGACGACCCGTTATATTAAAAAAATATTGTTTCATAATGTAATATCATTTAAAATTCTTGTATGTTATTTTAGATTCTGAAGATAATTTTAGAATAAACCGGAATATATTTTAATAAAAACATTATTAATTATTAACAGGGTTATAATTATGATTTTGTTACAATGTAAGTAAGTAAATAATGTAATGTAAGAGAAAAAATTCAGATTTTACATTTTACTAAAATATTATCTAAATAAGCGCCTTTCTACAACAACGCTACTGACTCCCAATGGGTAAATTGAGAGTTGCCTACCGGTCAAAAGTCGTTTCAAGACTTAAATGGATTATTTAAGTCAAATTTCTTGCAAATTTGGCACTGGCGAACCATATTTTATAGTTTTTGAACAGAAAAAGTCAGTAAAATAAACACTTAAGGACTGCAAGCTAAGAAAATGCGTTAATACAGCCGGGGAGATAGCGGCAACAAAGCTTTACCGCACACGTGCGACACGTACTACAAGGTAATAAATGAATGAATAGGCTCCCTCGCCTCTAATCGGTGTTGTCATATTGTAAAGAACTTATCCTTATTAAACAGTATCCGACTTATAATTTAGTAGTATAAGGACTATTTAATACATCTATGGAATATTAAAACCTACTTTATTAAACTGTAGTATTACTATCTCAATATATGTGTATAACAAGAAAAAAAATATTGATAATATTAAAGACGTGACAACATAGGCTGGATGAGGAAGGCTCGGTCGACTGTACCCAGAAGTAAACATGTGTACAAAAAAGGTTGTTTGTCCGCGTTGAGATGTAAATAGTGTAGTCTATATTTTATTTTAAGTCTATGGGTATTACTATATCTTTAATCATTTAGCAGATATTCGTATTGCTCTTTCAGTAGTTTCAGCTCTTTCAATGTTTGTTTTTTCATTCCGCATCTAAAAGAAAAATAATATACAGGGTGTTGCATTTAAAAAAAGAGATGCAGCTTTATAAATACTGCAATGTATAAAATGCAAAAAATAGAAATAAATACTTTTGTTTAGTTGAGACTTGAGACATTTATTTTTCAGGTGATATGTTCAATTTGAACATTTATTTTTGCTTTTCCATTTAGGTTAAAGTGAAATCAAATTCCTGTCAGATTCATGGCTATTTTCGAAGACTATTCGTTTCTTGTTACAGTTTGTTTTCTAACATAGGTGAAGATCGAGAGTCCTTTGGACTTAAGAGCGGCACTGCGTAAGTATAGCGGTAAATAATATTAATATTATTGTTACCGTACGTTCCAAGCCCTGTTACTTCTTTGTACGGATTTGTAGGTAAATCCATTGTCTGTGTGTGGTAAATCTCTATAATTTTTTGAAGATCTTTTACGAGATTTATATAAGATCCTTTAAAAATATACCAAAATTTAGAGGTGTACAAATGGGAAACACAAAAATTTTAAATATTACGTTTTTAGGTTTCTCTAAAACTTTCGTATTAAGTTAAATGATAGGTAGAAATAATTTTCACTTTGCTAGAAATTTCTTTGGGTGTCTTAGACCGCTGGAGGATTCCCATTCTTGGTTACGGATGAAGTCTTTCAGGTTCTTGAGTTTTGCTTTAAATCGGTTTCCACTTGGAAAGCAAAACGGTTCTGGTACAGATAGTGGAGTATTCGCTCCTTTTCTAGCTAGATCGTTTGCTTTTTCGTTACTTTTTATCCGTTGGTAGGGTGGCAACTAGAGTAGGAGGACTTTATCTTCTTTGCCAAATTTATTCAGCTTCTCTAGGCATTCTTTGACCAACTTCGAATTAGGGTTGCCACCTGTCCTTTTTTGAAGCAAATTGACCTTTTGACTTTTTTGAACTAAAATGTTCTTTCTATTTAGGTATTTTCCCTGGAGAAAATTATCTACAGCAACTAGCAATATTCTTTTCATCCAATACCTTTAACTCATCCAAACATTTAATTAGTCATATGTTATAAAACTTATAAATAAATGTTCTTTTTTTCAAACGTCACAAAAGTAAAGCATTTTTACGACTAAGCACAAAAGTACGAAAATATATTCATAATATATTATTAAACTGACATAAAAATGTCAAATTCAACGAGTGTAACCATAATTTCTCGATATATAATTACTTCCAGGGTATTACTTTTAAATATGTTTATATTATTTGCAACGTTCGAAATTCTTTAAAAAAATATTATTTGTGAACGTTTGAAGAAAAAATAGCATGTTCTATTCGGTGTAAAAATTACTTTTTGTGCTTCGCCTGTAACATAGTACAAGCCTGTAATGTCAAACGTACAGTCTCCCCACAAAAAGTATAATTTTTAATCCTAGTAAAACAGTATATTAATTTAGAATCAGCAACATTATTTAGAACTCGCTGTTTAATCTGAAATGATAGTTTATGATGACACCTAATAATGCTAATATTAACAGTTTTATTTTTAATCATAGCTGCCCGGTGGCGTAGACGTACAGGCTCTCATCTACCAATCTCAAGGTGTGGGTTCAATTCCCACACCCGGCATTTCATCAGCCGACTATTTTTATTAAAATAGAAATAGTTTGGGTACCTAGGTCGACTCAACCTTAAATGAGTACTTGGGATTCACAATCCCGAGGTAATAATAGGCGGTTGAAGCGTAGTGCTAGCCACATTACCTTCCTTGTATACCGAACGGCTCTAGTATAGCAAGCTGTAGCTTATTGCTGCTCCCAAGGCGTTAAACGCTATATACGGGAGCTATTATTATTATTTTGTTTGTACAGGTAGATATATTTTTAGATTATTTGCACATGTTTGTTCAAGAAACACTTCTTAGATAAATCAATCTTCAACTTAAAAAAATACAAAGTTATTTCTCTATAAGCTTATTGATTAGAGATATTAATTTTATAGTAAAAAACCCTATTTAACTCATTTTTCAACTTTTTCTCTAAAAAAATAACGTCGACAGGATTGCTGCATGGAACTTAATTGATTAATACAAGACTCCTCTTATCTATTTTTTTATTTAAGCACGGTTCGACTTAATTACAAGAAAAGTACGTTAAGAAAATCGGATTAAGTTGTGTTTTTACGAACCCTAAAGCTTTAAATGCAAACCTCGACGAATAAAAGTCACTGGTGTCGATACTCGTTCCATCAGAACTTCGAACTGATTTTTTTAATTAGCATTTATAATTTCAGATTTCCCTCTAAGTAAATATATATTATTAAAAAATAAATCCTAATACCGGGTGCGTCTCAAAAGTGGCTCACTCCTATAACTTTTTTATTTTTGCAGTTAAAAAAAACGAGATTTGGTATGTTGTATATAACATAAATTAGGATTGTGATTGACGTATTCAATTGAGCGTACGGATTGCACAACGACCTTAGCGCGTTACCACGGGCAGCACAAGAGGCAAGCGAGACAGCGACGCGCCGATTTAACAAAATAAATAATTTTAAACCTGCCGTCATTTCGTTAATAATTATCGTATCGTGTTGATTTTTGCATAGAAATACTCATGAGTCTTTAGCTCTTCCGACAAGCCTAAATAACTGGATTATTTTTTATATTTTCGATTTGTTTACATTGCCCGAGCATATTATAACTTTGAGATAAAAATCTCTGTTATAAATTTTAAAACTGACAGATATGAATACTATCATTTAATTAGTTATACATTTAGTTACAACATATTCAAAATTTAGGTCTATCGGTTTATGCTAGCAGTAATAACGAGTATGAATAAAAAAATGGTCATGTTAACTTTTCTTTTGGGTTTTAATGACTTTTGTTTATTGTTGTCTTTTTGACAAACATTTTGATGTTAAAAAGAGCTTTTTAAAATTTTAAAGTATCGATTTATAATCAGCGGTTTCCAATCAACAACAGGTCCCCCCTGTCCTTTTCATAGTCTTTTTTTTCCTTTGCAAAAAGTGGCAACCCTACTTCGAATTGATGGTTACTGAGTTGATCGCTCTAAGCTGCTTGACCTCTGGCTTGACTAATATCGGATAAGATATAAGAGATCTATTTCTTTTTTCCGCTAGTTCCTATCTAAGATAAGTTTATACATCTATTTTATTGCGTAGATTTTTGACTGAAGAATGCTACGGTAGGTACCCTTTTGTTCGGAGTATTTAGTTTTCGGCCTAAATATTTTTATCTCTCTTCCTGCTTTAGTTTTGGAAGCATCAGTATATCACGTTATGGTATGGTCTTCTAAATGCTGACCAAACGTTTTTCTCTTCTAATTCTTTTTGTTGATCAAGGAGTGTAGTAGTATGTATTACTGTATTACTGGTGTGTGGACTCAAAGGAGGCGTGGAGTGTTGAAAGTGAGTTGTTTCTGAAAGTTGTACATTCTTAGTATGTCATCACTAGGAGTTGAAGGAGTGAAATTTTCCTTTTGAGGGTGTTCCAACCTCCTGAGTTCACAATTATCCCAATACTGTTTCCGTCAGTGACCATTCTAGTCATTGTCGCATTTGCATATCTACCAATGCACATTGTTTTTTTTTACCAAAATCAAAGTTTACAGATGCTTATGTGACCAGTGTTCTATCTTCGATTTTTTTTATTTTAGATGGGTTTACAGCGATGCGGACAAAACAGAGAGTTTGAGTTACAGCGGAACATTGTCAACTTATACTGGTGGTGGATTTTATGTGGACTTTTCCACTGACAAAAATGATACCGAGGATTTAATAGGAGATCTAAAGGAAAATTTGTGGGTTACACGTGGTACGCGCGCTGTGTTTATCGACTTCAGTATTTACAACTCAAATTTGAACTTATTCTGCATTTGCAAGTAAGTTTGCTTTACAAAATATTGATATAATTGCTAAGTTTTTATTTTGAACGAATTTCGAAACCAATTCATCTAAATTTGTATAATTTTCAAGATTAAACTGACACAAACATTTCAAATTGGCAAACAACATTTTGATTTGCCTAATAAGAAAATCAATATAAACGAATAATGGAAGATGTTTTAAAATATTTGCAAGTCTTAAAGATAGATTTTAAATATTTTGTATTGACATTTTCAATATTTTTTAAATATATGTTTTCTTTCAGGTTGTTCCAGTATTCCCTAGACACCAAACTCATTTATTTATTAACTAAAGTAGTTAATATATACCGGATGCGTCTCAAAAGTAGCTCACCCCTATAACTTTTTTATTTTTTTCAGATAAAAAAACGAAATTTGGTATGTTAGTATATGACATAAATTAGGATTGATTGACGTATTCAATTGTTTTTGATCACTTGCTGCTTCACCGGAAACGACTAAAAATTTTGATTTTTAAATTGCACCCTCGCTATTTTTTTACTTTATTCGATAAAAAATGATACTTTGAATAGAATGACATATGATATGTTGACATTTCGCACTTTTTGACATTTCGCTTAAAATATCGTATTTTAAATTTCAATCTAAAATGCTATGACTGTTAAAAAAAACTAATTTTTAATCAAGGAACCTAGCATATGACATAAATTAGGAAAAATTTAATTCTAGAGTGCCATGGCTGTGTTAAAAACACAATTTTTAATCAAGGAGCCTTGGAGAAATAAATTTGATCGTCTAATATTTTTCTAGTATTTCTGTCTAGTATTTTTAATCATATCTCATTTTTTTCAAATGGAACAAGGAACAAGGGTGGGTATATTTGGAAAAAAACACTTTTTATGAATAATTTAGTACCACATATACTTGGTATTTCGAGTCAAATTATCGTTATGGACCGCATCTTACCATTTCAAATAAACTATATGAGAAAAAGTCAAAAGTTGACATATTATATGTTATTCTATTTAGAGTGTCATTTTCTATCGAATAAAGTAAAAAAATATCGCGGGTGCCATTAAAAAATCAAAACTTGGAGTCATTTCCGGTGAAACAGGAAGTGACCAAAAACAATTAAATACGTCAATCAATCCTAATTTATGTCTTTACTAACATACCAAATCTCGTTCTTTTATGTGAAAAAATATAAAAGTTATAGGGGTGAGCCACTTCTGAGACGCACCTGGTATATTACATTTTTTACGTTATTTTCTTCGCCATGACCGTTATACCACAGATTAGGTATCCTATAAGTATACAGATAAAAATCTTGTCCCTAATTCGTGGTACGAAAATTACCATTGTTTTTTATGACGACGTGCAAACGAGTCAAATTTCCTGTGCGCAAAAATAAACTCGCGTAAAATAACAATAAACAGCGTAATAGAGAGATATCGCTAAACCGAATAGCGTGCATGGACGTTAATAAGGCCAGGTGTTATTTGAGGTGGTATCCTTTACGTGAGGTGGTATTAACTCTCTTCATTTATAGTTATCGGATCGGAAAGAATTCTGATCGCGTCGCGTCCGCTATTTAAACTTAACCTAACTTTGAATTTAAAACTTTGAAATTGTTTTGTTTACTAGGTATTTTAAAACTAAAGGGCTAAAGTGCTTATTTCCAGTGCTTTATTGTTCAACGTCTGCCAGTGGGTTTAGGGCAACAAGCAACAAATTCTCTTAGAAGAGCTAAGTCGTCATCTGTAAAGCTAAGACTCTTTATAGGTTCTTTAGTATTGGAAGAGGTGGAATCCATATTTTGGGCCATATTTATTTAATTAAAACTAATCCCAGCTACTTAAATATCAAATTACCTAATAAAACTAAAGCAATAATTCAAAACAATTCAAACATAACCTAAAATAAAAGATCTCGCCGGCCGGCTCCGGTTGTCAAATACCCGCACATGCCCATTTAAGCAATTTTTAAACATTATCAGAGGTTAGAAAGAGCGCTTGGTGTAATTGATCCGCAAATTACGTCAGGCGGTAACGTTATTAGTGGCTGTTGCGTTAAAAATTGACTCGCGCATATCGTAACCATGATAAGGTACGCGTAAATACTGGATGACGCTATTCGGTTTTCCGATATCTCTCTAGTAACTGTGCCGGTCAGGCGCTGTGCACAATTTTAGAGGCCATAAGTGGGCGTGCTATGTGCGGAAACTAGTCACCTAACTAGTGCCTGATTCCGAAAATTGGAACCACGAAAAACAATAAAGAAAAAACAAAGATTATAATCTGTGGTTATACACTAAAATTTTTTTTAATATTATTCTTCGTCTAAAAAAAAGACAAAATCACAGTATAACTTCAATAGTCTGGACTTGTCACTTGGTCTAAAGTCTCTAGACCGGGCATTCCAGTAATCCGGATACTGGCGGATACTGCTATTATTCGGGCATTTTAAAACATTTATGCCTGAAATCCGAACTCAAAATAATCATACGCCATATCTCAGAATTTTCCAATCGGGACAAGCAGAAACGTTTACATTTTGTTTATGAACTGAGTCTATATTTTTCAATTTGATTTTTGAGCATGTTAAACGTATGGAATGGGAATCATCCAATGGTCTAATGGTGCGTTTTGACTTGAGCACGCACGAGCTGAGCGTACGCGCACGGCATTCGTTCGCGCTCTTGGCTCCGTTCAAATTAAAAACTTATTTTTCGACGAATGAAGTGATCCATTTGTGCGCGCACAGCAGAGTTGTGTTGGCGAAAATAATGGACGACCAAGAAATAGTCGAGGCTGCAGTCATTGTTATGCACAGCTTAATAAGTAAAAAGGAGAAAAATCGAAAACATCGTCGCTGATGGCAAACCCAAATTTTTAGAAATCGATACAATTTACTGCAACACCTTAGTGTCTGGGGAGGGCTATGATCAGTTCAAAAATTTTACAAGAATGACCAGACCCGACTTTGAATATTTACAAAATTTGATAACACCAAAAATTACTAACAAAAGATACAAATTTTAGAATAGCAATTTCATTAATATCGACATATTCAATATTACTTTTATTTACAAGATCTTGTCATGCGTTTTTTTGATTTTTTAATAATACAAAGAATGTTTAACATCCCATAATATAGGCAGCTTTTCATATTCTTCAATTAATAGTATCGAAGATTCATTGATCCACTCCATAATTTTTATAAAGAAAACGAAAAAAAATCACACTCGCACGCACGAACGCAAACAAAACAAATTGCCGGTGCAAACTGAGTGTTCGCGCACAGCCGTTTACACTTGAGCATTCGCGGAGGATCAGAGCGTGCGTGCTCAAGTCTAAACGCACCATAAGACATTCGAAGACATTTATCAAGACTTACGACTGAGAGAAATCAAAGATTTTCCGTAAGAACAATCTTCGGATTGTCACAGGGTTTTTAACAGGACATTGTCCCCTCAATGAGCATCTCACTAGATTGAAGCTAAGAAACAACGGTGAATGCAGATTCTGTGTGGAAAAGGGGGAAACACCAGAACACCTCATCACTGAGTGCGAGACGACAACCATTCGTGCAATAAAGTTTGCAATAAACTTTGGCATAGGATTGATATCGGAAATGGAGAACTAACTTCTGTAAAACCGTCTCAGATACTGACATTTGTCAAATCCCTGAGACTGTATGATGAGTTATAACTCAAGAAAGGGCGACACAATAGATCCCACACAATCTACAATGTTAGACGTAATGGTTCCAATCAAACGAGCACTAATACTCTTACACTCGCCGAAAAATCTAAAATATTAGATTATCTTGATTCGAGAAAAATACTCGTCAAATTGCGGAAGAGATTATGGTTCCAAAATAGCCAGAAATGTTACTGCTTTCCAGTGATGTTAACTTCGTGATTCTGTTTCAGGATAAAATTAGATCTGTTATTCCAGAGATGACATTAAGCAAAGAACAAGCACACAGTGCAGATGAGTTCATCATGATAAAAAATAAGCTCGATGTTGTAAGACCAAAAGATCGATTAACATTGTATTGATTCTATGCTTGTGCTGCATGTGTGCTGTGCTGCATGTGTGCTGTGCAGACATGAATCAGTTATTATGGGAAAAATAGTCTCACTCTATTATTTTAATTTATAAACGTTACATTTGACAATATTGAGTTGTTTTATTTTCTAAAGGAATAAATTTAAGTGGCTCTGGGCGCCTCGATAATCCGGGTGATGCCGGAACGATATCTGCCCGGACTACTGAAGAAATTTTGTAGATGGCGCCGTTTCTGACATAAGTCGATAATATTGAGATTTTGGTCCATCCTGTATAATCAAATAACTGGAAACAGGAAACGCCACATTGGAAAGTTTATCACCTGATTTTTTGCACTTATTCCTTTACACCCTGTATACACCTTATTCCTTTACACCCCTATCTTATATATGTATAATATATTATTATCTTATCTATTATTACCCTATTATTACCGTTTCCAATTCTAGGTTAGTGTTTGAATTTTTGCCTTCGGGAGATGTTAAGCCCAACTTTAAATTTAGCCCAGCTACCTTGCTCGAGTTTCAGGACTGGAGATTTTGGACTCTCAGGTTTCTGCTCTATTTGTTCGGAATTTATATCATATTTTGCTTGTTCGAAGAGTTTAGGGAAATAATCTATTTCGGATGGAACTATCTGGCACAGTTCTGGACTTACATCGATCTATCCGTCATTGTGGTAATTGGAATTAAACTTTACATATTTACCATTTGCTCAAGGATTTTTCTTTTAGCTAGCATTTATGATGATATTTGGTACAGAATATATGAGAATAATTGTACCCAGCTATTTGGAGAAGATAAAAAATAAACCAACCGCATACGGCAATTTAGAATATCCGGAAGTTGCCTATAGCACATTTAAAGTTATTGGCGCTTTGCTGTTATTTTTTGTGTACATCCGAACCTTCAAATATTTAAATTTTAACAAGAGAATGGCTCAGCTTAATGACACAATTAAACAGGTAATGAATGACTTTATCATCGGTCCTAATTTAAGTCATATACTAACATACTAAATATCGATTTTTTATCTGAAAAAATAACAAACTTATAGGGGTGAACCAATTTTGAGACGCACCTGGTAGTTCTAATGAAAAATGATAAATTATTCAACATACAAATAACTACAGATAAGGATATAAATGTCCGAAATGCGGTAAAACCTAGGATAAGCGCGCTAAACCTAGGATTTACCAAAAGCATGTGGTAAAAGCCTGCAAACTATTTATTTTGCTTCCATTTCGGACTTTTACCGGGCCCAAACAGTAAATCTTAGGATTTACCACACCGCATTGGTAAAAGTACGAATAAGCAAATGGTAGCAAAAACCAACCAACCCCACCAAATAACCATCTAACCAATGCATTAACACCCCCAAAATAACCAGGCTACCTAATGCATTAACACCCTCCAAATAACCACCTAACCTAACATAACCAATGCATTAACAAATCAATGCATTAACACCCCCCAAATAGCCTAACCAAACCAATGCATTAACACCCTCCAAATAACCAGGCTAACCTAATTAGTTAATGCTTTTGGTAAATCCTAGGTTTAGCGCGCTTATCCTAGGTTTTATCGCATTTCGGACATTTACAGTACCTAACAAATATAAGACTGATACGTTACAAAAATCGATATCGTGAAACGATAATCGTTAAAATTAAATTTGCAATGCCTAAGTAAAAAAAACAGAGATGTCTTTGTATATCGACATCCTTAATTTGTCGATATTGTTGTTATAAGAAAAATAATTCGTACTTTTACCAATGCGGTGTGGTAAATCCTAAGATTTACTGTTTGGGTCCGGTAAAAGTCCGAAATGGAAGCAAAATAAAGAAGTTTTCGAGCTTTTACCATTTGTCTTTGGTAAATCCTAGGTTTAGCGCGCTTATCCTAGGTTTTACCGCATTTCGGACATCAGTGACAGATATAAACACCGCTGACTTTGCCCAGCGTAAATACTCGTATTTACCGCTGAGAATTTTGGTCAGCGGCCGTACTGGTGTGTCATAAAAAAAAACGTTCAGGCGTTGTTCAGGGAAGTCGCTTTCTCAGCTCTACTCAGCCGCTGACCATCCCTAAACGTGCCCAATATTTCTGAAAACCCCAAAGGAAAACCCTAATATGTAACCTAATAGTATACAGGGTGGCGCACCTCATTCACCTCGGTTGATTATACGAAAACGGAAAGATGTAGAAACAAAATATTTTATGGGTATATGTGCATAATTTAAAATTAATTTGAAATGTACAGGGTATGTCAGAACTAAGATTCACACCAAAGTTATATTTTTTATATGGAACACCCGATATTTTATTTCATATTTGGATCCTTGAACACAAAATAAGGCATTTATTATAAGGGTTAAATATGTTTACAAGCTTTGGTTTCTGAGATATTTAAAGATATTTAAATATGCATGCTATAATAAAAAAATTGTTAATACCCTGTACATTACTTTTCAGATTTAATTCTTGTGCTGACTTTTAAGCCAGAGAAATAAACTTTACTGAAAAATTTGATTGCTTTGTTTAATGTATACAGGTTACAGGGGCATCAAAAATTGTTGGTCTATTTTTAATATTTATTTTACATAAAAACTTCCGTTATTTCAAATACAACACGCTGTGTTTTTTTTTAATAAATCGAAGCAGATTCAAATGCTCTTTCAAACTATATTAGGGTTTCCTATACTTATCTAAAGAGCAATTTTTCAATAAAATGGCAATCAAGAGGTCTGATGTCATGGCAAGTTTTTAGTGACTATTTAGTAGCTATTTTCAAAATCGAAATAAGTTTATGGACTTTATTTAAATTTATAGCAGTTTACTTTTATTCAATTTACCCCTACAATAATTTAATAAATAATTTTTATTAAAAATGTATTTATTATTCTATCAAGAAAAACGAAGTAGTTTTTTAATTTATTTTACAATGACTTGTAGATATATGAATTTTCAATAAAAGAGCCAATTACGGCAAATTTATTTTCTTCACTTCCAACGACAGGTTTCTGCCTAATAGGTTCTTTTATAAACCACACAACCAGCTCTGCGAAATAGGACAAGTAGTTTTTCAAAGGAACGCTTATCAGGAAGATTCCTATTTGGATATCTTTAAGCATAAGCCTTTGAGGCCAAGAAGCAATTTTCCTCACAAAATAAAATCACTAGTAACATATTCATTCGTTCCGCCAGCAGATACCTATTGCTTTATTTTTCTTGATAAAATAATGAATACTTACTTATACTGTTGTAGGTAAATTTAAGTAAATTGTTATAAATCTAAATAATAATGTCCATAATCTAATGTCGACTTTGAAAATAGTTACCAAACCAAACTGTCACTAGAAAATTGCCATGGTGAAACCAGCCATCTTGATTGCCATTCTATTGAAAAAACGTTTTTTATTCAAAATCTGAGGTAGATAGGTATAGGAAACCCTAATATAGTTTGAAAGAGCATTTAAATCTTCCTCGATTTATTTAAAAAAATATAGGGTGTTGCATTTGAAATAAGAAAGTTTTTATATAAAAAAAATATTTAAAATAGATCAGCAATTTTTGGTACCCCCGTATAAATTTAAGGAAGCACTACAATTTTTCAGTAAAGTTTATTTCTTTACCTTTCAACTTAGCACAAGAATTCATTCTGAAAAGTAATGTACAGAGGGTTGATAATCTATTCTATTGTAGCATGCATATTTAAATATCTCAAAAACCAAATATTCTAAACATATTTAACTCTTATAATAAATACCTGTTTTTGGGCCCAAGAATCCAAAAATGAAATAAAATACCGGGTGTGTCATAAGAAAAAATATAACTTTGGTATGGATCTTAGTTCTAAAACACCCTGTATATTTCAAAATAATATTGACCCATAAAATATTTTGTATCTACATCTTTCCGTTTTCATATAATCCGAGGCGAATGAGGTGCGCCATCCTGTATATTTTTAACTCCTCCCTTACTCATAGAAATCTTAAAACATTTTCCGATGCACGTCATCAACTTTGAGTGACAAGCGATGGCGACAGCACTGCCAGATTGTGATGGATTTATGAGATGAATTTTAATTTAAAAGTGACAAACATTATATTTAGTATAATATAAATATAATTTTTATATAATTTTTTTAAGGCAGCAGTTACTCTGAAAGTGGTATAATGTGCTTACCAATCAATCTTACTTCTCTGACTTTTTCAAGGGTAATAAAGGACCTTTATTGTCACGTTCGCGCACAAAATATTTTATCAGGGAAGCTAAAAGCGCTTTGCTTCGACTGTTTAAAGGCTTCGGCATATTTTCAATCCGTAATTTCAAAAAATGCAGTAAAAAATCTCGAAAATTTAGTTCTTAAAAGAACTGTTTGTGCTTAGAAGTACAATTTAAAAAAAAAAAACAATGAAAAACGGCAAAAAACGAGAATTACTCCCAAAAATTCAACAACACGATATTATACAAAATAATGACTGACACTATGATAATTGTCAAATAATACACGACAACATTGCTGAATATGGCGCAATGTGACCAACAATGGACCTACAAGGCGACAATAAAAATCGCTTTAAACTAATTTTTGCAGCTTTAATCTAAATAAAATATCTGTTACAATCATTTGTTCTATAAAGTATAATGAAGAGCTGCTTGGTATTTTAAATTAGTCAACATATTTAAACATTTTTGCTAAAATTTCATTTACCCAGGTTTATAGGCTTTAGTTGTCAATTTTGATGTGATTGATGACGTGCATCGGAAAATGTTTTAAAATTTCTATATATAATTTTTTCTATATATTAAATGTTTTTTCATATTAAATTTTAATTTTTGGAAGAGAGATAGATAACTATTACTATTGTTTGTTATTTTTTCTAAAATCAAGAAATTTCTTTATTTGTAGTGTTCTAAAGATATAATGGGATTTTCCGTGATGTTTTTTGTGGCCTATTTCGCTTATGCAGAATTGGGCTACCTAGTTTTTGGAAGTGAGGTATCATATACATTATAGATTCATAATATAGCATTATATTATTGATCTCTTTTTTTTAGGTCAAATCATATAGTACTTTCGGATTTTCTATGTTCACTTTGCTGCGCACCATCTTGGGTGACTTTGATTTTGAAGAAATTCACAAAGCGAATTGGATTGTAGCCCCAATATACTTTTTATCATTTATTATTCTGGTATTTTTTGTATTGCTGGTAAGTTCATTTGATTTACGAGTGCATAAATTAACTGTATGCTTCAGGTTAACAGGTTTTTATATTTTTCTAACAATTCAATTTTTATCTTATTTCAACAGCTGAGCTTATATCTCCGAAAAGCTTAAAAAATGGCGCTTTTTATGAAGTCATAGCCAACTATGGTTGCCATTAAAAAAAAACATATGTTTGTGCCATATGTCAAAAATGACAGACGTTAGAAAAAAATCGGACAACACAAACTCATTAGGGATGTAATTATCTACAACTTTTATCTGAAAACTTTTTGTCTAAAATATTATATTATATTTTCGAAATAACTAGTAAGCCATGAACTTTTTCAAAAATGTGAAAGGCGCATATTTATGACCCCACAAAACTGCAATTCTTTCCCCATTTTACCGACTCTCTATCTCCAGTAGTTTCCCAGATACCCATAGAGAACATCGATCGTAGGAAACTAACCCTGTATAATAAAAAATATATTTTCGTAGTGTTCGTTACTACTCCCCGTGGCCGTATATTTTGTAAAAGAACTAAAAATAATAATATATTATACGTTTTGCTCACTCAAGTGCTCACTCTGCATATTCTTATATTCTACTTGTTGCTTATCTTTTAGAATATGTTTCTTGCTATTATCAACGACACCTACTCCGATGTGAAAACGGACATAGCAATTGCACCTAAGGAGATGGAACTAATTGACTATTTAGAGCAAGGATTCAAAAGGATTTTATTGAAACTGGGATGCAGAGTACGAACAAGTCAACCTGAAAGAGAACCACAGCATAATACAAACATTAACAAAATTCGCGATGCTTTAGTTAAGTAAGTTGATATTCTTTTTTGCAAGTACATTATTACATTTTATATTAATTACTAGTTATATTGTGAGCTGAACTCCTTCGCTTTTTTCACGATGGTAATGTTAGTTGTTTTAAAAGCTGCTCTCCCCACTCACATAGAAATTAAGGGCCTCCAGAGTAATAATAATTGTGTTTCTTTAAGTGTAATTCTAATATTTGATATTTTAGATGCAAATTTGAGGAACGAGAGATTCAGATGTATTTTACGCGCTATGAAATTGACCCGTTAAAAGAATTAAAGAAGAAGGATATCGATAGTTTTTTCGAAAAACTTGGTATATTTAAAATATTTATTATATGTTAATGAAACATTTAAAACAATACTCTTTCCCCAGCTCTCGAAGATGAAGCCAAGAAAGCAGAACAACAGAGGGTTGTAAAGTGGCAAGATTTTCAAAGGTTAGAAACTTAATATTCCTTACTGAATATACCAATCGCAGCCTACTGCTTACTTAGTCGGCAAGCTGCTTACGAATTTAAGCAGCTTGCCGACTTACGACCATTTGCGTGGGATTCTGTGTCCATGGGACTCTCCGTCCTAGATATTCGTTCGTTCATCTTATTTTATGTATTATAGCAAGTTTGATTCTGAGCTTCATTAAAGTTCAGATGATAGTTCTATAGTAGATACTCACAAATGTACTACCACACAAGGGAAGATGACAAGCTGATGCGGAATAAGCTGTGATTCCAATGATCTGAGAAATTAACGTTGACATTTAAATACAATATCATCGAAAAAAAAACTGCGTCGGCGATGCTTATGAAATGAAGATCGCTGTCATTTTATTGTAAAATTATATGGGGAATATCACTGGTCGCGTCATTTCCAAGCCAACTAGACGCCTTTTTTTCGATCATACGATATTAAATCTGCATAATCGCAATAAACAAACAAAACAACAAACAAATTACAAATTCTGTTCTTTTTCGTGAATTCAATTTTCGTAATTTAAGAGAATGTTGGATTAAAATAAATTCACTTGGTTATCAGTTAAAATGTAGAATGAATGGGACGGGGGTTAACCACCGCGACAGTAAAGATCTATTGTTCCTAGTTCTTCAGTTATAACCCATCACACAATCTGTAACGCATCATACATGGCGATTTTCCTGTTGTAGAGGGGACAGGATATTTCCCATCTTCCTCAGACAACAGATGTTCTTCCTGCGAGGAGTGGAAATCTACCTCCTCGAGTTGATGACTCGCCAACTCGATATCCTTACATTCGAGTTCTCAGCGGGTAGTGTATCCCTGTAAATCCCAGCTGGTCCACATTTTGTAGATCGTTGCGTTACAATCCGCTCGCTACTACTTGCTGTCCAACAATCGCGGCAAAGCTGGTGATACGTTCCTGCTTGCCTCTCAGTGTTGGACGGCTTTCAATCCTGGTTTTTTTCTCTCCTTGCAGGATCAGAGATGAGATGTTCTCGCTCCCACTCTTGCCCTTTGGTGGAGATGAACCAGGCTGCTTTTTGTTTCTTTACTCTTCCCTTTTTCGAGGAATGTGTTCGCTTTTGATCTGAAGCTCTGAAGCAAATCCTTCGTGGAGCAGTCGGAGGCCTCTCCGTACTCCTGCTTCGCTGAGATCTACTCTTAGCGGGTCGTCTAGCCCACCTTGTCTACCCAGGCCGGGTAGCGGACACGGTAGCTTGTGTAACCTGTTGTGGATGTAGAGGTAGGCTCCCGACCCTTACTAAAGGAGGTGGTACCTTGTGTGCCACTTGTTGAGGCTGATCTCGCGCAAGTGTCAGCTGCATCTTCTGTAGTTCCCTTTGGGGTTGGTTCCTTGGAACTTGCACTGTTAAATGTTCCCGGTGTTGCTAGGGGGTTTCCCTCCAGCTTCATCGCAAAGGTAAGCCGGTACACTTGTACCGGCTAGAAGAATAGCTCTCGGCTGTATCTCGGAAAGTATTAGCCGTAGGGCTTACGGAAAAAATATTTATAACTAAAGGGGCTATGAGAAATTGCTGGAAATTATTTTCAAGTTTGTAAACGGCCGCTAGGTGGCGCAACTGCTATGGAAAATAAGAAAATATATTTTTTACAGAATTCTGCCTAGATAAATGGGTACTATAAATAATAGCTTCATAATCTTCAGTAAATTTTGGTTTTTTTTCGTTAGGACCATTTTCCCCTATCTGGTAAAATAAAGTGGTGGGGGAAGGTTAGATCAATCTTTATTTAAATGTTAATAACTTCGGACTGGATGATCAGAATCCAACAAACGAGGGCTCGTTTAAAAAAAGCGTTTCTTACTCTATATTATACCATAAAAATAATAATAATAAGGTTTTGAACGTAGACGCTAGGGGGCACTTTCTTACAATTTAACAAATATAGCGCGTTGTTTCAAAAAAATTAAATAGGATAGTATGTGTTATTTTAGCTGATAGTAAAGAGTAGTATAAGCTTAAAAAGTCAGCGAAAACCGCATCTTGATATCTTCTTTCAAACCGAAGATATTAGCAAAATGATAATAAATACCAAAAAATAAGGCCTTAATTACCTTATTTTTACAACACGGTATCAGTAGCCCTCTTGATTATGCCCATTCTTATATAGGTACCTAAAAATAAGATAGAAACAGTTAGTTTATTTTAAAATCGACTATATACCTGAATATCATAATATCAGATATATTAATATCTAATAATTAAGATATTAATAATAGTAAACAAGAAACGATGATTCAGTGAAGTCATGGTAGGCTTTGGAAAAAAGTTGCTTTTCGCGTAATAGTATAAACGTCAAATTGTTATTAGATCAACAATTTGATAGTCTTAGCAGCGTTTTTTTATCTTTTAAATGATTTTTCAAAATGCTTTATTATTTGAAGTAGTTGAAGTTGTTGGCATTTTGAAAAAGCAATCAAAAGATAAAAAACGCTGCTAAGACTATCAAAATGTTGATCTAATAACAATTTGACGTTTATACTATTACGTCAAAAGCAACTTTTTTCCGAAGCCTACCATGACTTCACTGAATCATCGTTTCTTGTTCCCTATTATTAATATCTTAATTATTAGATATTAATACATCTGATATTATGATATTCGGGTATATCGTCGATTTAAAATAAACTATCTGTTTCTATCTTTTTTTTAGGTAAGAGTGGGCATAATCAAGAGGGCTTCTGATACCGTGTTGTAAAAATAAGGTAATTAAGGGCTTATTTTTTGGTACTTATTATAATTTTTGCTAATATCTTCGGTTTGAAAGAAGGTATCAAAATGCGGTTTTCGCTGACTTTTTAAGCTTTTACTACTCTTTACTATCAGCTAAAATTACATATACTATTGCATTTAATTTTTTTGAAAAAAACGCGCAATGTTTGTGAAATTGTAAGATAACGCCCCCTAGCGTCTACGTTCAAAAGCTTATTATTATTGTTTATACGGTGCAATATAGAGTAAGAAACGCTCTTTTAAACGAGCCCTCGCTTGTTGGTTTCCGATGATCCAGTCCAGAGTTATTAATATTCAAATAAAAACAGATCTAACCTCCCCCCAGCACTTTATTTTGGTAGATAGGGGAAAATGACTCTAACAAAAAATATTCAAAATTTACTGAAGATTATGAAGCTGTTACTGGGTACGCGCACACTGACCAGAGCCGCACGCGCCGCATCGACCGAAGAAAAATATTGTTTGCTTTACTTTCAATGAAGGTGCGCACAGTACCCAGAGCCACACGAATAGCATCGACAAAAATGCGGCCAGCATTGTTGGGCCAGAATGATTTCCGGTAAATGCGGCTAGTGCTGCTGACGTCACTCGCAATTCCTTCCACTCTACGTAGCGTAGGTAGCCGAAGAGGAGATTAGAAATTCAATATGCTAAGAAAGTTCGCAAATTTTTCATGGCTCATATTGAAATATTGAAAAAATTTGGAAGTAATGTGGATTTTTGCCAATATTGTGAACCTATAACTTTCGATTCTTTCTCGTGATTTCTTCTTCTTCTATTAGCAAGGAGCTCATATTTATTTCTTGTTCGTTGTCATTTATTGTCGAGAAATATTAAAAAAACACGCTTATCACCGCAGACAGGACTCCGGAAGCGACTGATGAGGAATTCGATTGGCAAATACGGGTGTATTAGGGGCAAAAAGAAACAAAATAGCGAATAATGCGCCGCGTGCGGCGCTTTCGGTTCGGAAAGGAAAAAAAACAAAACGCGACAAGAAAAAAAAGTGCGATTCGGGCGGCGAGTGCGGCTCTGGTCAATGTGCGCGTACCTTTATAGTACACCTTATCTAGGCAAAATTGTGTAAAAACTCCATTTTCTTATATTTTGTTGCAGTTGCGCCCCATAGCGGTCGTTCTACAAACTTGAAAATAATTTCCAGCAATTTTCCATAGATTCTTTAGTTGTAATTTTTTTTCCCCGTTTCCATTTAACCCTAAAAGTGGAGAAAAATATTACATCCTTTTTTTAATAAAGCATATTTATTTCTAGACAAGATGCTAAATTAATTGAATTGGAACGTAGTCTGGCAACGTTAGGTCAACGAGTTCAAGAATTGTTGACCACAATAGAAAATATCCAAGGAGCTAAAAAGAAAACCTAATCACGAAAGAAAAACGCACGTTTTCTTGACATAATTGCTTTATTATATATAATATTTACTATAAACAAAATATTTACAGTACTTTACACAGCATAATGCAGATATATATGTTCAGTCAATACTTAAAAAAAGGAAAACACTTATATATTTACTTAAAATTATTGATATAAACAAGGATAGAATGAAAATAATTAGCTACACTTGTGATGAGCATTCTAATATATCACAAATGACGTGTGGCATTTGTTTAAGACACATAAATTCAGTAATATTAAACACAATTTTCCTGTTTGGATGAGTATGAAAATACTATACGATCGAAAAAACGGCGTCAGTTGGTCTGGAAATAAAGATCGTCGTCATTTCATATGTAAAATTATGTGGCGAATGTCAACAATCCGCCTTTTTCAAGCCAAACTGATGCCGTTTTTTTCGATCATACGGTATAAGTATGTTATTTATTTTAGTCTAATATGATAAACAGGAATAAACATTCATTTTGGTGCATCTACCTTTCCCTTTATAAAAATTACAAGGGATTGATTATGAATTATAATTGACATGAAAATTATAAAATTTGTGATTGTTTTAATATCAAAGTATCACATAGGTAAGTTATTTGTGTTACAAAATGATTTAAATTTGATATAAGTATTTTGTGGCTGTGGATGATTTTCAATTATTGTTGTTAGGCGAACTTTTAGGAACATTTACAATTGCCACAAACAATGATTTATTTTTCTATTATACTCCTATCACAGACCTAATCAGCAAAATTAACATTTTCTATATATTTTAAAAGTTATAAAATAAATAAATACATCACTTACTTATTAAAACTTAGTATTATACAAAACAAAGTAGAAAATGATACAGAATATAAAACAAATTGCTATGTACATTTTTATAATGCTGGGTAACTTGTTTAAATCAAAAAAAATATAGGTTTCGCAATACATACAGGGTGATTCTGTATTCCAAGTTAGAGAAATCATCCTGTATATATTTAAAAGCAAATACAAGGAGGCCCTCTTCAACTACAATTATTTTTTTTTACTGGAATGCTTCATATATTTTTAAACATTTAGGGATTCAATAAAGACACGTGCATTATCTATATTAAGAGAGCTTGTAAAAAAAACGAAAACTTTTATACTATCCCTAGAAGTTTCAAAACCCTGTTATATATTTTTAAAGCTGATTTACATTGGTATTTGCATATTTTCTAAACTACGATAAAACTATGAATTAATAATTAAATTCATAATCTAATTCTACAATCATTAAGACAAATAAAAAATATAAAAACAGATGAAAGTCTTTGATGTTCATGCCGTTAGAAAATTTACTCTAAACTATTATAAATACTGTAAAAAAATTGTATATCGATATTCTTAAATAGATGACATAGTGTATATTCATTTTTTTTGTTTTTTTTTAAATGCATTTACGCGAGTAATTTAGGTATAAAAAAATCTTGAATAGTAAAATAAGATTGGCCTTTATATTACAATTATCTAGACATTTGAATATTTGTTCTACAGAATGTTTATAAGGAACTATAAACAATTTTAGTCTAAAATAATGAATCCTACAAAAATTTAAAATAGTCATATATGTATCTACCTAACATGAGAGAAGCACAAAGTAAATTAAAATGTAAGATTGTTGTGTTCTAAAAAGACTGATATCGTCAGATTCATTATTACAAAACACTAAATTCATATACTAAAAAAGACATTAAGAACTGATTACATTAATTTATTTTTTTAATTTAAGTAGACAATCATTTTTTTTTGTTTTTTTTTAATATTTTTAAGTAGAAAAAATACATTGATGATTTTAAGGGACATATAATTTAAAATAAAATGAGAGAGGCTTTTCTAAGAATATGCTTTAAAGTAAAAAAGAACAGCATAAATAAAATGCATAATCATAGTACCAATGTAAATATGCTCATAGTCGTTTGAGTAAAAACAATAATATATAAATGCTATTACCATAGGTATACATATTATGTGGAAAATTTTGATTTACAATATTTTAATCTTTTTTTTATAATACTGAGTTATTTTTCGATTTAAACAATTTTTTTTGATACAATATTATATAGTAAAGACGGATTTAGATTGCACAAAATTTGTAAAAAAATAATTTGCACAGAATTCCTAGATCATTAAACTAATGTAAATACAATAAGTAAAAATTTGACATATAAAACTATATGTAATGTTAAAAATATTGCGGTTTTACAGTACTCAATTTTTAAACGACAGTGTCTAGCAGTAGTAGCTATAGGGTCTTTCTGAAAATTTTGCAATTTGGGACAGCCCCCGTATCTCCATTATTATGGACGATATCGAGAAGGTAAGGGGTAAATACAACGAGTGCCCCCTGGTACCCTAAGGTTGAGTCCAGTACAGGCTAGTCTTCTATCTAGCCACGCAGTCCTTTGACCTGGTCCCGCGATTTTAGGATTTAGGTTTTTGGTGAGGTTGTCTGCTCTTGGTCCGGGCAGTTAAGCCAAGACCCCCCCACACACACACACACACACACAGAGGGGATTCCCTCTAGCGCCCGACTTGGAGCTACCAACGCCAAGGTCTCTCATCTCCTAGAGGAAGGGTGTATTAGTGAAGTTTAGTATACCATTCTGGTCATCGTAAAAGCGTGGTATGAAATTTACGTGTAAGATAATGATGTAAACAGCTTAATGGAAGATCATATGTATTAAAAAGAGATAAAAGTTGGGTTGATACAGTTCTTCTATGCGGTATTGCCGGATTTTGCATCAGTTTTCTCGCATTGAAACTTTATTTTTCACAAACTGGCAACTCATTTTAGTAAAATTAGTTACTCATTTTACTACAGCTGTAATATATTATATTTAGCTTAGATATATTATCTCATTTCAATAGTATACATGGAAGTTTTTAAAAAAGTTTATTTTTTTCTACACACAATTATTATCAATTACAATCACCCTCTGTATCTCTGTTATTGTTAAAGGTATCAAGAAGATGGAAACTGTTTATTGTTTGTATGTATTTATATTTGAAGTAGAATACAGTGGCATAGTCTGTTATTCTACGAAAAGAATATTTTTAAAGATATGAACTAAAGTTGTTTTCCTAAATGGAACACCCTTTATATTTATAAATTATATGATCTAGCTTGCCATAAGCTTCTCAAAAATAAATATCACTCTATATTTGTTTTCACTATTTACTGCAATAGTTAAAAGTTTTTATGCAAAGATCATATTTATTAGTACGCCATGCCAAGATTGATAATAAAAAAAACTAAAGAATTATTAAAATTATACTGCTATATGTTTCTTGTTTTATTTTTGGAGCCACTAATAAATTCTTTATATATTAGGGAAACTTCTCTTTGTACCAGAACTTTTCGATATTCCTTTAACTAATTTCCGTGAAATATACTTTCAGCAAATTGGGGTTCCTCCTCATCATCTTTAAAATTATTAGAATTTTGTTAAATTATTATTTTTCAAGCCAATGAATACCAATGAACCCATATGATGGCCTCCCTGATTCCCGGATTTGTCCGTTCTCGATTTCTGATTTTGGGAATTTTTGTAGTACGTAATATATCAAAACTTGTTTGCCAAAAAAGGGGGACCAGGTTTGTGCAAATCGCCTCCTCCTATCTTTACTAATAACGGGGATACCGTATGATTTCAACCAAAATGGACGAGGCCTCTTCTCACCTGGAGAGCAGAGCAAGTTTTCAAAATAATTTTTATTCTTGATCATCTTCCTTTTGATATTATTAGGAGTGGTATAAAATGAATTTTATCATATCATATTTTTATGAGCACCCTGTACCATATTTCTTTAAACACCTGTAAAAATTTAAGTAGAGTAAAACCTTTTCTAAAAGACTGACAACATAAATTTATATAAAAATGCATCATTGCTGTAAAATGAATAGTATACTTCTACTTTGTAAATGTAATATCTGACATGAAATTTTGTGTATAATTTTTTGTATCTAAGTTAGTAAACAGTAACATTAGTTTATATGATCTAAGACAATTTTATCAATGGCCATACAATGTACGGAGCAGGAACCATAACGCAGCAACCAAAATGAAAATTACTTTTTTTCCAACGACAAAGAGGAGAACTGCTTCTCTAAGGAATCGCACTCAGCCAAATCTTCACCGTTAGAACGATAAAAGCAATTGGAAGAAACCATGTTGCTATCGATGCTGTCGTAAAAATCGTTTCTGGTTTGCCACAGAAAGGTGTTGGCCGTCTGGAATCTGTGGCTTTCAGAGTCGGTGGTGGTTTGTTGTATCGAACTGCTCTTTTCCATCAGGGAATCCGGATAATCGTCCAAGGGTTGGGTCTTATATGAAGAGAGAATCCATGGAGATTGAAATTTTTCGCTTGCCGACGTTGAATGTTGAACCTGAAAAAAATATAAAAAATCGATAATGAAGATACATTATGCTGTTTTTGATATCGGTTGGTTACCGACAATCTCTTGGTTATTTGCTAAATCAAAATACTAAAGAGGGTAAGCAAGGTCACTATCTATACCAATGTAGTTTCAAAAAGTTTCATTTTTTTTTGTTCCATTTCAGTTGAATATAAATAGTACAGTACATCTTAGCAATTTATTGTGTACTTTTTTAATAGGCTTTAAATTTTTTATTCTTGTACCCTGAATAGTGGAATTGTTATTAAAAAACAAATTATAATATTTTTAGTTAAGTTTGGTTTGGTTGGGACGTTTCGTTTTGGGACGTATATAGTTTAACATTATTTTTCATATTTTTATAAAATTTGATATCGGTTGGTTACCGACAATCTCTTGGTTATTTGCTAAATCAAAATACTAAAGAGGGTAAGCAAGGTCACTATCTATACCAATGTAGTTTCAAAAAGTTTCATTTTTTTGTTCCATTTCAGTTGAATATAAATAGTACAGTACATCTTAGCAATTTATTGTGTACTTTTTTAATAGGCTTTAAATTGTTTATTCTTGTACCCTGAATAGTGGAATTGTTATTAAAAAACAAATTATAATATTTTTAGTTAAGTTTGGTTTGGTTGGGACGTTTCGTTTTGGGACGTATATAGTTTAACATTATTTTTCATATTTTTATAAAATTTGAACTATAAAAAAGGACATGTGAGATACAGGGTGGTCCGTACTGTATTCCGGAAACTTCAGCAGCATATTCTGCAGATAAAAATAAGTAAAAAAGTTTGTATAAATGTATGTCCTAAAATGCTTAGTTTCTCAGATACAGGGTGTAGAAGTTTTATTTTGGTGTCAATATGACTCCTAACTTGTAGAGGGCGCCACCTACATATTTTTAACTGGTTTGAAGAGTAATAACTTTTCGTCTGTACCTGTATAAAACTGCTGAGTAAAAAATATACATTTACAACGTTTTTTACGTATAAAAAGTCTCTTGGTGAAAATCGCTAGGATGGTATCGCTAGGTAATGGTTGTCGAGATATTTGAAATCGAAATTATCTAGACCTATCATCATTGACATAAATTAAACATGTTGACTAAATAGTTTTTAGACTGAAATCATAAATTTGAAATGTTTTTGCGCCAAAAGTTCAACAGAAACTTGTTTTACCATCATTCCTTGGGAGAAAAATGTATGATTAATTTAAAAAAAAAGTTCCCAAATTTATCATTTCAAAACAACTCTACTCAACATGTTTATTTTTTGTCAATAATGACATGTATTATATATAATAATAATAATTATTAAATATCTTGATTGGTCGTTTCTAAATATCTTGATTATCTTAGTTGGTCATAGCGATTTTTACCAAGTGACCGTTTTTACGTAAAAAATGTCGTAAATGTATATTTTTTTTACTCAGTAGTTTTATACAGGTACCGACAAAAAGTTATTACTTTTCAAAATAGTTAAAACACATGTAGGTGGCGCCCCCTACAAATAGGAGTCATATTGACATCAAAATCAAATTTCTCATGTCAAAAAACTCCCAGACCCCAATTTTCATCCAATATTGACGTTACTTCAGAAATTATTTGGAAAAAATCGAAATAAAGTAAAACTTCTACACCCTGTATCTCCGAAACTAAGCATTTTAGGACATACATTTATATAAACTTTTTTACATTTTTATCGGTAAAATATGCTGCCGAAGTTTTCGGAATTCAGTTCGGACCACCCTGTATTTTGAAGAGAAAGTGTGTTACCCAATACACTTATTCTGATATAACAGGATGTCTCTATTTTTTTTTAAATCCAAGTTCTAGCTTAAAATTCCAGCACTGTATACGTCTTTATCAACTTATGTTGAGTTAGCGCTAGGCGCTCGCTTGCATTTATATCGTGCCATTCTGTATAATGTTGCAAATTGTAACAATGAAATAAAAAAAACAGTAATACAGTTTTCTCCTTTATTTATTTTATACCTAGCATGGCATTTATACTGCATTATTGATTTAACAGAAAGAACTGTATTATTTACGATGCCCTAATGCCTTTATTAATAGCTCAGTTATAATTATCAGTACTTAACCGTACATCAAATCTAAAGACAGTTCTAGAACTATATTCCATCAAATCGTACTGTAAAAGATTAATTAAGTGTAATTACAGACTTCGAAAAACGGTATACGAATGTTTTATTGTTTTTTACTGTTTAGAGATGAACAATTTTTATTAGATTCAAAAATTTAAATTGTAAATATGCAATAATGTTATATATCTAATAAAAATATCAAGAAATCCGTTGTCTTTAAACAGTTGAACTGAATATTAATAAATAATTAATATTTTTATGTACCATAATTGAAAAAATATTTAAATAAAAATGTTATTACCAGTTTAGTTAAAAGAATTTAACTAATATAAAAAAAGATTAATATAAAAAATAAGGCGTTTAAAACTAAATTAATTTTTTTAAAATATAATTAATATGAATAAATTAAGCGTGTGAAGTAAAATAGATTATGCGAATTTCAAGGCCGAAAAACAACCAAGAAATAACTTTGTAATGAGTGATAAATTGTTGATGTGAGTGGTATCAAAAACATATGTGATAATAATAATGACCATTAGTTACGCCAGCATCTATTGTAAAACACCTGCAGAGATGTTTAATAGTTTTGTATCACAAAATGTTAACTAACACGATTTTAGCCATATTTCTACAGAAACGTCTGTTTAAATTTTATTAAGAGAAGATTTTATTTAAAAAAATTATTTATTTCCGCTTTTAATATCTCTTTAACAACAAAAACTCGGTATGTAATGAATTATTTTTTTATAATTGAGATGCAGATTTACTTTTTTCTTTGTACAGACTTTTGTATAGGATTATTCAAGTTTGACACCTTGGATTAATAGAATACCAGGATAACGGTAAATTTTCTCAAAATTCAGCGAATATTATATCGTGTTATTAATTAATTTACTTTAAAATTTGGGTATCCTAAAGAAACAATACTGCGACATTTCATTGTAAAGTATTAAATAACCTTCGCTGTGTCATTGCAAAATTACCAAAAAATTAACTGAATAACAAAACTGTCGGTAAAATAATATAATCACCGAAATTCGCTGGATTAGAACCACGCTTTTTTCCTTATTTCGTCTCTTTATTGTTTTAGTTGACTTGCATCACATGTTTTATTTATAAACTACAAATTTCATGTAATAATTCAGGGCAGTGTAATAATCCTTTCACCTCCTTTGAACCAGAGAAACCTGAAGTAAGAAACAGTATTTTGTTTCCATCTTTTGGTTTTGTTCTTTGAAGAACTTAAGCCAATTACAAAATTGTAACCCTTTTTTCTCTAGAATATGCGCTTATACAATTTTAACTAAGTTGTACAATTCCCAATTTACCTTTTTGTTTAAACGCATGGTATCACAATTTCAACTGCAAACAAAATCCCTAAATCCCATCATGTCACATGGTATTGCGTTATTATTTTGGATATAATTGTTTCACAGTAAAATCTTTCGATTAAATATATTTTCAGTAAAATGGTAAGTACCAGAAGTTGGCAGCAATCTTCTTATTTGAAATGGTTACCACTAGTGATGAGAAAAACTATGGATTTTGAACACTCGAGTTTTAATCGATTTCAATAATCGAGTAAACATTTCGCTTGTATTAAAAAATACGGTTTTCTGCTATGCCTGTTAGTCGAAACTATGCTAGCAACTCGCAACGCAAAGCTAATGCATTCATTACATTCGGGTACCTCTATTGGTTCCAATCGACCCATAATTAAGAAAAATCCTGATGATTTCGCCTATTTACAGACATCGGTTCGAAACGTCGAGGGTGTTATCCTGTAGCACTTAGCCCCACCTTGATGAAGATGTAAACGAAACGTCGTATCCAACTTTTTTTTACCCGCCAAATTTGGTCGCGATCGGACATCAATTTTTGAGGTTTCTTACTGTTTCTTACAAGTTTCAACCCCCAAGCTCACATAGGGCCCGAGTTAAGACGCTCCAAAAACTAAGTAAAAACTAACGTATACTTAACAATATTGTGGTGGATTAATTCAATCAAGAATGTTTAGTGTATATAACTTTTCTTTGACAGACATATTTTAGCATTAAGAAATGCTTTACTCCAAAAAGGTAAATTTTAGAGGTAGTTTTTAAATCAAATTTCATGAAACCCCTTTACAGATAATTTATATCTATAAGAAAAATGGGGTTATGTAAAATAAGAAAGTTGCTGCCAACTTCCGCTAGTACCGTCAAACATTGTGTAACATTGTGCAAAAAAGCTACGATATAAATATTTTAGTTCTCTCAAAATATCTACTGCAAGTTCAGCATAGGACACCCTGTATACTATTCGTAGTTTTGGATCTTTATTAGGTCTCTGTGTTATGTTCTCGATAGCGTGAAGAACGAAAAATTAATCGGTACCAATGCCGATTACCGGAAACGGATTTTGAAGCCATCATTCACAAATGAAATTAGCTCACGCGCACTTCCGTTTTTACGGTCTTCAAATACAGTCGGTTTCGTAAATTATTATTCCGTACCAGTTGAAATTTCTAATTTATTTTGATATATAAAGAGCATTCAATGCATTAAGTCGTCCTTCTATAAGATATGAATAATATGAGTTTTTCAAAAAAAAAACGGCGTTAAAGACGGCAGGGGAATGATAAAATCGATGATAATTTTGGCGAGGTCAAGCCCTAGACGTCATTTAGTTGGCCCGTACTCTTCTATTTTTTTAATGGCACTTACTGCCAATTGTCCAGTTGGCCTTCAGAAGATTTTAATTTATTTTAATATTAAGTAAAAATGATTTTTAAGGATTCGTTTAAAAATGATTTTTAAGGATTTAGGAAATAGATTTCCGTGTCTGAAAGCTTTCTATCTTCTTTTATCTCTCTATAATTAGTGTTAATTTTTGACAAGTGTTATGTCAATTATTCGTAAATGACGTTTATATATTGACCTCGCCAAAATTATCATTGATTGTCATTAGATGGCCGTCTTTGACGCCGTTGAAAAGAATTCAATCATACGTTATCATTTTCATTAACTTTTTTAGCAAATACGTGACTATCTAACGTTTTTCTGTTTACATTTACTTTATATATCTTAGATCCTTTGTCCTTTCGTTTTGTACTGTAAGGTTTGTCTATTTATAATTTAAATTCTATTTTTTTTATTCAACTTTTGAAGACCAAACAAAGATAGAACTAAAAGTATCTATTAATTCTAAAAATTGAATAGTTTTAAAGCATTTAAAACTATTCAATTTTTATATGAATTAGCTGTTTAAATTTATTTTGCTTCAGGCGATGAACATTCATTTCCAGCGAGTTATAACTAAACATAGGATATCACACTAAGAACTGGCCTCCTGAAACTTGAAAGGTCAGTTTTCGCAGTTCGCGTTATAATTCATTGGAATATTGCCTATTCAATAGTTGGAAACTTGAGCCATAAACTAAAAGTTTAAATTCGCAAGTGTCAAAATTGCTTTTTGACGAAGATAAGCGAAAGTTTCATACATTGATTTATTAGAATTTTGGGAACAGATAGATAAGTCAGAGTCTAGGAATCAGGTTTTCCAGTAGTTCCACAATTCGAAAGCACATGCATCTGACTATTTCGGACTAACAGTAATTGTTTTGGTTTGGTTTGGTTTGGTTACAAACCCTTGTATAAAAATTTTACTCTAATATATTATCACTATATTTAAGTAATCAGGAAATATTGTTACATTTAATGGTTTAGCATGTAATTAATGTACAAAACTTAAATAAATTCATATACTATAACTACTGCAAGCATTTCTACTATTTGGATATAAACTAAAAAGTTTGCTACATCATTTTTTTCTGACATTTACATAAATATTGTTTGAAGTACAGAGTGTTAGAGAAACGGTTAAATTGTGAACGTTCTAGGGATTTTGTTTGAATCGTCATATTCTAATTTTCGATATACGAGGAAACCATACAAACTGACAAATTTTGACAGAAGTTTCATTCTTTTACAGTGCGATATGATTCTTCAGTTGAATGGACAATGTTCTACTGTTTTACTTATAAAAATATACTTGTGTCTTGATATTTTCTTTAATGGTTTTAGAGATATATATTATAAAGATTGTAAATAATATTTTAATCTATGCTACATAGAAGAAAGTATACTGCCAAAGATATGGCCTTTTTATTTGATAATTTCAAATACTATTCATGTCTATTCATCCATGATCACCTTAGAATTGTTACCAAAATCTCGTTTATACTTCTAAAACGACTAAATAATATAAACAAATCTTATATTTTTGAAATCAAAAATATTGTCTATTCACTTGAAACATTTAATTTTGAAAATAGGTATCTACACTACGTAGATCATAAATCTTAATAATTAATAATGCAAGATTACTGTTATTCTAAATCTCATTTCAGATAGTGTTAAATAATGTGGCATATGTAACGCGTACATATTTACGCACTACATACAGATGGTAAATCTAGGTTTCACAAAATACATCCAATTAAGGTAAAAGTAGGATCGGTTTATAGTAAGAGCTTCTAAGATATATGTCTAGGTTTAGAGTATTATTTATTCAATAAGTATTTCAATTCACTTTACATTTTTGAGAACAAAAAAGCATGGATTGCTATCAAAATATGTTTAACACATCACATACCGGGCGCGTCTCAAAAGTGACTCATCCCTATAACTTCTTTATTTTTTCAGATAAAAACTCGAGATTTGGTATATTAGTATATGACATAAATTAGGATTGATTGACGTATTCAATTTATTATTCAATTTTTCGGTCACTTCCTGTTTCACCGGAAATACTACAACTTTTGATTTTTAAATGGCACCCTCGGTATTTTGTTACTTTATTTGATTGAAAACGACACTCTGAAAAGAATGACATATCATATGTCAACTTTTGACATTTTCGCATATGGTTTAATTGAAATTGCAACATGCGCTTCATAACAATTGGACTCGAAATACCAAGTCTATGGTACCAAATTATTCGTAAAAAAATGCTTTTTCCAAATATGCTAATGAACCACTCTCGTTCCATTTGAAAAAATTGAGATATGATTAAAAATACGATTTGGGCATCTTTCAACTGGTCAGGGCAAGCCACGAAAAACATTAGATGATCTATTTTTCAAATCTATTTTTTTCAATGCTCCTTGATTAAAAATTAGTGTTTTTAACACAGCTATGGCATTCTGGATTGAAATTTAAAATCCAATTTTGTTTTAAGCGAAAATGTCAAATGTTGGCATATGATATGTCATTCTATCCAGAGTGTCATATTCTATCGAATAAAGCAAAAAAATACCGAGGGCGCCATTTAAAAACAAAAGTTGTAGACATTTCTGGTGAAACAGTCTAATGGTATAGTTTAAAATTCGAGAAAAATAAATTTTGGGAAATAGAATTGTTTCTAGAGAAACGTTTTACCCTTTTTTAATCTTTCTATAATTATTGCTATAATTTTATCATAAGTTTTATGTCAATTTTTAGTAAATTACGTCTAGAGATTGACCTCGCCAAAATTCTCATCGATTGTCATTCTCCAGCCGTCTTTGACCTTTTTTTCTCGATCATACGGTATAAAATAGTTTAATGTGAGGCAAATTTGTAGCTCCATATTCATATCCACTCATAAATAATCTATTTAAATGGATCTTTTCCATGTGAAGTTATTAAAAAAATGATGCAACAAACTAAGCTAAGCCATGTCCCTCTACTTACTCTAATCTACGAACCTCTACTAAAAGCCAAACCAACAGCCCATTCTAATAATAATGTCAAGCGGCAGCAGAAGCACCGTGTAGCAAATAAAAATAAAAAGCGACAACTTACTCCTCTGTTCGAGTGTGTGCGAAACAAAAATAATCTCCGGCTATTATTGATTGCTGTCTCGTCTGAAGAAACTCCATATGGATGAAGTAGTTTTGGACCGTACCTTTTCATCCTTCGGCGACGATCCCCACTTGGCCGCCGTGGACGAGGCCGAGGACGACGTCTTCTTCAGCGTGTTCTGCGCAGAACCTTTCGACACCACCGACTCCGTACTGCGCAGCTTGTTGGACAGCGAATCCCTGGCGCTGACGAGCGAACTGTTGCGGGACTTGGGCAGCGAGTTCTTCAGACTGTTGTCGTTACCGGCACTTCGGTTCCTCCAGGAGTGCGCGGAGTGCGATCGGTGAGGTGAGTCGCCGCTGCGGCTGCGCGGTGCGGGACTATGTTTACCTGCGGGTGCGTGACAGGCGGATGAGTAAACGTGATAGTGGAGGATGTGTGTGGTGTTGTGTGTTGGTGTTTATGAGGTTGTATGTTTAACGATTAATCTATATAAATTGCTAATCAATAATACCAACTACTCTAAATCTACTTAAAGATGAAATATCGTCATAAGTGCTCAGTATCGTTTTTGAAACACAAATCGAATTTAACGTGGTAAAATTAGTTAAAAATCATTAATATTGCGATAGCAAATAAATTGTTATATTGGTGACCCATTCATATACAGGATGGTTTGGCATTTCCTATAAATGTATGTCCGAAAATGCTTAGTTTCGGAGATACAGGGTGTAGAAGTTTCATTTTTATTTCGATTTTTTCAAATAATTTCTGAAGTAACGTTAATATTTAGATAGAAATTTGTGTCTGGGAGTTTTTTGACATGAGAAATTTGATTTTTATGTCAATATGACTCCTACTTGTAGAGGGCGCTACCAACATATTTTTTAACTGGTTTGAAGAGTAATAACTTTTCGTCCGTACCTGTATAAAACTACTGAGTAAAAAAATATACATTTGCGACGTTTTTTACGTGAAAAAGGTTTCTTGGTAAAAATCGTTGCGAGTTATGATTCTCGAGATATTTGGAATCGAAATTATCAATACCTGTCATCATTGAATTAATTTAAACATGTTGACTAAATAGTTAGTATGTTCTATAGACTGATATCATAAATTTGAAATGTTTTTGTGCCAAAAGTTCAGAAACTGTTATAATTTTTTTGAAGAAAAAAATATGATTAATTAAAAAAAAAGTTTCCAAATTTATCATTTCAGTCAAATAACTATCTACTCAACACGTTTATTTTTTTGTCAATAATGACATGTATTGACTATTTCCATTCTAAATATCTTGAGAACGGGTGCTCGTAGCGATTTTTACCAAGAGATATTTTTTATGTAAAAAATACGAATGTATGTTTTTTCACTTGGTAATTTTATATCGGTACGGACGAAAAGTTATTACTCTACGATACAGTTCAAGCACATGTAGGTAGCGCCCCTACAAATAGGAGGTATATTGACATCAAAATCAAATTTCTCATATGAAGAAACTTCGAGACACCAATTTTCATTCAAATATTGACGTTACTTCAGAAATTATTTGGAAAAAATCAAAATAAAAATGAATCTTCTACACCCTGTATCTCCGAAACAAAACATTTTAGGACATACATTTATACGAACTTTTTTACTTATTTTTATCTCCAGAATCAGAATATGCTGCCGAAGTTTTCGGAATACAGAACGGACCACCCTGTAGAGTAGTCGCCAATTAGTTTTATTATAGAATATTGAAAAATATTAATGCAAATAACATTAAGTTTCAAAAAATGTTTCACCTATGCCTCTTATTTACTCTCTCATCATCTATTTTTTATTCTGAAAGTTGGCAACCCTAACCTAACCCCACTTTATTCACACGGTCTCTGTATTTAAAATATGGAGTATACAAGAATCATCTCTTTCGCGACTGTTTGAAAAAGTGGTCACATAAATGAGGCAAATAAGGGTTCAATAAATGACGACAGTGGCGCTAACACGCAATGAGGGATCGAAATGAACTTAGCAGTTAAAAATGAAAAGTCAAAGTGAAGTATTTCCTGTTCTAAACTTTTTCTTAACGCGTTTTTCAAATGTAGAAGTTTTGCTACAGCAGCGCTATCTTAATTTGTCCCTCTTTGATTTTTTTTGTTAATGGATATACTGAACTGATTTTACATAAAATGTTTTTAACTGTTGATCTATTCCATTTAAAAAAATTGTATCTTAAATTAAAAAGATATAGAATTAACAAACAAGAATAAAAACCAAAATTTTAAATAACAAATTAGAACATAAAAAAGTATGCAATTTTATAGTGGGACATTGCGAAATATTAAGTAATAAACTATAGCGAATTCAATTAGAAACCAATAATAAATTTGTGATATTTTTCAATAATAAATAAAACAGTACAACGCCCACTCAAACCATTTTCTTTTCCTTGAGAAAGCAATAAAACTAAAATTATTAATCGCATATACTATAACTCAATCTACATGTAATTAAATGTTGGCGGTGAATAATTTACAGGATTTTCAACTCTATCTGCTTTATGTAATGTGTTGTATATTGTCGTTAATCGCTCGCCAAAACAAATAATTTATAATATTTTGGTTTTCCAAACAAAGTTGCCCGCCTGGTATGGTTAAAATATCTTCCTTTATTTGTTTGAATATTGAGAACTAAATATGATCTTGAGTAAAATTGTAATTTCAGACTTGCACTGTTACGAACACGTGAATTTCTGATCATTATCGAGCTAAAACTAACATTATTTTCCTAAGCTACTGTCTCAAATACTAAGTGACTACAATTACAACCGATATTTTCCGAAAGCCTCTCCTTTCCCCACGTAAAATTAGTGAGATTCGACTTGACCCCCTCCCCCTGACCTCATCATATAATTAATAGGCCTCCACTAAGGTATGTGCACTGGAGCATGGATGAACGTGTTAAAAAAGTTCGAGAATTACGCTATCAATTCCACAGTAACAAAATCTAAACTTATGTAGAATGTAGAATGTTTAGGTTAATCACCGCGACCTTACAGAGCTATTGTGTGCCTCTTTCTTGAGTTATAACGAGTCTCAAGTCTTTGACAAAAGCCAGTATCTGAGACGGCTCCACAGAGGCCAGCTCTCCATCTCCGACATCAGACGTACTAAAATTTATGGCACGAACAGTTATCGTCTCGGTGCACTCTGTGATGAGGTGTTCTGGTATTTCCCCATTTTCCCCACAGAATCTGTATTCGCCGTTGTTCCTCAGCTTCAATCTACTGAGGTGTTTGTTGAGGAGACAGTGTCCTGTTAGAAACCCCGTGACAATCCGAAGATTGTTCTTACTTAATCAAGGAAAATCTTTGATTTTTCTCGGTCGTAAGTTCTGAGAAACTTTTTCGAGTGTCTTAGACCGTTGGAGGATTCCCATTCCAGGTTACGGATGGAGTCCATGACAATCCGAAGATTGTTCTTACTTAATCAAGGAAAATCTTTGATTTTTCTCGGTCGTAAGTTCTGAGAAACTTTTCGAGTGTCTTAGACCGTTGGAGGATTCCCATTCCAGGTTACGGATGGAGTCTTCCTAACTTTGGCTGCGTTATCTCTTCGATAATTTTAATCCAACAACCGGGCTATATGAAGTTCCATGTTCAAAAAAAAAAACTTTTCGTTCTCAACCGCTACTTAAGTCAAATGACGCTTTTATCACATCTGGCTACAGAAATCTAATTCACAATGGACAATATCTGAACAACCTGTCAAATCATTCTAATTCAATAAACCAAGCCATTATTGTATGAATACAGTTGCTTAGGAAAATAATGTTAGTTTCAGCATAATACAAAATGTTATAATAAAATTTGAAAGCAGAGTTTTAATAATTTTATATTGGTAGATTTGAATTCCACATCACAAAAGCTTTTATAATAAATAATATTTTCTAATACCGTATTTTAGCGTCTAAAAATATTAACCACTGTGTTTTTTTGCGACATTAATTTTTAATTTGATTATTTTCAGCAAAGGTTTTAAAAAGTTGACTGTTTATATTTTAATGTATTTAAAAGTATTACTATCTAAACTTATTTTACCAATGTAGATGAAGGGAATATTGAATTAAAAAAAAAACGTTGTAAATGCTATGTTTGAAAAGAAACTTAATACAAAAAATAATTGAATGTTCTCATTGTCTCAATTACATTGTTGAAACAGCTGGAAGTGATCATACTACTTTATAACGAATGTTTGTAAAAGAAAATATTTAATCAACTGAATAAATAAAAAATTGTCCCACTGTAAATATAATCTTCTACCCTTAATCTATATTTTACCCTAAAAAATCCCTGGAGATCTGTCTAAAAATATCTGCATGTATGATTTGTCAATTATATCTTTCTTTTATTAAAAGAAGTAATCTTTAATGTATTAATAACAATCATAAGTCAAAATCAAGTTTTGGGAGCAAAAAGGAGATGTTAACATAAAATACTTTAAATACATTTTTTGCGCTTTTTAAATAGTATCTAAGTATAATGAAGGGAGGCCCTTGCGGCCGCTGTGGGAGTCCCGCCTGGGACCCTCTCTTAGTAAATACAATACATACACTGATGGGAACAACTAATAGTAGGAATTTTTGCGACAGGAATTCGTAGATAAAAATGTTCACTGTTTAACAAAATTGCACTTTAGGTTCTACTTGGTTCAAATTTGACAAAGATTACTGTGTATTCTGTTGTAGCAATAATTATTATTAAGGTGCATATATTTTAACTAAAAACATAAAATTTATTCGCCATATTTCTCTAAAGTTCATTTTTTATATGGAGGAGTTATTGTACTGAAATATTGGTAAATGGTATGTAACTAAACAATGCAAATGATACTCATTCTAAATGTCATAAAAATAGATAATCTTAATGAAACGAACCCTATACAGGGTGGACCGAACTGTATTCCGGAAACTTCGACAGCATATTCTGCACATAAAAATAGGTATTCTTGGTGTTTTTTGACATGACAAATTCGATTTTGATGTCAGTATCACTTCTATTTATAGGGGTCACCACCGATATATTATTTAGCTGTTTTGAAGAGTAATAACTTTTTATCCGTACCTGTACTACATTACCGGGTAAATAAAATATACATTTTCGTTATTTTCTAAAAGAAGTAGTCTGAAAAAATCTGAAAAAATTTGAAATGTTTTTGCGCCAAATATTTTTAACAAAAACCGTTTTATCTTTTTTTTTCTAGAAAAATTCACAATTAGCTTAAAAAATGAAAGGTTTTCCAATTTTCAGTCAAATATCTAGTCAACATGTTTATTTTTTCTCAATGATGATATGTATTGACTATTTCCATTCCAAATATCTTGAAAGCAGTTGTTCGTAGCGATTTTTTCCAAGAGATATTTTTGACGTAAAAAATTACGGAAATGTATATTTTTTTACTCAGTAATGTAATGCAAGGACGGACGAAGTTATTATTACTCTTCAAAACAGTTAAAAAAGATGTACGTAACCCCTAAAAGTAGGAGTCATATTGACATTGAAATCAAATTTTTCATGTTAAAAAAAACAGATACTAATATTCATCCGAATACCGAATTTAGTTCGGAAATTATTAGGAAAAAAACGAAATAAAAATGAAATTTCTACACCCTGTATGTCCGAAACGAAGCATTTTAGGATATAAGTTTATACAAACTTTTTTATTTATTTTTATGTACAGAATATGCTGCCGAAGTTTCCGGGGCACAGTTCGGACCATCCTGTATATTTATTGAAAAAATAGCAAAAATATTGAGATCTGAAAGAACAATTAATGTGAAAACAAAATAAATATCAATAGAAAAGAGAGTATGAAGTCACAAACTTTTATGTCTCCAGTTAAAATATGATTACTGTATACAAAACAGTCCCACAAAATTTCGTGGACGTAGAACAACTACGTATTTTTGGAATAAAAATAAGTTAATTGAACACAATTTGCCTCTACACAAAAGTTCCTCGTTTGTCCGTTAGTACCACCACCAAATTTTAAAAAATTAAAACTTTTTTATGATATTTTAAGAACCGATAAACCGATTTGAATAAGATATGGGGTGCCTACGTTTTGCTACGTGCTACAAAGAGTACATGAATCAAAAATATACCCAAATGTTAATCAATTTAATAAATTCATCAAGTTTATTATCAGAGATCATTTACGATACTGACATAATATTCCACATTTTTGCCGACTAGCTTATTATCGCCTTCTAAATTTTAACCCTTGAGAACAAGGAATATTTTTGGTAGATAAAGATTTGAATTTTAAAAAATTATGCAAGATTTTTACAATATATAGACAAAAAATATAGTAAATAATAGAAGGGTCATTTTTGAAGTTGCAAAAAATTTCTACTAGAATTTATGTGAGGGTACTTTTCACTCTTCTAATTCCCTTTCTGTTTTTGTTTGTGGAAGTCAAATGATAAAGCGCTTAGCAAAACATAGGCATCCCAAATCTCATTCGAATAGGAATATCGGTTCTTAAAATATCTTAAAGCATGTGTTTATTTTTTTTTCAAATTTGATGCTCTTTAACGATAAATGTTAGAAGTAAATTGTGTAAAATTAATTTAATTGCATTCCAAAATCACGTAGTAGTTATATCCACGGAATAGTTGTATATATAACACCCTGTATATTAGTGTAAATTTGGAACTGTATTACTTAATTAAAGAGGCAAACAATAAAAGTTACTAACAAGTAATATAGTAATATACGACATAATAATACTATCTAAAAATAACAGAAAATAAAAGTAATTATCTACGTACCTCCTAATGGCTTGGGAGGCGTGTAACTTTTTAACGGAATCTTGCTGGGCCTTCTCTTTGAACCGCTACCGTCTTTACTTCGATTGCTTTCCGCTTGATCTTGAGCTGATTCCGTACTACTACTGTGATCTAGTTGCAACGTCATTGGTATCGGACTCATAGCTTTCATACTTGCCGTACTACAAAAATAAGAATATTAGATAGAGCTTCAAATAAATGCAAAGCAAATGAGATCGAAATTTAAGAGATATACTTTCAGAAACCTTAATCATTTTTTTTGTTCGTTAGGCAAATTTGTTTATTACTAAATCACTGATGACAAGCTGGTCTCCGTTGGATTAACGCAGCAGTTTTACAAATAATAACTATTTTATTTTGTAGGTTTTCTTACAGTACAAGTGGCGAAACACTCATTGGACTTTTTTGAGTAAATAAATATGCAACCACAACAACAATAATTTATGTTTTGCGAGTTCAGGTTATGAGATTGCGAATTGTGTATATTATTCTTATTTTATATTTTTCTTCTTAATTTGAACAATACTAAATTTCAAAATACATTTTTCATAACATCGCTTTAAATATGCTTAAAAAGCTTAAAGAAACAATTTATTTATTCTTGTACAGTTCGTAGGACTTGACTAACATCAGTAATCAATGAAATAAAAAATATAATACAACAGTAATAATTATTACTTCTATAGTCTGTCTAACGACAGAATACATAACAGTCAAATTTGTGTCTGTCATTTTTCTTCACAGGTAAATTGTATTTTCTGCAATTTTTGGAACGTCGCGCGTCTTCTGTTGAAATCTTTTTGATATGACTTGATGGACGTTGGACAGATTTTATCTCGAGAAGGTAGTATTGCTATTAGTTAAAATGTTGAATAAATATTTCACGTAGAGGGTTGAAAATTGATATGCTTATGTAAAATAAAAATAAAAATGGCGCCGGGAGGCACGTATAGCCCATGGTAGGCAGTTCTTTTAGTTTTAAAGTAAAGGAATTTTTCCAATTTTGGTCCGCGGTTATTTCCCCTATCCGACACCTGGGGTCGTGTCCGATGGGAGTTTTCCACACGGATTTTCTCAAAAACGGACTACGGAAATACGGAACATCTCAAAAACTGCGACTCTGACTGTTTTTGATGTTATTACAAATTTTGTTGCAAATATTATTCCTAATCTTAAATTGAAAACCGCGTTTCACTAGCTACTGTAATTTTGGAGTTACGATTTTTTAAAATTTTTAACCCCCTCCCATACCCCCTTATCTACCCCACCCCCCACCACCAAAAACTAATGGCCAGATTCTCGGGTGCCACAGTATTTTTGTGCCAAATTTGGTTAAAATTGGTTTAGCGGTTTTTGAGTTATCGTGTTACAGACAGACGGACAGACAGATACCATAAAAATATTTTGTATTTACGTCATTTATGACCCAAATAACTCATTTTGAGTGAAATTAAAAAAAAAACTTTTTTTTGTCGATCTTAATAGCCTACCATACCTGTTGGTATGGTCGGCTAATAAACAAATCAAATAGATTCAATAATAAATAAACAAATCAATAGATTTATCAATACGCTAAAAAACTTAATTTACAACTAAATCCAAAAAATTTAAAGCTATAATTTTTTGCCCGAAGAGAAAAAGAGAGTCGTTAACATCTAAAATAAAATATATATAACATAATATAATATCTATAAATAATGAGGACATCGTACTTGTGGATTCCGTCAAAAACTTTTTTTTTACTTTTTTTTGCGTTTACTTTGATGAAGATATGAAATTTTCAAATCATATTTTACAATTAACAAAGACATGCTATATGAACTTAAGATTACTCTATTCAAATAGACAACTATTATCCCACGAAATGAGAGCGAGACTCTGTCAACAGCAAGTTATCTCCCGATTATTATATTGCATTTCTGTCTATTATCCGGGCTGGACAGTATCGCTGCCAGACGACTTCAAAAAATTCAAAATACCTACTGTAGATTTGTGTATAACTTACACATAGGACAGCCATGTTTCGTAAGTGTTTCACCTATAATGCTGTCAACCTGTTTAACGCCTTGACCAAAGATTTAAAATTATATATTGTTACGACAATATGTTAACATAATGATCAGGGGCGGATCGTGAATTTGTGGGGCACTGGGCTAAAACTACTTAGGGGCCTACATAAGTACTCAACTAATAGCCATATCAAAAAACTGTTTCTATAATGATATCTTATTATTCTTCTTCTTTACGTGCCGTCCCTTTCGTGGAGGTTGACGATCACATTGGCAAAATCTTCACGATTCTCGGCTTTCCTTATAAGTTCTTCAAAAGTTAGGTGAGTCCAGTTTCTGATGTTTCTCAACCAAGATAGTTTCTTCCTGCCGAGACCTCTCTTTCCTTCAATCTTACCCTTAACTATCAATTGTAAGACGTGGTATTTTTCATTTCTCAATATATGCCCTAAGTATGATGTTTTTCTTATTTTTATTATATTGAGCAATTCTCTTTCTCTGCCTATTCTGCTGTAGACTTCGGTATTTGTGATATGTGGATATAAGTAACTTATTAATAATTATAGAAAAAAACACATTAATTATTTTTAGTACTTACCCTTTCAATAAAAACATAACAAAAACCACCGAAAATTAACTAAAACATTAGGTTTATGACGTTTACGAAAATCTTTGTTATGTTGCAAAATAACTTTATTTTGGAATAAATTTAATAAATTTGGTTTTTTAAATTTATTAAATTAAAAATATAGATTCTTCATATTATTCACAATCAGGTCACAAAAAAGAAATTCCTAAAATGTTTATCGTAAGCCCAACGAATAATCAATTCATTCATTTAAGTAACATAAATGTTACTTAAATCTACGCAAGTATTAGTTGTACAAAAGGCGACCTTATTGCTGTGGTAGCAATCTCTTCCAGGCAAATTTTGGGTGAGAGAGAAACCGAAATAGTGATATTTTATAAGAATATAAAAAAACAATAAAACAATTTTATTTATTTACTTACTATGAATTAGTAAAATAAATTGATAGGTTGTAGTCACAGAAATTGACAGTTATTTGGTCATCACATTCCAAGTCTTTTGTTAGATCACAATTTATGGAAAAAAAGTGATAAATTATTTAGTCGATGGTTCGACATTGTTGTCCTATATTTATTTTCTACATAGGACATCTTGGAGAAGGAGCGTTCTGCTTCACAGCTAGTGATTGGCAATGTTAAAAAAATCTTTAAAATGGTATAGCAGTTAGGGAACACGTTAATAAGTTTATTTTCATACATGAGCATAAAAATGTCACTGCAAGAGGTGTAAGACTCAGACATAGATTGGAGTAAGTATGATTTTAATTGAATGCACTCATTCACTAAATGCTCGTCTACGTCATCGGGATTGTAATCAATAATATGAAGTGTAATTTCCAAATCTATGTTTTCGATATTTTTGTCTTGCAAATCCATTAAAAATTTGAATTTCTTGCTATATGTCTCATAGACTTGTCTCCTTTTATTTAAATCCATAATCAGCTTATCCAACGCAACTTTTAACGTGTCTCTTTAAATCTTTCTGCGCCGTATACTGAGAATTCACCTGTAGACTTATCTGAAAATTTTGGGATAATGCATCTCTTGTTTATGTAATTGTAGTCTATTATTACACCAGTACTTAATTTTTTAGCTTTTTCGTCGTATTCCTGTAACATTTGATCTGATTGATGTCGTATGTTGCTCACAAAGTCTTTTAAAGAAACAATTAACTTGTTGCCTTCACAAATGTCTAAACCAGGGCTCTGTATTTTTTTTATTAACTAAATGAAATCTCTCCAAAACTTCTTCCCAAAAGATAATCAAAATTGCAGTCTGGAGTTTTGCCATTTTATTGAATAAATTTCGTGCCTCTTTCCGGAAATCAACTTTCTCAACCTCATTTTCGCTGAAACTTTTGAAAATTTTCATAATGTCATCATAATTATTTTTTAAGGCTTTGACAGCATCATAGTGGCTAGGCCATCTTGTCTGGCTTAAACTTTTAACCTGAATTTTAATTTTATTTCACGATTCAACAGTTCCCACCTATGGGTCTATTGTTTTTCGCGGGGCCTGGGGGCCCCTTGTAACCTCGGGGCCCTGGGCTGCAGCCCAAACAGCCCGTAGGTAGATCCGGCCCTGATAATGATAAACATATATTCGTACACTCTAAAAAATTTAAAACACATTTAAAATCATATTTTTATTAGATATTCAAAATGGTTAGGTAATTTAATACTGTTATTGTGAACCTTATTTTTCTTTCTATCTTTTAATTTGTTAATAAAATATTTATTTATTAATTTATTAATCATTATCTTTTCGCATAGATCATTAGATTATAATATTAGTGTTAGACTGTAAGCATTACTGTAATTTTTGGGTTAAGTGTAAGTGGCTTTTTTAGCCCATTTATTTATTAGATAAAGCCATTATTATTATTATTATTATTCCCAAAATTCGACCTATAAACCAATTTATTAGCCATTTATTTCTTTAAATGTGAAAAATGACAGATAATCGAGAGCAGCAGGTTAATTTTTTGAATGTCATTTATTCAAAACAAAAATGATTGCCAAAATCAGATTTCATTGAAATCTGTGATACCCAGCAGGTATTTAATAATCTATAATAGACTTGGAATATTGTACTGCAATGTGCAATGTCATGCTTTAAATTATTTCATTGTACAATGACTTGACGTCACACGTGTTGAGTAGAACGTATATAATTTATTCTAGATATTATTTATAAAAACCATTATAATTGAAGCTGGTTATGGCCGCGAAATATTCTGAGGTCATTTATTGTTGTAAGTAACGTGTATTTCATATTTTATAAGTTTATATCGAAAATAAATAAAAGCAAATATTTTTTTGGAATCATTACCTTATCTCAGTCCTTGAAAGTGGCCGGTGATCCTGTGAACTACTTAAATCAGGAATTATATCCGGCGAATTACTTTTGTTAAGGTTAGGTTTATGGAGATCTTCTAAAAGTCTTACGCGTGCTTTGGTTCCTTCTAGTTCAATTGTCCTATCTTCCAACTAAAAGTAAAAACAATTTTGTTGCACTTTTTACAATCAATTTCTTTTGAATATTTTAAGAAAGTTAGTAGACAATTATGTAAATTCTAATATACTATACTATTGTAAAAATGGTCTTACTTGAAATCGTAAATCATCATTCTCTTCTCTTGCTTTATCTAATTTTTGACTAAGTGTGACTTCCATTCCTTCAGCTGAATCTAGTTGCTGTCTAAGAACCTGAAAAAATGCAAAAATACAGATGTTATAGATGTATGCATAAAATTTTAAACACTGTGTTAGTCGACCGTTATCGTAAATCAAAATCTGTGCTAAATAAAAATTATTGAAGTAAAATTTCGCAAAAAACGCGCGAAGGGAGTAAAAATTGAAGGCCGTAACACACGAGACACGAGAGAAAAAGTGATAACGATCGGAGGTTACGACGGAGTGTCGTAACTCGGGCCCTATGTGAGCTAGGGGAGTGAAACTCGGAATGTAGAGAGTTATACACATCTTTTCATGATATTTTGACAACGTTTCGTGCACTATGAAAATTTGGTATGTCGATAGATTGGACCAAGGCCAACTTTACCGTGTAGGTATGACACGTATCACCGTATCACAGTTAGTTTTGACGTAAGAAACGTCAAAAGTTCATGTCGTCTAATGACTAAAGAATATAAGACGCCTTTTCTTTTGGTGGCAAACAATGAGTCATCAGTTGGTCACCAGCGACAATTTTAGCAATTTTTAATAGTTCGTGTGTAGTGAACTTTGTATAAACTTTATTACAATGCTGATTAGTTGTTCATCTTTCAAATGTAAAAGCAGCAGTGACAAGAAAGAGCCAGGAGTTACGTTTCATAGGTAAATAAACAGTCCGCTCCACCTTTTTAGCGTTTTCTTAAGTTTTCTTATTGAATTCGATAATTATTTTTCTGATATTATATGTACTTGATGTGTGTTATATGTCGATACTAGTTTTGTACCTTTTGTTAACATTTTATTACGTTTTTTTCGTAATTAATTAGTATGATGCCACCGCCTACACCATAGGCGTAGTCAAAACATTTATCAAAAATATAAATATCCCTTCAACTAGCTAAGTTAAGAAAAAAATATGGCCACGGCACTGTTTGGTGCCATGGTAACAATTTGCTCTCAGGTGTTATTTGTCCTTGAATTCTTTAGTCATTGATGTCGTCCGATCGCGACCAAATTTGGTGGATAGGCTATGTGAGCGACGATGCACAGGGTCCCACCCTGCAAAGTTGTATAAATTTAGGTCCTAAAATGCTTCATTTCAGCAGTGGCGGCTTAACCATGAGGTCAAATGGTCAATGCCCCCTACCCAAAAAAAAATCAGAATTAGAAAAACTTATATAAATTATACTTTTTGTAAATCACTTTTTTTCATCCTAAAATATTCAAAACTACTCCCACTTATCCAATTTTCGCTTGAAAACATTTTATTTTACCCATTTTCTCTACTGCCCAACTTTACCCATAATTCCCTACGCCCCACAGTTTCATTTTGTCCTTCGTTCCCGCTATGTTTTAGACGTTCCACGTATTAAACTCCAAGTGACGCCAACAAGGTAAGGTATACTACGTATAGAAAATATAATGGGTTAAGGTGCGATAGATAGACTTTATATTGGCCACTGATCGTGTCATTTATAGAAGGATTTCTAAGGTAGGCAACTTTATATATACTTGTATTTGGTAGTTTCTTAGACAAGGAAAGAGAGGGGACAGGTAACACGGCAGCTGAAAGTGAGGCCACTTGTCACCACGCGAAATTCTCCAATGGCGTAGCATCAGAAATTAGCTTGTAACTAGACGATACAAAATATTTATTAAAACGTAAACTAATATATTGTTCATTTTTGAGTAATGCATATATAATTTTGTATTTTATAGTCTCACCTTTATAATATTACTAATATCAGAATATCTAAGTCGATAATGCAAAATTTATTTAACAGTCACAGTGGACTGATTATCAAGACAATTATTTATTTATTAACGTGTGTATAATGTATAATTAAATAAAAATAATGTAAATATATATGTTTTAAACGTGTATATATGTACATATATACCGTATGATCGAAAAAAAAAAACGACGGCGACGTCCAGTTGGCTTGTAAATTACGATCGATGACATTCCCCATATAATTCTACATATGAAAATGACAGAAAAACTATACAAAACGACATCGAAAAAAGACGGCGTTAGCGATGGCTATGAAATGAAGATCGCTGTCATTTTATATGTAAAATTATATAGGAAATGTCGTCGATTCGTCATTTACAAGCCAACTGAACGTCGTTTTTTTTTCGATCATACGGTATAATAATGAATCTAGCTAATTCCCTTCACACTTGCTTACGGATTTAATGAATAATCTAATTTTTAATATTTGTTACCTTCAATCATAAGAATATCCTAATTTTCCACAAAAAAATAAACAATTCTAGAAGCTTTGTGTTATTTTATTTATTTTTAAATTTGTATTAATTACTCACTGAAACTATTATTATACACCTAAATTAGCAAATTTTTTGAATGGATATTTAAAAAAATATAGTAACAAGTAACCCACCACAAGTAGTCCACCCCCAGCAAATCTTGGCAGGTAAATTTAAGTTTTATATAACAACTATACATCATATAGGTTATTTACGACTAGAATTTTTAATTTTTTTATAGTTTACAATTATTTTACATATTTGATAACAAGCAGAAATTGTATTTCACTGATTATAATTCCCTACGCCCCTGGTGAATTCCCTTCTGAGTAGCATTATTTATAGTTTCAAACATTAATTATAATACAGACTGTATCGATATGTTTATGTTATGTGTGTGGATGCCAATGTTGGATATTGGATTATTTTCTTCGCTAAGAATGAAAATGATAAATTGTAAAAAGAAAACATCAAAAATTAAAATAAAAACTAAAACAATGCGCCGAAATCTACTTTCAAGTAATAAATTTTGATAAAGACCCTACCAGGTCGAAATGTCAATGAAATTTATAATATAAAAAAACCGTTTTTCTCATTGTTTACCTGACCTAAAGCCAAGAAAAAATTAAATAAAAACAAAAAATAGTTTTAGTTGCTGTAGCTTTGTCGTAGCCGAGGGTTTGAGATGCAGCGCGAAATTTGTGTAGGTAATAATTCATAATTTTCTGGTTCTGTATAAATGATGAACTCTTGTTGACTGATTCTGGAATAGATATTTTCAAATAGACAACATATGATGTTTAGCTGTTAAAACCGTGCGGTTGAAAGAAAACAATTGCTTAAATTTCGAAAAATGTTTAGAGCAAAAATTGACTTAAAATATAAAAAAATAAAACTTTTAGAAATGTGTATGTGTATTTATATTTTTGTGACATTATTATTTAAGTTTTTTTTTAAATCCTACCGTGGAAAATTTGTGTAAAGAACATAGACTGGATTTTTAGTGAAATGGCACTAGACCACCTGTTTAAAAATGTAAGGGTAAGTTTCATTTTAACCTAATTTGTATTTATTTTTAGATTTATTTTCCTTTAACTAAACGTACAAGTACCTTGTAAGAAACCAATTAAATTTAGTCGGGTCTTAAAAAAAATCGACGCAATATTTTTAGATACCTATTAACCTCCCTACAATAATAACCACGAGCCGCCACTGCGTTTCAGAGATGTATTTCGATTTTTTCCAATTCATTTCAGAAGCAACGTAGATATTTGGATGAAAATTGGTGTCTGGGTGCTATTTGACATGAGAAATTTGATTTCGATGTCAATGAATTGACATAATTTGTTAAAATTTTTCGATTGGATATCTGTTTTAGCATCGGTACCCCAATCATTAACCCTAAAATCCTCACAGTATTGCAAACTATTTCAATCATTTTTTACTGGTTCTGTATTAGGGATACAGCAAAAACTGTAACCAAAAAGAACTGTCAAGTAAAATTAATGTGTCTGGGCTATAATTGCAGAGTATCATATTATCCCGGTGTTGAGACATTATATTTTTTCTGTGGTTTACATAAACATATTTAGCGATTTTTTTTTATATAAACACATTAGCGATTTTTGACGTTTACCAGGTCATGGATTGTGGTAACAAAAGTGGTAACAAATTTAAATACGATTAGATCAGTGCTAGTTAACGCTAAAACATTTTTAATGTGGTTACCCACTCGCTTTTGTTTATATTTAATATTATAATCCAGGGTGCTATAAATTCTGGGTACGAGCATTGGTATCTCGGTAACCGTAATAGATACGAACATGAATAAATTGGGGTACAGTTGCGCTTTGGGATGTTTACCAAGATTCTATCAAAAAAGTTCTAAACATTTCAAGGATTTCAAGAAAGGAGTTTTTTGGAAAATCAATTTTATTTTTCTGTCGTTATTTTTTCCTGTATGGCATATCATTGTACTCAGGAGACCGAGTTCTTTCAAAACCTGACATAAAAAATGCAGGTCCGTATTTAAAAAAATTAAGCTGACCTCTATATATCTCACAAATTATTAGCCAATTTGAAAATCTAAAAATACGAGCCCTAACAACTACATGTTGGGACAAGGTCATATTATGGAATTATTACCATGGTTTTTCAAAATGACTGAAAAATATATGTTTAATTTTTTTAAATATCCTAAACAACTTGACAATATTTTTATGAATTTGTAAAGCAATCCATATTTACAGTAGCGGATTTTGTTCATAAAAGGACAAATTTGCTGACAACTAAATGTTGGGACAAGTATTTTTAAATAATTAATATCATCATAGGCGGCTTTGCTATAAACGTCACAAATGTCGCAAACTGTTTACTTCAGCATTGACAGCTTGTAAGTGACTCGATACTTTGAGTAGTGAGATTTACTGTAAGAAATTTTAATTTTTTTAATTTTCAATTTTGTTAATTTAATCCAAAGTAATGGTCCGTGGAAAAGCTACAAATAAAAAACTACGCGAAATTATCATTTGTCAATACAGTACGGGAAAAACAATTCGAAAAATTTCTGATGATTTAAGTATTCCAAAAACCACGGTCTTTAATTTAATAAAAAAATACGGCGAATCTGCCAATGTAGACGTTAGAAGTAAAAGTTCGGGAAGGCCAAAAGTTGTATCTCAGAGAGATTTACGAAATTTAGTAAAAATTTGCAAGTCTGCGAGAAGAAGTATTCTTCGCGAACTAACAGATAAATGGAATAC